TTGGGTATGACGAGTTCAATAAAACCAAAAAAATTTTGATCAAATTACGGTAACATACAAAAACACTGTATCGGTAGATAAAAATCGACCATAAAAAGTTTGTTTCAAAAAACCCACAGCCAATTTTTTGATATTCGTAATCAGCATAAAATTCTGGTCTAGAATCAATTTTAAAAAGTTCAAAAATAGGACCCCCATTTTTCGTGGTGTAGTGGTTTTTGACCAAAACTGGTAATCTGACCACCCAGGTTCGAATCCGGGTGGGTGCGAATGTAGAAAAAAGACCTCAAATCACTTTTAATGAAAACCTGAGAGTTATTTGAAGCACGCTGAGCAATTTTAGGCATCAAAACTGTCTGAATTTGGGATTAAAACGATTTTTATGTAATTTTAGACGATTAATACATGAAAAATAAACCTGCTTCAAACTGGTTGAAATTGATAACACTTATTCTATGGCTAATGGTAAGAAACTTACCTGTTAACTTTTTTTGATAGAATGCTGTATCATGGATTACTGTAACATTAAACCCGTTTTCGTTTTTGGTATGCCACAGGGCGTAGAGACTTCAGTCTATCACAATTATGATAGGAATGCTTGAGAACACGTTTGTTGTCACACAAATGTGTTTTCTACGTCCGCAGGACTTGAAACACGTCAGTTATAACGCGCAGGCTTCCAATCGATAATGATGTCAAGATGCACTATATATCATGGGAAATTCTTTTTTTGAAATATGGAGCGTTGAGATTTCTTGCTTTTTAATAGACCTAATTAAAAAAAGAAAAACATTTACCCAAGAATTTTGAAGAAAACATCTGTTAAGTAGAATAAGTTTTATGTTACAGTAATCCATGAAACAGCATTCTACCAAAAAAAGTTAACAGGAAAGTTTCTTACAATTAGCCATAGAATAAGTGTTATCAATTTCAACCAGTTTGAAGCAGTTTTATTTTTCATGTATTAATCGTCTAAAATTACATAAAAATCGTTTTAATCCCAAATTCAGACAGTTTTAATGCCTAAAATTTCTCAGCGTGCTTCAAATAACTCTCAGGTTTTCATTAAAAGTGATTTGAGGTCTTTTTTCTACATTCGCACCCACCCGGATTCGAACCTGGGTGGTCAGATTACCAGTTTTGGTCAAAAACCACTACACCACGAAAAATGGGGGTCCTATTTTTGAACTTTTTAAAATTGATTCTAGACCAGAATTTTATGCTGATTACGAATATCAAAAAATTGGCTGTGGGTTTTTTGAAACTAACTTTTTATGGTCGATTTTTATCGACCGATACAGTGTTTTTGTATGTTACCGTAATCTGATCAAAATTTTTTTGGTTTTATTGAACTCGTCATACCCAAAAACCATAGTAGCCATATTTGTATGCCAAACAGACACCACTGTAGAAAGTTATGACCAATTACTGTATAAACAAAAAATTGTATAAAAAGTACAGTTAATGGAGGAATTGAGGAAAACTGTGATTCGCTTTTTCCCTACTGGTGCTGTGGATCATATTTATGCAAAAAACTCAACATCGAAAAAATCCTATGTCCTGGCCTAACTACGGCTTGCTTCAGTGACTCAGAAATCGTCTTTTAAAAGTCGACAAAAAAGGAGGAGGCGACAGAGAAAGGCAGAAATTCTTGGAAAGAAAGAAATTGCGCAATGTCCTGTCAGAATGCGCAACTTTTAAATTTGTACTAAATTTTCAGGTTTCGGATGGACTCTTGCGGAAGATTTAGAAGTCCCGAGCCATACATTATAAAGCGGACATATTTTATGTAAAAGTTTATCAATTTACACTTCCTTTCTTGCGTCTTTAAAAGTATTTTTCTATCTTTTCATAATTTCTGCATACAATTAACAGTTTATCATTGTTTTTGATATGACTACAGCTCCGCCCAACTCATTTTCCTATAAATTGGACAGTTATTGCGTAGGAAATTTCTTGTAATTCATTACACCACATCTTTGAAAAAGTTTCACTGTAATTCTTTATCCAGCTATTAGCCAAACTTTGTATTACGACGAGAAGTAAGTAAATTTATGCAAGAATTAAGCGGTTATTCCGTGTGTTGCTTTCCATTGCCACATTAAGAATCACAGGTTAAGTATCCATCGTTTTCCAGTATTTCGCCGATTTTTAGCATCTACCGTAGCCTCTCAACAAACAATAAATATGCCCTTAAAGTCAGGAGGTGTAAACCCGTCAAACTTGCACTGTCTTCGTCTAGACCCCCAACTCTCTATTAGATAATTCATTTCCGCGTCCTACTAGCATCACATCTTTCCATGGCATCGTCTTTTTGTAGGAATCATTCAGCGATTCAGACCCTAGTCTACCTCATGTTTTTCGCACTCTGAACCAAAAACAGCCTCAAGGCGAGTGTCGAACAACTGTTTAAATACATACTCCGTTATACGTGAAGTTAAGAGGCAGTTAGAGATCGCGAGATTAATGCAGACGAGTCGAGAAAACAAGTCAAGATTTCTGGAAATATCCGGGTCGAAAAATACAAGGTTTTCTTGCGAAGAAGACCTTTTATTTTTGTTTTTGTATCCTTGGAGCCGATTAGATTTGTCAAGCTCTAGACCTTGCACCTCCCGGAGCTTCATTGCCAAGTCATTATTATATAAGGATGGTGCGATTAAATATTTTTTATTTTGTCTGACAAAAGTCACGATTTCTTGGCTGGAAAGCCCCCAACCAAGAAATGCCAAATTATTGAGTCAAGTTGTGTAACATGTTGCGCACATTTCTGTTCACTTCCCATGAGGATGTTTTTCTTTTTTTCTATGCTCAGCCGAGAATTTCAAATTTTCTGGTTGAGAGCTGCTCTTAAGATAAGAAATCGGGCTTTTTGCCAGTCAAGACGAAATTTTTTATCAATTTTATTTTTTTCTGCTTACCAAATCACATTACACCCATTTGTCATAATTTGTTTCCTCTTGTTGTAGCAAGTTTTACAGCATTCTCAGTTCAGTTACACTGACGTCGTGTCTGCATTTATTATTGATAACATGCACAAAATGTGATTGCCCAGACTTTGGCCTCCGTTCCGTTACGTAACCCATGATCTTATGACTTCCCTGGTTGTTATTATTAACAATATTTCACAAATTCCCGTTCATTAGGAGAAGAGACTTTCCTGACAGAGGTCAAACAGCCTAAGGGTGCGATGTGTGTGGGGCCCAGATTAAGTGGCGTTGGGAGTCTAAAACTGATGGAACCGGGGGCTTCGGCCGAACCTTTTTCAAAATTTTATGAGTGCTAAACGATTTTTTAGCGCGAGTGTTCTGACGTAACTGTGATCTCCTCGATTCTTTGAGAGGTTTCGGGAAACACGCGGAATTCCGAAAAATTAAAATTCCGGACTTTTTGAAAAATTGAGGTTTTGATTGGTCGCGATGACCACTTTAAGATGAAACTTTATTATTTTATAGTATAACAAAACAATTTACTACTTCTCGCGGAAGGCTTACATCATTCTTATTTATCCTGGCAAACTTTTTTCCTTACCACGCGGGCAGAAAGGCCGAGTGATTTCCCGAAATTTTTGCCATCTGTTTTTGATTCCGCTTGCTCTTTCATCAGAACTCGAGCGATAAAGAGGAAAGGCTTCTGATTATTATATAAAAATAAAAGTACACATGGGTGTAAAAGAGATATCACTTCCCTGTTGTTTTTGTCTACATTCCATGCTTATTTTTAAGTTAACCCTTAACCCACCGGCTGTTGAACGGGCCATAAACGCAGTCGACCCTATGTTACGTGCAGAATTTATTTACTCAGAATGGTTTAGCGCGTTCTTTAAGATGGTTAGCAACAAAAAACGAAAACAATTCAAGTGATTTCGAGAAGTTTATATCCTCTAAAAGCAGACGATATAACATTCTGTTCAGATTTTTAATTGTTTTTACTAGGTGCTACTAGTATACTAATTTTTAAAAATGGCGAAATACCGTAAGGATCTGGGAAATGCACGGCGAAAAAAGTGAGCCCGCTTTTTTATGACTTGTTTATTTCTTACTTTCACGATGGAAAACTGCTTGGAGAATGATCTCCGTTCCAGAAATGAACTTATGTTTACAAAAGATACCTCTTTTCCTATGGTCTTCATATGACTTAGGTACAGATGAAAATAGTTTGTCCTAAAGACTTCGGTGGTATGCGGGCATTCATTTCCTTCACTGTGTAATCAGCGATTATCAGTTTCGGAGGCCAAAGCTCATAAAAGTATTAAAAACGAGCATATCGGAAATTTTTTGTTCGAAGATCCGCTGCTTGTTTGTATTAGGCACAATTCCATGAATTCTCTCTGTGGAGTCCTTACAGTATAGTATTTTTTTTCTACTACAACATCTTCTAACCTTTTCCTCTCTTTTTCCCTCTAACCTTAGTTTAGATGAAGGATAAGACCCCTTCCTCATCTTTCTATGACTAAAATCTAAATTTCACGGTTGATTCTTTGCCAAAAACGATTTAGTCAGCGAATGATAGATCGCTGTTCTCAAGCGCCAAAAATCGTTCAAAAAATCTAATCGCAAATTTTTATGGAAAGAACAGTGGTTTTGTAGGTTAGGAAAACCGTTGAAGTAGATTATGTGTGCGTTATTCATAAAGAACGAGCCACAAAGTCGACTGTTTCCTGTATTTCGTATCTATTATACTTTTACCTCGAAAATAAACAGATATTCGTTTATCCACGAATTAGTTTAAAATAATATCGCGGCTCTCTGAAAACTTTTTATAACCAAATCTTCCGAGACTCGAATCTGAGCGTTATTCTCGATGAACGATAATTTTCGTCTCTATAAAATGAGTAATTCCGATTCAATCTTCCGAAAAATTCGTCACCCTCCGTTTTTTTTTTGGTGGAAATCGTTTTTCTCGGGTGACTTGGCCAATATCTTACCAGTACTAAATTCTCTAAGCGTCCATCACTTTGCACGTAAATTCACTCAATGTTTTTGATATTTGACATCTATGAAATGATTTCCTCTGTGAATTATCCTAAACCGTATGTTCTTACTTTGTTTTCCCAAGTTTTAGGTCGCGTTTTTGAACTTTTGAATTTTGGTGTCTAAACTTAAATTTCTCAAGTTGCTTCCGAAGACTGACGTCTTGTTCAAATGGTGCTAATGCCCTTTTTTGCAATCTTGAACGATTCATTTTCAGGAGGTGTATGGGAATGGAATGTGTTCGAACATCAGCTCTAAAGTATTGGACACCGCAGAACTTCGGTCCACAACGGTGGTTGGACGACACATCCCAGTCCTCCTCGTCTCCGCTTGACGTGGGGCATCCAGTAGAGGACGAGTTCATTCCCCATTCGGCCCCGTCTACCTGCACGTTACTCTCATCTGCTTGTAGACGAGCCGCGTCCTTTCCTTTGGCAAATCGAGCATTTTTGGGCTGTAATTTACAGGTAAGCTTACCGATAATACCTTCCTGGGTGTTTAATGTAGAATGGATAAATTTTTTATTGCTTATTTTACCTGGGATTTTTTTCGCCGTCGTCATGGAGAGCTTGAATTTAACTAAAATTTTTGTTTTCCAGGTTCGATCACAGAGCGAATCAGCTGCATTGAACAGGGTCAATGTGAAGATGCCGAGGACACTACTTCAGGAATTCCATTACTTCAATCAACGGCAGAAAGAAGCACAGAATTGGAAGCCCCCTCCGTTGACTGGTGGCGTGAAATGTGAGTTCGTAAAATTTTTGGGTGCCATTATGGCTGTTCGGGATGAATATTAGCTTAGCATAGTCTACGAAGACTTTCTATTGTTCAAGCATAGAACGTAGATTGAAAATGACTTCACCAAGTCAAACAGTCTGCTCGTTTTCCATTTGCCATGGTTTTCATGACCATTATTACTCATAATCTATTGCGTAATTATGCACAACATGCGGGATGGCTACTGTCCTGCACTTGATGGACCTTGATACCACAATCCAGCCTTGTTTTCATGTGATTGTCAGTCCTGACTTCCGCTTTGAGTTTCTGCATGATAACAGTGGGCCTCTTTTTTAGATTTGCTGGTGGAAAATATTAGTCATTAATGTTCGTTGCAAGGTCTTGCGGGGTATTTTGTAATAGGGGAGGTCTGGAAAAGAGAATGAACTTCTGTTTATACTTTTTTCGCATTGTAGGTCCATTCTCGCGTCTGTTACTCGCATTAGTGCAAAATTCTTATTTTACAGTGAGCTGAGTTTTTTTTTTTGATTCTATAGTGGTAACCTATGGAAAGCCGGTTCACAGGGCTCATTCAGTTTTTTAATTATTCCGAAAATCTTCGAATGATCAAGCGATAAGTATTCAAATGTGAAGTCTCTTGGTAAAAGAGTACGATGTCTACCGACAAAGGGGCTTTATTTTGTACGAGTCATAATCGGATGATGTAATGACTGACAGGAACAATGATATACCTTTCTGACCACACAAAAGAACCCTTCAAATCTTCAATGCTCTTTCAACCCGGGGTTTTGTTTTGGTGGGATGTAAAGTAGCGCCACCTTTGATAATGAAATGTTTCAATATTTGGGGGCTCGTGGAGGTCACAAAAGTCTGATAGATACTAATGCTTTAGGCCCATAGAGGTATACTTATTTTGCAAATTATTAATCTTTATCGTAAGCTGATCATACGAGTTCCAATTTTACTGCGGGAGGAGTCAGCCGATGGTCACTCCAAAGAACCAGACATGTTCCAAACTCTTTCTTCTTGTGGTGGGCCCTGGGACGCCGATTTTTTCTTCATCCGTCGAACACGTGAATATACAGAACAATCGGGAAATGAAATGAATGGTGTCATATGAACTTTAAAATCAGAATGCAAATGAATCCTCGCTTCCTTCCAAATCGGTCTTTGAAGCTGGGCAATCTTTTGTTTCGGGTCTCTTTGGATAGGAATTGTCTAATTTCAGAGGCCGAAGTTTGAATTCAATCAAAGTTTAGTCAAAACTTGATGGGAAAAGATTTGTCATGGATATATTTAGACCTTGCAATGAGTCTTTTTTAGTAGAAAATATTTAAAGTTAGATGCATTTGGTAAACAGAAATTATGAATTTTTCGTTCGGCACGTATATTCAGTCACGTATCTTTATCCGATCTGGGTAACTCTTCCGTAATTTCCCATTTCTCTGCCCTTTGATCTGATCATTTGGACCAAGTTTTTTTGGGGGAATCCTTTCATGTGAATCCCGTTCTGATCTGGGTGTCATCTGCTTTTCGGAGTGAAATCTTTGGCCGGCCTGTTTTTTAGTGCTGAAATTGGGACTTGCAGGAAACGATGTTTGTTCCGGGCAGAAGTTTCTCGATTACTATCATTCAAAATAGTTACTCCTTTCTTTTGGACATTTGTTGACGGATGTTAAAATTTGCACTGACTGTGGCATGTTTGTTTTTGGGGGCTTTAAATTTTCTACTATCATTCTCTGATATTCCCGGCCAATGTTTTCAATTTGCTCAGGCTATTGGCCTGAAAATCACATGTGGCCATAAAAAAAGTGAATAAAGGGATTACAGTACAGCCTAATCAATCTGATGCAATCAGACCCTGAATTCAGCGTGATTTATGATAAGGTTGCTCAGGAAAGAGTGCGTACGGTGGCAGAGTAACTATTTTAAGAGGATTAAAAAGGGGAAAAACCCAGAAGGTAATGATAACACGAAAAGAATTTTAATTATGCCACTGTCCTCGGGGGGTAGTATGCTTTCGAAAGTGTTTCTCTTATCAGAAACCCCGCCATTCGGTACAGGCAATGCTGGGTGCAGCAAAAGGGTCAAAGGTTTTGATTTATAGGATCCCAGGCTTTGAATCCGCTGGGGTATCTGCTGGGAACTTATTGTTTGGTTAGCTTTTGATGAACCTAAAGCTGGAAACGTCTGCACTTAGATAGCGTTTTAATATTTCCAGTTTGTTTAGTAGAGCGATAACATCCATAGTAATGCCAAATTCTTCCAAAATTATGCTTTGTTTTGTTGGTATACTCGGTCTTTTTTGATTTTTCATAGTCATAAGAGTATCAGCCTTTTTTTCTTAACCCTTTCTTTGTCCGAACTTCCATTCCCTCCTATTCCAAACCGTTCAACTGATAAGAGAATAGGTTTCTTGATCGTCTTAACCTATTTTTGACTGTTGTGAACATTCTCTTATGGCTGCCGTTATCATCATCGATAACAGTGCCTTGTTTTCCATTCCCCTAAGACTGTTTACCCACCCATTCTTGGCGCTAACTTCCAATCACTCCCTTTGAATAAGGACCATTATCAGAATATTTTTAATTTTTTTGGCCTCTTTGTTCGGCCCAAAAATAAGTGCTGCCGGTCTCTGCACGACCTTCCACCAGCCCCATATCTTATCACTTGTTATTTTCGAGGCGTCTCTGTTGGTTTTCTGACCCGACTCACGTGCGATTCCACTAAAGAAACAATTGATAATCGAGTGAAATTACGCTGACGATTGATACGAAGAAGCGGGGTTTTCTGCTAGAGGGAGGACCCACTATTTCGGATGTCAGGGGAGGAGTGCGGTTGATATATAAGGCTGTGAATACCTGAACTGTCATTGCCGGTGTGGGCAGACGGATGTTGTGGTCTTACCCTTTATGGTAGTGCCGACTTTTCGTTTTTCCGAAAGCAATGTGTTTGCCATACCACTTTTTCATTGTAATAAACTACACGTGTTGAATGTGTCCTTGGCATCGTTGAAGGTGTCTCTATATTAAACATAACCTCTAAAGGAATACCTTTTCTGTCTAAAAGCGGTTATGAATTACATGTGAAGTCCATCCTTCTCTCGTGATTGGCTTCCTTCTGATCTCGACTCCGCCCCAATGTTTTCCCACTCCGTTTTTTAGCAAAACTTTTCTCGAACCCACCCAAAATATTTGTCTGTCTGTCTGCCCGTATCTTCAAAGGGCGGATTGTTCGATCTGACAGAGGCAATCAGTGGGGAGCACAATTTTTTTGGGTTTATCTGCACTCGGGCGGCGGTTCTTTAAAGGTTCCGGTGTCCCTTGGAATTAGGTAATAAGTGGGGGGAAGATGTTAAATTAATTACATTACTAACAGACTGGTTCGAATATTAGAGGGGCTTGCATCATTTGGAGAATAGCTTACATTGTATGTTAGTTTCTGAACATTATCTTTTCGTAACTTGGTCGCTTCGCTTTCCAACCGACCCCAAACGCATTAGATCATATCAATTTAAAATAATTTCTTATGGAGCATTGCTTAATCACTTTCTTCTTTCTTACATTCGTTCGAGAAGTTTCTTTGGCTGATCCGTTTTGCGCGCCGTTTTCTGCTGACCAGTTTGATATATTTTCGGTTTAGTCTCGGCTTCAATCCAAGGCCCATTGTTGTCTGTTGTGTGGCCGTTTCGTAAATAGGATTGAACCAATGCTTGCCTTATACGAGCATTTCTATATGATTGAGTGCGCCCCCAGCACTAGCCTGGAGAAGAAACTGCAGCTGAGGACAGGTACGATTGCTGAGGATCTTAAGAAATCATGCATCTGTGGGCGGTCTTTATAAATTTTATTTTTTGAACCAGAAAAAAGTGGAAAATCCAGCCCTTAGTTAACGTTGAACTAAATTCTGGCGGGTCTTATCCAAAATAAAAATAAAATTTCACCAAAAAATGCCGAATTCATTCAAAATTGTGGCAAGATCCGCCGAAGTTTAGTTCAAAATTAACTTTGGACTTTAAAAGAAATATTACTGTCGAGAAATGAATAATTCTTCTGTTTTAGTCTATGCTCCAGTCCATGAAGATGGCGGATCAGAATCAGACACCGAAGAAGGACGTATCTCCTCTTCCCCATCATCCTCATCCGATGAAGATGATGCCCATCCCACTGCCACCACTACCCAACCCCTCCCTCTCCTCCTCCTCAACAGTCAACCAGCTCCCTCAATCTGTTCCGATGACATTGTCCGTCATCTGGAGCGGGCTTTAGAGTCCAACAAAGAAAAGACAGAAGAGAAAAAGCCAAGTGTACCAGTTGAAAAGAATCTCTTGCACGGTAGGTTGTTCTGCAGCAAAGAGGGTGCTATAAATTGGAGTTTAGGGACAAAAATTTTGTTGAAATCTTTCGTTTCGAAACCAATCTTTACTGATGATGACAGTAATTTTGTGTGTTTCAGACGAATTGAGCAACTCCTCGACATCCTCCGAGCAATCCCACCTTCTCCATGATGAGACCAGTGCCTCGGCTTCAGACAGTGATGCCAAGTCTTCTTCCTCCCAAACTACACCCACCAATACACATCGACGAAAACATTTCAAATCACATCGTCACACACCACGATGCGTGAGGTTCGCTGATGAGTGTGGAAATGAATTGTACGAACTGAAGGTCCTCACAGAGCCCTCAGATTATCCTCCAGAAATCCCTCGGGCTGTAATTCAAAGACACAGAAAAGCAGCGGGACTCAGTGATCTGAGTGATGAAGACGATTCGAAGCCAAAGCCCAAATCAACATGGAAAGTGATGTTCAAGCAACCAGCCAGCGATTACATCAAGTTCAGACAGACCCTTGATGCGAATCATGTTGCTCTGGAGAATGTAATCGTCAAAAACGAGGTCCCCAAAGTCGTTGGAACGATTAAGGTAAGCCGTTTTAACTGGACATGAGCTTTTGGTGAGAAGTCTAAAGATAGGGTTGTAATGTTTGACGAAATTTGTTGACCAGATTCTAGGTCACTCCATCAAACTTTTAGTTTTTGGGGAACAAAAAGAAAGATCTCGATGTCAAGAAATAATGGGAAGCCCGCTTATTAATTGCTTTGCGTGGATTTAGACGTGCAGAACTCAAAGTAACTCTTTTTTATTGCATCGAAAAAATATTATGAAAGCATATGACTGCGGTAACGGGGTTTACAGTTATGATTGATGCACTATGCAAACCGTCGTATTGACTGACGTGTTTACGGAGAAAGGTTACGATAGGAGAGCGTTTTATATAACCCGAGAGAAATATTTTGAATAGAGTGGGTGTTGTATTCATAAAACATACACAGCTGGAGGGAATTTATGTGAATGTGGGGTCATAGTTAATGTAATATTTGCAGGTAGCGAACATTGCCTTCGAGAAGCGGGTCTTCTTGCGATGCACATCAGATCGCTGGCAATCCTTCCAAGACTTCGATGCCAAGTTCCTGACATCTGCTTCCAAAACTTTTGACACTTTTACTTTTGAATTCCCTATTGCCAGCAACATTGGACAATCGGTAAGGGATGTTATAATTGCATTATGAATGCGATCAAAAGGGCAATTGTCGATAATGGCGTGATCTCAGCCTGAGAGATCCATCGGGTTTTGGGAGAAAAAATGATTTGTAGTAGACGAGCGCGGGAGTTTATTAATTTCTTGAGCTTTTTGGTCATTCATGTGAAAAGAAGGTGAAATTTTTTTTGAAATAGAATGATGTTATTTCCCCGTTTTGGTTTCAAAAGTAATCAAATAACAGTATTATATTGTTTATATGAAATTTGATTTCAGGAATCGCACTTTGAATTCTGCATATGTTTTCTTGCCGGTGAAGTGGAGTATTGGGATTCGAATGACGGGCACAACTACGTCCTAGAAGGTGAATCCCTTCCTCCAAGCTCCCCTCCAGCTCGGGTGTCGTCTCCCAGACCCCAACAGAACAACCCGGTGCCGGCAGCGAAGGTCCGGGCAGCTCATAATGACGCCTATCGTATGGAATACCGTAATTGGTCGTCGTTTGCCTCATGGAAAGCCCTGAGCACGGATGCGCCTTACTGGTAACTCGTTGCTAGTAATACGAGTATAGTGTCGTATAGTATCCCCACTCCACCGCCCTCGCCGTAATCCCTCTGAAGCTGAAACCGATGCCGTTCTTATGGTCGTTTGTCATACCAAAGCCATGTAAATTTGCCATCCACGCTTCGAATACTATGTAATCGACGATTTTCCTTTCCTCTCCTCTCAGTTATCTTCTTCTTATATCATGTGCAGCTAAAACGAGTCAGAGCCGAATCCGGGTCCGAACCTACATTGTGCCATTTCTTTTCCATTTACTGTTATATTTTATATTCTCTGTCTTTTTTCTAATAATTTGATTGTTATTTCACACCGAGGTGTAACTTTGTGATATATCGTGGTGATATGTCTGGGAAACGGGGTCTTCTCTGATCGTGTGTAATTGTAGATAAATAGGTTTAGTCATATTTTAATATTGTTTTAATTGGGGCGTCCAAGTACAGTATCATTAGTATTGTTTTTCCTTATTTACACATTTCCCCTTCCATTGTCACCCCATGCCCGTATTCATACGCCTTTTTCATAGAGATGATACTTTTTAATAGCCGGTGAAATACTTGATACCCTCTTATTTCCCTACAATATTTAGTCTGCTCAATTATCTCTTATATTTTAACAATCTTAATACATTTTGTCAGATATTTTTTTTGAGAAAAACAAAGATTTTCTACCTAAAACACGCTCAAACTTATGCAGGTTAACCACGTACAACGCTACCGAGATCCATCTTGACCTTTTATATTCCTAACTACATTTACTACTTTGTCCTAACTCACTCTTTTACTCCATCTACATAACTCCGATGTAAATTTGAGAAGGAAACGTAAAAGGTCCTTACGTTAAGGAATCCGATTATATTTTTTATAGATTGTTATGTTATATTGTGTAGTTACACTGATTATGGTACATAAACGAACAAAAACTGAAAGTCGGCTGGATGAATAACTTGAAGAATAAAGTGCAAATTATCTAAGTAGACAAGCAATTGGTGAAACAAAAAGACGTATCAGGTCAGTTTTAAACTGAGGATCCAGTTAGCTTCAGCGAAGATACTCCCGAAAAAAAATTTTTTCAAAATTAGCTTCCATGGCTGGCTAGAGAGTTTTGGTTTTGATGACCCTATGACTTTTCGAGTCAACCACAGTCGAAGATTCCTCGGATTGTCCCGATTTGTCGTCGTATGCATTGCGAGGCTGTGAGAATTAATAGAAATAAAAAGATTGATGCTGTCCTAGGATAATTTATCATCAATTTTCGGGGTATCTTACATTTATTACACCCATAGTATTATAATGAAAATTGCGATTTCTCAGCCTGATTTACCACCCGCTGGCACATCTTGATGTGTCAACAAAGTCAACGTCAAAACATCTTTTCAGCAGATAACTGAAATACTTCAAAGACATCTTCTCACCACTTATTTATTCCGAAAGTTGTTAAAAATTTATGAAACGTGAAAACAGCGAACTTGATACCCTACTGTATATAACCGTAATGAGAACAACAAATAATGGAATACAATCAATATGATTACATTTTTGGATGTCGCTGAACTCCGTCCACAGTGTCCGTCCGATGGCGACTTTCGGCGTCATTTCGGTCGGCGGAAGACAGCTGATGTTCCACTACTGGCTCGATTCGATGAATTTCAGGATCCACCTCACGACGGGGCAAAGGACGTTGAGAACCGAAGGGTTGGGAGGTCATAAATCCCGGCTTCTTGATCTAAAACAAAATTCAATCTTCAGTCTATTAAAAGAAGTTGATGTAAAAGAGCAAGAAATATACCAACCGATCCAGGCGTCTTGACCATGGTGTTGTGACTAGGCCTCAGTATAAATGCTTCTTTTGGTGTGTGAATCAAAGGACCATTAGACGGGGCAGTCGTTGCAAACTTGAAATGATCAGCAGGTTTATGATATCCACCGTCGGTCTCGTTATTCTTCGTAGAGAAAGAACATCTTCTCCTTCTTCTTTCGTCTTCCCAATCAGCATGATCCCCCCATAAACGTTCAGGGCCATCTTCTGGTTGTACGGAGAAAGAGAGACGTTGCATATTCTTGAAGATCGTCTGCTCTCGAACACTCAGAATCTATGAAGAATAACTTAGCCACAATCTATCAGACTTATTCAACCATTTGCTGAAAAATAATTACCTCTTCGAGCTTTTGGTTGTTCTCCTCATTCAAATCATTGTCAATTTTCCTCAGGGGAGCTAATCCATCAATTCCATCGATGGTTTTATGATTAGGACGAACGATATCAATGGGAACACTGGAAGCGATCAGACTCTCTGTGCGTGGAATGTCTTCTTCGATATCCTCTTCTTCTACTCGGCTAAGGAATGCATCTAAAGGCAAAATAATAATTTCTTTAGTGCACGTACCATCGTTATCAGCAAGATCAATGTCATCTGTGTAGTAATTTACAGGCCTCCTCTGTTGTTCTTCTTCTTCCTCATCCAGCTTGAAGAATTCTAAAAACAGAAATTAAAAACACACTGCTTAAAGAAGAAATTGCATTATAGACTTTCTCCAAGAACAGTCAGTCCAGAATTCAAAAGGCCTTCCCCAACATGAACAAGTTTTTTTACATAAAACATGTTTCTAACATACCATCATCGATATTATCGTTCATATTTGGTTGTCTTCGAACTGGCAATGAAGAAACCAGTCGATCTCCCTTCGGCTTGTCGAACTCTTTATCGGTTAGCACTGGCATTTTGTTGTTGGCCATTGGATTTGATGTGAAAGTAGAATCAATCGATCCTTATGGTGGTCGTTTTAGGTTCATCCAATCCCAACTAAATCGCACACAAATTAATTTCAAGGGGCAAACCTCATTAAATAAGTATCGATTAGCAGAAATATATGATAAAAACGGGGTTCATTATCTATATACGACACTTCCACCCAGGCAGTTGTAAAACGTCGGAAATAAAAGAATCACGGGATCAAACCAAACGAAAATTTTGATATTCATTATGAGTTTAGGAACCCGGGAGCATTTCGTCCTTGGCAAAATAAAAATAACAGCATGGCATTGCAAACTGTAATTCTTATCAAATAAAAAGGATACTTTTAACTTTAGTTTTTGACCTGAAAGGAGTTAAAGCCCCCCTAAAAAGTAATAATAACCTTCCCAAAATAATAAAGATATGAGCGGAAAGATAGATAACTAACAACCAACGCTAGTTTCTTGGGGTCTTGTTGTAAAAAAGAAAAAAGAAATCAAAAAAATATATATTGCAGATCGGGCGCGACCTGCGGATTTGTGTAATGTGCAAAAGGAGATAAGATCTTTTGGGAATTGGTAGCTGACAGACCGTCTAATGAATACAAATAGAGGCCGTTGAAAACAATATGAGAACCGTATTTCACAAATAAACACTTTCAACTCCTCCGACAGGCTAGCCTAAAACAATATTTTTAGAGGAAAAACAAACAAAATCAATTTTAAATGCCACTATTCCGAATGTCATGATGATTTCAATGTTTTCAGGAATTCTTTTTTTTGCACCTGAAATCTAAGGAAATATAGATTGTAAATAAGCGAGTTTCCACTTTCTTTTGGAACATTTCTTTATTATACTCCCTTCCTATTATGGAGACGGGAATATTTTTCTGGCTTCAGCTATTGTCTGTGCATATTATTCAATGTATAAATTTCATTTTCCCGATCAAAAGGAAGAGCTTGCATCAAAAGAATGTGATAATCACCGGGGCGGCAGGCGGAATCGGACGTGAACTGGCTCTGTCGGTAAGAAATCACTCTTGTAAGAACATGGATTAATTTAGTTTGGTCGTCATGGTTGTCGTCTGTTTCTTATCGACTTACACCCTGAGGGTCTACAGAAGTTAAAAGGGGATTTAAATGGATGCGGGATCTCTGCTGATGTCTATGCAGTCAATTTGAGTGATCAGCAGGCAGTCAAGGGTCTGGCAGAGAGATTGAAAAGGGAAGTGGGGCATATTCATTGTGTTGTCAGCAATGCTGGAGCTGCAGATAACTATGGAATCGCGAACATGGATCGGGATTCATTGAAATCAAGTTTTCGGAGCAACTTTTATTCAGCAGTCAATGTAAGTAGCGATAGTAACAGATGATATTTTTGTAGGTGATTGAGGAATTTTTACCGACCATGATTGCCCAAGATGAAGGTCATATTCTCTCCGTTTGTTCAATTGCAGCATTAGTCCCTCAACCGGGACTACTGGCATATTCAGCATCTAAATCAGCATTGACCGCTTATATGACGTCTCTGAGACAGGAACTCAAATTGAAGGGTAAGCAAGATTAATGGTGATATTTCATTTGCACATTGTCTTCAACTTATGAACGACTCTTCAGGATCATTTGTCAAAACAACAATAGTTTATCCGGGGATGACAAAGACCCCAATGACAGAGGGAATCTGCATCGACACCCCTGGCTCAAGTTATATTTTGCCCCATGAAGTTGCGGGTGCTGTTCTTGATGCGGTTCTCTGTGAAAAGGAGGAAATTGTAATCCCAAAGCGTTTGTTCTTCTTTCATCGAGTTCTTCAGTTGCTCCCTACAACAGTCAGAGATGCTCTGGTTTACTACTTGTTTTCTTACACCAAAACCTATGCTCGTAACCATGGTTATGACAAGTATAAGATCTGCTGACTGAATATTCATACTGTAATCTAAATGTTAACCATAAACTAATTTATATTTCCAGTCCAACCAATGAATTGTGAAGATATATTTTATATCAATGTGAACAATAACAGTAAAAAAGTACCAATTATTACAACTCGTTGTGTCTTTGAAAGAACGGGATCATCTTTGAGAGAAATTAGAAAATGGTATATTATCGGTGCAGCTATGTTTGGATGGCAGGTAAGGCCCCAACACTTGATCTTTTCTCTCCTAAGATATTTTTATTAGCCATTATCAACTATAGGATCACTTACCTTGTTCTGAGCTTGTTGTAGAAGCACTAGTCGGAATTTCGGGAAGCCTGACTCTCTTGACCGGCTTATTATTACTTAGGTTCTTATCCAGTAATTGGGAATTCCAAGAAGTTAGATTGTCCTTAACTTTCAAAGGTATTAGATGATAATTGAGTTGGGTTTTGATTATTCGATATTCCGCTTGCAACTTCTGTCTCTCCTCATCCGATAGGTTGGCTGATATTAATTTATCAGCAATTTGTCCGTATTTTTGAACCTTAAGCAGGGAGTTTTCTTGTCGGCGGATTTTCAGATTCTTGAGGGCTGCGTCGGAGGCCAGGGCTACTTCTAAAAATGTAAATTGTAACAATATAAAGAAAGAAATCAATCCTTACTTTCAGCTTCTCGTTCAGCCATCCTGACCAGCAGGTTGACCATTTCATTTTGATCTGCATCCTTTGCTTGTCCTCTCATCCTGGCCTCAATTCCATCCAAAATATCTTGATTCTTCCTTATTAGTCTTTCTGATTTCTGTCGGGTATCATGTAAACTGCTCAGTCTTGTCTCCTAAAGTTACAAATGTAATAAAGTCCTCTCTAATAATACAAAATAGCGTCTCTTTACAATGACTCCGTACGTACTTGTTCCCCCATATCCTTTTTTATTCTCTCGACAGTTTCTGAATACTTGTCTTCATCATCTTTTGTCCTGTTCTCCCACGCATCCAATATGGCTCTTTTGGCGCTTACATTCATCTCCAAGTCAACTGCTTCGTGATTGATTTTCATTAACCGTTCTCTTAGTTTTGTCAACTTTTCTACTGTAGAGAAGTACTGTGCTTTTAGCGAGTGGAATAAATTGGCAAATCGGCGATTATTGGGGCCATGGCCATCGATATTGGCTGCTTTCGTTGTTAGGCCTTTTTCTGATACTGAAAATTATTAAACACAACGTTTGATCACAAATCTATGCTCCGATTATAGGTTAACACTTACTCTGATGAGACGATTCTGCATGAATCATCCCATTTCGATCTGCCGCCTGCTTCCGTATATCCTTCATCGCCTCGGAATATGCCTGATCGGCCGAGACTGGCCGGTTGTACGTTATCTGAAAACAATTAAAAAGTTACTCCTACACAATAAGATTTTAGAGTAAGAAACCTCTTTGTTGCGAACTTTTCATCCGTTCTGAATTAAGGAAGTTCATAAAAAGACCAGCAAAGCATGAACAACATTTAAAGCTCGGGAAATTGGGCTCCAAAGGTCGCGAAGTGTTTTGTAATATGAATTCTGAGCTCGGTAAAGTGCCTTTGATACAATACTTATTACAAAAGCTTACTCTGGTTGTAATATTCCTTGCACGATTTGCATAAACCAAAGTGTTGTAGGTCTCGTCGTAGTTTAGTGATGCTGGTGTTACATGAGCAAGCATAATCGTCTTCGAATTTCCTCCAAGCGAATCCTTCAGTAACCTTGTTAGTTTACTATCTCTGTAATTGACATATCTCCCTTTGTTGTTGGTGCTCAATGCATTGATTACATTTCCTAAGGCGAGTAAAGATCGGTTGATTGCTGCGCCTTCCTTTAATCTTTGGCCTTGATTTTGGGTTTGAGAGGCTCTTTCTGATCCAGCAAGATCAATCAGAAAGAGTTTTCCATGTTGGACTTGCTTCTTATACAGGGTAACTTGAAGAAGGGCGTGACTCCTAGAGGATGACTTATTCGCAGCTGTAGGCTCTTGCGTTCGCCGAGAGTTTCCTTCTTGCAGAATCTGCATTATCTGCAAAAAAATATTTTTATTTAGTTTGTATTATTCATTGTGCCTCAGAACGGGCAGTTGAATCGAGCAATCTCCGTAACACCCCTACCTTAGTCGTATTTGGCGCTTTGACCCGTGAAAGCCCAGGGACCAGCACGTTTCCTTTCTCGTCTTCTAATAAATCCAAAGCTCCAGCGCCCGGATTCAAAAGATCTTTTATGACTTCGTTGTAAATCTCCAGAAATGATATGTAGACCGTATCTTCTTTAGTAAGCTTTTGATACAATGCCCTTGTCAGTAATGTCATCAGCCCGGGTTTCTCCGGAGTTCCGACCATTGTGTAAGTCTTGCCTGATCCAGTTGGGCCGTATGCAAACACTGTGGCATTAGAGCCGGCAACGACAAAATCAACCAAAGGAGATGTTGTAGCTTCGTGAACTTCCATCTGACAAAGAAGTACCCCCAGTGCGACGCTCGGATTTTTTTTTAATTTTGCACTCATGCGGGACATAAGACACATAGCAATTCATACTTAGCTTGCGCTCTTCAGCGACAGAAACGATCTTTCCATATTGTCGTTTCGGCTGCGCTAGCCAAGAGTCTCGCATATGGCTTTTTGTTAAAAAAAACGTTGTCTAAATTCGTGACAAGTTTCATCAAAATCTGAGCGTCGCACTTGGGGTATTTCCCTTGCAAATTAATAAATGAATAAGCATGCAATACGTTGCGACAGAACAAGATCTTACATGTTCAGAGCCGGGTCCAAAAACCGCATCAAAGTTGAATGTCCGTTCATGTTGTCGATTCTGCCGTAGAATATTATTTTCAAACTTTTCTGGATCTACTAGCAACACTTTCTGAAGGCAAGGATAATGAAACTCGCTGAATTACCTGCTGATCCAACGCATAAGCGCATTCGAATCCTTTTTTCTGCTTCTCACTTTCATTTAACGGTCTTATTCTTACGGCCACCACCAATTGAGAAGAAGATCCTCCAAGACTATTCTTTCTTAGGGGATACACTTGGCGTCCTCTCCTTGGTGGATTCACATCCTTTCTTCGTTTAGCCTCTGTAGAACTTGATGGTTCAACTGAACTAACAGAGGAGCTACTTCCAGTAGGGGAATTTACAGCAGTATTTGTCATCGTTCCACCTAATTCTGAGGCCTTTCAAAGAGCAAATTGGGCATGACGTTTGTTCGCTAAGGGCTGCTGTTTGGCCGTTCGAAACGCTGAGACCGTTATACTGACCACACACAAATTGAAATAACAGAGCACTTTACAGATTATTTTTGGATTTTGATTTCAACTAAAATAAGTCTTTGCCATAAAGGCGTAAATAACTTCCATATTTCACACGGGCAGTAAACAAACCGCGGAGCAATAACAGTACGTGGAACGAAAATAATTTACATTACAGTAATGGAAAAAAAGGTAAGAGGGATGAAGTCTATTTTTAAATATAATATATTATGTTATAGATAACGTTGCTCTTGAACCAAGAAAGATGGGCAATTATTCAAAAAAAGAAGGATTATGTAATTTACACTTGATATTACGGTTCTATGGCTTCTGGGGAAAGAAAAGAGAACATGTAGTGTTAGATGCAAATATTTTTATCACCCCACAAACTGCAATAAATATTAGAACTTTAATAGTCAGTTTGGAAAGTATCATATAATCACAACACGTTTTCTTGTAGGGAGACTAATGTATCAGTCTGTCGGAAAAATAACGGCGGATCGTCGCATCAAAATGTCTCGCCTCGCCGCTATCGCGCACCAAATCCCCAGCCGCGGCTTTCAGTCGCAAAGCGATGATGGGCGATTCGGAGGCGCGACGATCCGCCGTTTTTTTCCCGACAGACCGATAACAATCAAGTTTTTTTTATCTCAAGTCTAGATAGGCTAGATGTCCGGTACATTAAAAAAAAGCCAGTCGTAAAGTTAACGTAAGCAGAAGTTCTACAACAGAACTGTCTTTACAGTGGTTGCTGTAACTGTTATAAACCAAACTCTACTCTATAGTTTCGGGAAACTTCTGTCTATAAATACTAACCTAGACGACATTTACAGGAGGAAAGAACATCAACTATTATAATATTAAGAGTTTCGATACTGCATCCTACGTGTTCCGCAATTGTATATTCACAGTAGGGCCTTGCAAATTAAAAGGAGAAAAGCACCTGACAATTACATCTACACCCAGGGACACCAGGCCCTTCTTTCCCACCGCCGTTCCTAATATCTGAGGCACAAATGTGAAGAAAGGCAAGAAAAAGTTGGGAATCTCTCAGACGAACACCATATAATCTTGTAGAGTACAATTTCAAATTGGATATGAGGGAGAGCATATCACACAGGCATAGGCACATAGAGCATTAAAGCTGTAACAAAGTAAATTAAAGCCGTCAGACAAAAGAGATGTCGTAACGCTAAAGAGGCCACAAAAAGTCTAACCACAAAGGCAGAAAGTTATAAATCATACTCATGTCATTTAACCGAATTGAATTTCGAAATTTACCAATAAATAATGAATACAGTTAGCGCTACGTATGACAATATCGGAACTAAATCAAAGCTCAAATTCACAACACATAAAAACTTAAAAAAAACACTCAAAATAGCCTTCTAAGATGTTCACATTGTAATTCCAGGTCCCTAAAAAACGTCGCCGCTGGAAACAATCTAAATCAAACGCCTTGGCAATAGAATTATTTGGATGTCTGTTACTTTGTTTGGAGTTCAGGACCTTCCTTGCAAGTCAGTGGGGCGTTGAGAAAACGCCATGACAACGACGATCGAACGGGTCACAAAAAAAACAGCGAACTAAAACATTAGCAACGAGTATTCTGCAGTTGAAATGAGTAATTCTCATCATAGATCATGTGGCCTAATGAAATGTGAAAATTGCACACCATAGCACATACTGACAAAGGTTTAAGAGCTGACCAGGAGTTATTCACACGGTCTTAAAAATCAACCGCGTTTCACAGCTCGTGCAAGCCGTCTTCCTCAACATCTCCTCCATTCATGTGTTTGTAGATACCGATGACACGGTATGGCACGAAGTAAGAGTCAGTTAGCTCTTCCGGCCCTCAGGGCTCTCTCCTCGGTTTGTTTTCGGCGGTCAAAACAACTCCTTTACGGTCGTTTGACTCTTATGGCGGGTTCAAGGGTCTTATCCATAAAAATGTCCGAGAAAAGAATTTTCTGAAATTCAGATAAATTTTTGAGAAAATAACAACATCTATACTTTTTGTTAAGTCGTCAACTTTACAAGTTCGTTACGTTATCAAGTTACCGCCATTTTCGCCAAGTCAAATTTTTCTGTCATTTTGATTACCAATATTGTTTGGAAAATTTTTGTTTATTGTATTTTTGCTAAAAAAACCGTAAGAAATTAATTTTTTTAGGAACGGCTTGACAAAACACTACTGGTATACGAGACGTTAAATTTATTAATTACTAGTTTCATTGTTAAATTGACGGTAAGAAATAGGTGAATAGATCGTTAATAATGTTTATGATTCCATTTTGTTGGTGCTCTTCATATACTCGTCGAGTTCTTTGTCAAGTTCAGCTGCTGTCAACTTGGGTTTCTGAGTTTTCTTGGGTCCCTTTCCTCCTGCCCCACCTCGCCCTGGACCTCCTCGTCGGGCAGGAGCTCCTCCACCTGGCCGGGAAATTCGGCGAGCAAGAGAGGGAGATCCGCCTCCAGCTCCAACTACAGTAATCTCAACAGCTCTGCCTGGAAAATAGAAGGTTGGATTTGATAACCAGAAACCATTTGGTGAGGTTTAAAAATGATCTTACCGTCGATTTCAACACCTGTAAAGTCCCTTTTGACCCGCTGAATGGCATCTCTATTTCCATGAAGCTCAGCTGTTCCAACAGATCTTCCCTTGTAGTCGTAATGGAGGGTCACCTTGGATAGTCGGTACTTTTGGAACAAGGTCTGAAAGAAGTATTGTTACGATTAAAAATAAGATATGACGTTGCTAAGGCCTAAATTTAGAAAAATAAGTTAACGCTTACCTCAAGTTCCTCTTGTGTGACATTGTAGGGAATGTTGGCCAATCTGCAGACGGCCTTACCTCCGGCTGCCGACCCAGATCCGCCTCCGGACTTTTTGTTTGCGTAGACTTCGAAGAATTTGTCATTGTCCCATTTCTTTGTTCCTTGATTTCTCTGAAGATTCCACAAAAGTTAACAAAATGAATCTCATCGATTCAACTCGCTACGACACCTCTTAAGAACAAAGGCAGCCAAGGACTGTCTTTTCGTTTCTAAAATACGGGAGAAACCAGTGCTAAGACGATGACCAACGGATCCAGAATCCAGCCAGCGACCAGTCCAGTCCACCGCCTACTTCCACCACCGATAAATGAGTCCATCTTAACCTTCTAATCATTGGGGAAACGATATCTGATAGGGCTTAGTCCACCATATCAGATATCGTTGGAGCTTGGGGAAGTTAAAGCCTTGTTTCAGCGCTTAGAAGTTCAGAGAGTCGAGCTTGTTGACGATAAAAAGTTCTTATCGTACCTTCTTGATGGGACCAGCCCCACCAACTCGACGGACGGGGCGAGAGCCCCCAGCACCACTGGTCCGACGAGCTCCACCAGACTTTTGAGTACGGTTCGTCTTGATGATATCGTCGAGAGAAAGATCAGACAAGTCTCTGTAATCGACAAAGTTTATTATTTGTAATCAATAACCTCAATATTAAACTAAAGGGTCAATCGATTCAAATTCTAAAGAGTCAATCAATTCAAATCTTTACCTGGAAGCCATTTCGATCAATATAAACGGTTATCTAGAATTGAATGGAATAAAGGTTGTTGCAGTTGGAGATTGATGATACAAACGAGATCAGATCAGATACAAAGTTGAGGTCGAAAGCGCGACTGAATGTTGTTGAATAAAACAATAGATGAAGAAACTGTCACTTGACTTTATATATTCGCTAAAGACGCAGAAATAAACGCACAGACATTTCTTAACCAAGCCCTTTCACCCTGATTCGCAGGGAAAAGCGGGATTTTGAAAGGGGAGAGCAGAAAAATTGGCATAAGATTACGTTGCAAATGGATCATAACGGCACAAAGCAATTTCAAACATAATAAAACAAAAGATTGTAAAGTAAAAGGAACGCCCAATCGATGATTACACAATCTGTTTTTCGTATAATTTCGCTTCAAACTTTTGGCGGAACATGGGCGCAGTTCGCACTTCTTGTTTTGCAAATAATGTAAAAAAAAGAATTCTCGTGGTAGATCGAGTAAGTTCTCAGAACTTTCATAGAACAACTTGTAATCCGTGTTGAGCTAGATAGTCGCCATTTGATTTGCATATTATATGTTATACATTTTTTTTGTTTTTTCTAATTAGTGTACATTGTTTTTTAGTTGTGAACCAGCAAAATGTTAGTCGCTCGTTTATCCGTTCAGAGATGCGCAATCTCTGTTCGCCAATTCAAAACCAGGTAAGGGTTCAATTATATTCTGTTGACTTCAACTATTTGCCTAAACTGTTTTTCAGCGCTCTTAAACCAAGCGAAGCCAAGACTCCAGTCCAGAGTTGGGGATATCAATACCTCAAGAACCAGAAGGCCCTGAACCGGCCTATTGCACCTCATTTGACCATTTACAAACCCCAACTCACATGGGTTCTTTCCGGAGCCCATCGAATTTGCGGATGTCTGATGGGTGGAAGTAAGTTGTTCAGTTTATTGTTGCTGTTTAGGTATCAGACTCTTCGCTAACTCTGTTTTTGTAGCCCTTCTTCTCGGAGGTATTGGATTTATGGTTGGTCCAGTCAGTTATGCTGAGTTCATTGAGTATTTCCGAGGACTTCCAGCTGTTGTAACGGCCCCGTTCAAGTTCTTCATCTCCTTTAACATTGTCTTCTACGCATTGAATGGCCTGAGACTCGTTGGCTTTGACTTGGCCAAAGGAACTGACCTTCCCACCGTTTATAAGAGTGGATGGGCCGTACTTGGATTGTCCGTTCTGATCAGTCTTCTTGTAGTTGCTGCCTCAGCCAAGAAGGAAAAGTAAACGATACGGATTGACAATTAGTATAAACATCATAATTTTGTTGTTTAGGAAATTTCGAACATATAAAATGAGCCTACTCTACAAATTTGATTATAGATTCATTTGAGGTAAGAGTTTCTTGAGTTCAAAAAAGTATAACATAGCCGAAATAAGGCGGTAACTCTGGTTAAACTATTATCGCTTTTTCCACAAAGAAGAGTTGATGTTGAATCCATTGAATACCAAATCCGAAAGTTAATAGAACCAAGACAGCTGCCAATATAAATCTAGGAATAGCAATGTAATCGATCGGAATGCTTGGATCTCTGGGCTCAGGGACGATCTGATCGCAACTTTCTTTCGGCCATACCAACAATATTATTGTGGGGATTGCAGCAAGCACAATGTATTTTAGACCGGCTTCTCTAAATTTTAGGTATTCAATTTGCTTTTGAACTTACACTCCTCGGCTTCTGGCCAGTGCCAAGAATAAAGTCATGCATACTCCCCAAAGAGTACATAAAATAATTACCCCGAGGCCAAGATCCCCGATTCGAATCGACATTTTCTTTGCGAAAATAAGGTTTTGCGCTGAGTTTTGGGCGTCGAAATTTTTCCCGTTGCTATGGCCACCACTCGATACGGAAATTTTTGGAAAAACCAAATTGCAGAATGGTATCTGTTTATTACACTAAAGTATTATAAGATTATAAATTTACAATATCATTTTGGCAAAGGCAATTTGAATGTTCCCGTATAATTGAATGAATCGCTTGATAATTCATATTCCACTTGAATCTAAGGCCAAGGTTAGCGTTTAATACAGAGTTTTAACCTACATTATCATGTCCCCCAGCCAAAGGCAGCAATAAAAACACTTGATTTAGTGTTGGAGTCGGCTTTAGTGGATTGAATGCGGAGATTTTATGTACTTGCGAATCGACATTTCGATATGTAAAAATCTAAAACAATGATTAAACAGATGTTAGGTCAACCTACAGGTGATTTAACGCTCAGAGAAAAGGCCACATTGTTGATTTCTTGCGTTGAAGTGAAGGCTAACGTCGCAAGAGTGCAGATTATCGAGGGATCCAGTACTTCCTTTGGGTTGATAAAGTACAGTAACCCTTTTACTATTGGTCGATCGCAAAATACAATGGGCTCAGCGGGCACTAAAAATATTATCTTCAGACTCTATTGGACACAACTTACAGAAATCAACCTCGTCAAGCGTTATTTGTACATCTTTGAGTAAGAAATTGTCGTTTTCGACTGGTCGTTGAGGTTGTCGGGCCTAAATTATGTGAATAAAATAGATGTATGCTTACATTTCCATTGCATTTTGTCCCGTCGTTCATCAGAATACTTTCAAGATCATCATTTTGGCTGGTACTTTTGATTTCGTTATTGTATGAAGTGGATGGGCAAGCAAAGGTGAGGAAGTCGGAGTCAATGTCATGGTGTGTTTCACTTTGTTTGTCATTATTGCCACTAAAGGGAAGATGGGTTACTTTATCAGGATTTGGTTTGTGTTGCGCGCACAGTGCTTCCCACAAGTTTCAAAAGTTGGCAGATGCACTGTGCGTCGCAGCAAAAAAAGAAGCTGACTTGCCTGAAATTTAAGACGTCCACCTGTCTTGTAACTTCCTCGATTTGGTTGTAACTTTCGCCAAATCCATCGATAAGACACGGCTCACTCACTCGATGTTCCCTCTTTCCTGAATACAAAAGTAGACTCCGTGAAAACCAAGCTCACCGTTATCTTTTTCTCCTTGTGTCCTCGTTCTCTCCGCGTTTACAAAATCTTCGAATCCGCCTTTATACCTCTGAATTGTTTGATTCAAATCATCATTCAATGCTAAAATCTCGGCCATTCTTTCGTCGCTTCGTTCGGCTGCCTCTGCAGCCAAATGAAAAAGTTTTGGGCGCAGATTGATCAGACTTTCAAAAAGGTCATAAAGTAGACTAATGTCAGCGCAACGGCGATCCAATGAAGAGGCATCCATGAGGTCATTTAGAAGGCCAGACTTGACTCGGGCGGTTTCTATCAATTCGTTGCGTTTCCTTTCGGATTCAAACTTATTTTCTTCCTGCAATACAATTGCAGTTAAAGTAGGCTTACTTACAGTTCTGACCATGCTCTTGATCATACGATTAGCTGCCTGTAAATCTTCTGGATTTCTACTCCGCAATAACTGTGATAACAACTTCTCTTTCTCCTCGTCTCCCATCGCACAAACTCTTTGTTCTCTTGTAGTGAGTTTAGGTATTTGTGAAGCCTCCAGCACTGGGTCGCTTTCAATTATCTTCTCCTTTTTCAATGAATTATAAACTTGCTGCAGTTTATCCAAATGCCGGAATGACTGGGTCCAAGCATATAATAATTCTATTGCTTTTCGTTTTACATTGTCACAAGTCTGGGATCCTTGATATTTTGATGATAAAAGGCGGATAAATTGGTTGAGAAATTTATATTTTCCTAATTCGTTGGCACAACGAAGGCCTCCTCGATTTATTACTGCGTCCATTACCTAAAGTCATCGTTATTTAGGAGGGTCGAGGAATTTGCATTTTCTACAATTTCACATCTAAAAATTAAACAAAAAACTTTAAAAAACTCACGTCCAATGAGTTAAGGGCTTCTTGTTGATTGGGACTCAGCATTTTATAGGACAACAACTTCATCGCAACAAATGGTCCTTCGAAATCTTCATCAATCTTTGCACATATTTTACTGATGCTCTCTGATTTTTGATTGGCGTCAGCTCCAAAGGGATCTGTTGCTTTGGCAATCAGAAACTCCAGGGTATCCTCAGATGAGGCCATCTAAAATGTAAAAATAATTGCTCTAAAAACATATTCGGTAACGAGTGAGTGAGTGAAAACCAAGCCCTTATATCGATATTATCTGGTCAACGAATGCGTGTGCCTTTTTGTCCAAAAAAGTGGATTTTACGTCGGCCGCGTCGCCATCTTCGGCCGAAAGCCATGCTCTTTCTCTCCAGTTCTTTTTGCCCAAAAATAAATGGAAATACGAAAGAGGGGAGAGTAGGAAAACTTGGGCTAATTTAATGAGTAAATGGAGACAACTATATAAACTTTCCTGAACGCGTCAAAACTTCAAAAGATACAGTAGGACAACGGCACAGAAACCATAAAGGAGGTGCCTTCGAGGCAACGCCGTTTAACGCTATAACCCTTGCTGTGACCGCGGCTATGTACCTTGGTCGTTGCTCACCCATCAGATATTTTATCAACAAAGATAGGTAACTCAAAAGATTAAGTTTTTTAATAATTTCCGCTCAAAAATTACTGATTACAAATATAGGTTGCAAAACCAAGAAAATTGACACTCTGCATCGTGGTTTCGTGCAGAATATAACTGCAAGAACATTGTTTTGCCTCAAGACCATAGCGGACTCAAAATGGAGACTTCACTTTTAATTGACGCGGACGGTAACACAAATTTTCTTAAAATTACGGGTATTCCATACATATACTGTAATTCTATTACTTTTGTATGACCTTCGATCTCTCTGATCCTTTGTTCAAAGGATATGAATACCTTTCCAACCTGCCGTCTTTTGAAATTCGACCCCTGAGGCAGTGGCCACTCAGGTCTTTTGTCAAAATTGTCATTTTTTTGCGTAGCGATTGCCAAAAAACATGATATTATATTTTCCCAAAAGAATTTTATTTATCACATATAAAATGATGGATCTCCAATAAAAGATTTCTTAGCAACAAACGGGACGAGATTCAATTCTTATTGAATATTTATTCTTGAACGGGACGTACGAGTTGGGGGCTGGATTCGGAACCCGGAGGGCTTAATGGTTTTTCTCAACGATCCTTTGGGCTCTGTATGGAGGTAGAATGAGCAATGGCAAAGACTTTGAAGTTCAGATTTATAATAACTTTTGAATTCGGCCTACGAAAGTCATGAAAAATAGAAAAATTGAATTGTGGGGGCGAAGAATGACGCGAATCCGAAGTTATTGTCTACATATTTGTTGCAATCCACAAGGATCTTAGTTTGTAAAATCACAGTAATTTTTGACATCTGTCTTTTTCAAAAAATTCTACTTCATTCATTCCTCGCATATTTTCTAATGACCCCTTTGTTCTCAGTGTTCTCCAGCCCTCAAGATATGCAAGGGAATTCAAGGATAAACTTGAAACTAGCCTCATTTGAAACAAAACTGGAGGCTTGTTATTCATGAGACTTCCTCGAATATAAATAGGCCTTAAGGGCAATTTATATCTTCCAAAGTTTTCCTTTTCCATGCATCACAAGCCTTCAGGAATTAATGAGTCCTATGATTAATAATATTAGGTCGAGTGGCATTTCCGGGGCTTGCATTTTTAGAAGGGTTTGGCCATTTTCTCTGAAAATTAATTCCTGGAGAACCATTTGGAATGCCACAATAAAATTTCGGTGAAAGCAATGATAGTAGTCACAGAGACATAGCAGTCACATTGATGCTCTTTTCGGTGATCTTATCGCTTTATTACACTCTCTTCCTGAAGAAAAGTCTGTAGCGATTTGTGAAATGTGTGACTTGTCGTTATATCATCTACCAACGAACTTAAATGGGCGCCGGTTCTTCCTTTTTGACGGTTCTTTTATCCTGAAGGTAATCAGGGCCACCGGGCTTGTTTATTACCCTATTGTTTTCTCATGCCCATTTCCACAGCTTCTCTAGTTACTCATTCGTGTTTTCGATCAGTTCGAAAAGACCAAAAAAATAAGACGAAAATTGATTGATCCGTCAGGGGCAGAGTTTTGACTGCAATTCAGCCACGACCTTAACCAAGGTCACGTGCCCAAATCTCTGATCATCTGCAAACTATATTTGTTTTACAAATTCAAACAACTTGTATGTGTCACTTTCTCCAGATTTTTAAAAGAGTTTTGGCCCCATGAGATTACACAACCATCGTATCTTTCATTTAATTTAAGTTGGGGATTAACTCTAATCTAATCCCCGTTAACTTATCCATATTCCGTTGGGTTTGACGGGCTGTAAAGCAAACTTTGTCATCTTATTGTGTTAGTATTTGGTTTTTTATCGTATTTTGCGGCAATTTGCGGGCATTCTTTCCATTTCCGCTGTCTGCTGGTCATGTTCTCTGGACTAATTTTTGTTTTGTGTTTACTGAATTGGTTGTAATAGTTAAATTTGTAATATAGGCTAAAGAGTGAGTAAATTCGGTGTGTTCCTATATATTCTTGGAGATAGTTAGAGATCAAAAATCTGCTGGTTTATGGAACGCGAAGATCTTTGATGGCTTTAGAAGTACAAAACATTTAAGAAACGTACTAAAATGGGGGCAAAGATTCTTTCATTCTACCGTGGTTTTTAAGCCCAAAAAATGCAGTTTTAAAAACTGTAAAATTCTCTTACAACACTCTGCAAATTCCGGCCTTTGACCGTTTTCTCATCCCTCTAAAAGGACCAAATTCGTACCCTTTCACCCCCATTATCATACCCGTTATCACAAATGTGCTTTCTCGTTGCTCTTTTATTCTTTTGGCGGCGCAATTTGAGATTATGGAAATAAAAAGCATGTTTCTTTCAATACTTATGTAATTCAATAAATTGGGGATTTTGGTCCTCATAAACTTTATCCGAATTTTGCCCTTAAACTCCGGATTTTAATTTCCTCGGAGAATTGGGGGTCTAGTCTGCAAGTTTTATTAGATCAAGGACATTACACATGTTGTTTATGGAACTGCCGCTGTGTTTTATGGCTATTTACATAAGACATAGACATTCCGTTTACCATTTATTTTTCTTTCCCTGAAATTTTAAAGTCATTTTTGACAGTGATAAAACCATTCCCATGAAATCCATTTTAATCTGGAGTTGTCTTTTCTTCTTTTTGTTCCATCGTTTTTAATATTTTTGGATTTATCCGCTGATTACGTAAGCGTGGTTTTACACGCGTAAGAGAGCGTAAAGAACGTGGTGACTTCAGGGCTTTACAATGCGTTTGTTTTGGAATATTTTTCATGATTCAGGTGGCCTGTGGTTACACAGATTAAGTTTAGGGGATTATGCGATGACGGGGAAAGAAAGGCCAATCGCCACAGTAAACGCTTTGAAACGTATTAAATTATTCTCATATGCGTTACATTGCGAATATTTGGTCTGATGCTGTAGGAAGCACGGGCTTTTTCCCTGAGAATGGGAATTTATGTCTGGTGTAGGATCCTGGTCTCCCATATGTAATCTGTAGTTATAACCGGGTATATTTACATACTCGGAACACGTTGTGCTCCATTTAATCTTCTTGTTTCATTGGAACGTACAAATTAGAGGATTGTCTGCAAATTATATCCAATGGACTCAGTAATTGCAGAAGATGTATCAACTGTAATATCTTAATATTTAGTTTGGCAAATCACGACCTCCAACATGTTCAATAGGCGTGTTAAATTTCTCGCCAGACCTTTTCCCACTTCCAGTTGTTCTGCTGGATTTGAATGTGATATAGATCGGACTTAAATTCGGACTCAAATCAAATGTGATCACATGATCTTCCCGTCCCATTCACAGCCAAATAAACTCTCACACCATTTTGTAAGCACACTCCGGATCCCTTCCCATAAAGTCGCGACACGTGCATGAAATCACAATGGTGTTAGAACTGCTATTCGGAGGACCCAGCCCATTTAAAGTATCTTTTATTTGAAATGGATCTCTTTCCCTCCTTTTCCAGGACACGATTTGTTGTCGGAAATCATTGGGATGTTAATAAAAGGGGTGTAAAAGAGGGTAAGAGGATCCACTCTCATCCCCCTTTCTGGATTTACTTCAGATTAATTAGCTGTTGATTGAATTTGAATTAATGTTAATTCTAATTGCAAGAATTTATGTAAATGGGCGTCTGAAGTCGTAGAACAAGCCTTGCGGCGGTGCTTAATGTCGGTGTGACATATCCCTAAAAATGGGATATGTCACACTTTCACCATGATTTCCATACGTCGGTTAATCTGCCTTCTCTTAGACACTTAGAGAGTAATAGAGACTTGTAGGCTTATCAATGTCAGAATTTATTTTAGACGACTGATAAGGAAAACTTTAAAGTTCATGCCACATTACAGCCTATTGAAATGGTTTTTGTCTGGACTTTAAAGCTCTTACGCTTTTACGACACCAAATGTTGCATACATAACAAAGTCCTGCATTGTAAAGTTCAAAAATGTTAGAACTTTCTTTTGAAAATGATATTTTTGTCCCGATTTCCAGATGTCCCTAATTACTTTCTTCCACCTGTGCCCTGCTAATTACTTTTGCAGATCCAACTCTTTGTACATGCCCTAATCATTGCCTTTCTTTTACATCTAAATATACCACTTTCCACAGATAAATGGGGGATGCCAAAATAGTTCGCTTAATTAAGAGCCAATTAATTGCCGGGTCATTTATTTGCTTTCCAAACAGGGGCAAAAAAAGGGGTTTAAGAGTACTCGAATATTGGCTTGGATGTTGTTTTAGACGACTTTTTGCCACCTCCAGAAGAGGAAGTAATCTTTGTCTGGTTGTAGGGATTCCTGATGCAATTTACATGTACTTGTGTATGTTCTCTGTTGTGGATTATATGTTCGCGGTATATGCCTTTTTCGGCTGACAATAGAGATAAGAAGAGTGCGTATTTTATCAACACAGCTTCTTGTTCATGAGTTTACACTTTTTTGTCTTGAATATGTCCGTACGATATGGTCATTCCTTCCTTTAAAACACCTCTACATTGAACATCTTAAATATTATCCATCTGTTGACACCTTTATATTTAAAATCCTGTAGCTTAGCCCCCCTAATATTGATATGTTTAATCGCGATTATTTACGCGCTCAAACCGCCGCCTGAAGACGTATGGAGATTAGAGCGAAATAATAAACCTTGACGAGTATATCAGAGAAGAAGGGACTAGGGTATTAGTGACAGGACTAATCCCCGCCGGCGATGTTTTGTATCCATTTTCGGGTTGATGCGAGGTTCTGAAAAGCGATGGCCCAGGGTTCGGAGGGGACGTAATTCGGTTGACAGAAGACCCGGCGTAAATAGTTTGGGCCAATTATTCAGATAGGCCAAGAGAACGGAAAAATTTACTGGAAGCTCTTGGCGAGGCGACTAAAGTGTTTTCCGTCTATTATTGTTGACATTTACGGCCAGTAAATAACGTCGTCAATTGGGGAAACTCAAAAATGCGGCAACGGTGCATAATGGGCAGATTCCGAGAATCCGCTCGAATGTCCGGGACACCTTTATATATTTGTAAAAAAGTGTAATTCGGAAAAAAAGTATGAATGGTACGTATATAGATCATAGTGTCATCACAGCGTGGAAGTGTTAGAGAGGGATTACAGTAGTGTTAAAAAGGCTAGGATGTAAAAACGGTGGACTCAATCCCCTTAAAGATACGATTAATTTTCTTGTTTACTTTTCTTTTTTCGGATATTTATGCGGATCATGGATATGTAAACGACCTTACAATATCATGCTTGCTGACGACACCAAGGACGCATGCCTTTCAAAGTAAATGCACCAAAGTTTTCTTCAAACTTTGCAATTTATTTTTTACGTTTGAGCATTTTAAAGCTATTTTGTGTTTTATCAGACGGCTGTTTATCAAATATCACTCAATCTTTGATGCGGAATAGTATAAAATACGATTTTGATCCTTCTTTATCCCATTGTTGTCCCTTTTTTATTCCCTACGCCCTAAACCAGTAATTCCCAGTAATCTAAAGCAATGTCATCGCTCTTTTCGTTACATCACGCCCGCTAATTAAATGTATTATTTCCCTTTTTTTAAATCAATATTACACCTTTTTCTATTTTCGTAAATTTAATTATTGGATTATTCTCTTCCAAATATTTTACACTCAATTAATTTATTTTCGGATTTCTTGAGATTTTACAACAACGGGTGAAGCGTTATTTCCAAAATTTTATGAAACCGAACTCAGAGGAAATTGGAAAAAAGCGTGACCAAGATTTGGAGGAGTGTACTAGGAACTGTAAAGTTTCATTAACTTTGTTTCCAGCTACTTTTGAGTCTAATTTTTGAGTTTCTGAATATTCGGATTATTTGTGAATCGTTTTCTGATAGCCTTTGGAGGCAGGGTTTGTCATTTCACCTGTTCAAATTCTTGAAATTTATCCGACACCTGAATTTAGCCTCAGGGCGTTAGTTTGTTTTTTAGCCTCGGCTTCAGAGTTTCTTTATTTGAATTTACATTTTCATACCGTATTTACATTTCTATATTTCGCGACACAAACCCGATTAAAGTCATCATTTCATCTTTATGTGAATTTATTGAATGTTTTCACTTTCAGAATTATGGGTATTAATTGCTGTCGATTGCTGAACGAGAGCAAAGACGAGCACAGCACATTCACCCGCTCCAAAAATGGGCATCTTATCAAAGTAGAGAAGATACGATGTGCAGACGGATCGGTGATGAAGAAACTGTCCACAATCTTCGAAGAAGATGAGAATCAGATTTCCAAGAAGTCCTCGTTCATGTCCATACCCTCTACGAACAAGTTTGTAGGCATATATCAGACGGAGAAAGTGGCGGCAGCGCCGGTGTGATGGCGGTTTCTGCATTCTGATCTTTTTTATGGGGATGTGCTCAGAGTTCGGGGTTTAAAATTTTATGAAATTCTCGGAAATTGGTCCCTGCAGGCCGAATATCAATATCTGAAGACTTTAGCCTCGGAATTTCTGGAGTGGCCAAGATTTCTTAACCACAAAAAATGTGCCAAAGTTCTTAAAAATGCGTTCTCCGCACCTGAGCACTCCCTTCTCAGCCCGATTCACATACATATACCTGTAATTACCTGTCCTTATATCTCAAATTGTCCTCGTATTCGATATACGCCCATCCGCTTTCAATGTATGTCGTATTTTACTTCTCTCCGCCACGACCTTCCCTATAAAATGGTTGCCTTATATGGAATGCCAAAATATTCATCAGACTTTTACAGTAATCTCGCTCTGATGGTATGTCTCGATACACTCTTGTTAATATTTGCTTACAAAACGACCCTCAATGTACCGGTAACTTTCGTATCTTCAATGAAGTCATGATAATAAATATTCAAAATCTAAATGCGAATTATTTTTTGCAAATTAATCAAACTTCAACCATAATTGAATTTGGAATCGGGTAAATATAAAGTTCCAGGGCTCTCTAATCGCATCGTAATCGAGGAAAAGAGTCGGGTTTATTTAAATTCCTCGGAGGGAGGAAGTTGCAACGAATTTAATTAGAGTATTTTATGGATATGTGGACAAAATTGGGCCGGAACATTTTATTTCGAGTCCCCTTTTTGGGAATTTAATCTTTTTCGCATAAAAATTCGGAGAGGAAAGAGAAGAATGGACTTTCTCCCCAAAATCGACGCTTATTTCCCGAGGAAATTTACATATTTTCTGAAATTTGAAAACGATTATTTTCCGTTTTCCACATTCAAAACATCGCACAGCAGATTGTACTTTAGAGCAGCAACCGATCTCCGCGACTTTTTTTCATAATACGGCTGGTGGATTGTGTGGTAGATACAGTATGGGCCCAAATATCCTTAATGTACCAAGAAACGCACTAATGAAATCCTTTCAATTGTCATTGCGAAGTTTCTACTTCTGGATTTTTTACAATAGTTATATTTTCAAAACGCGGCTTTTCACTCTAATGAGATGCCAAATGTTTCTAGCGCAAACGGCTAGCGAGATATGAAGAGAAGAAAGCAAGCGCATTCCGAAAAAAACTGAAAAGTCTCGGAGGGTGTTGTCTACAGTATCGGTTGTTGCTCTAAACTGTAGATCGCTGTAAAATCTAAACAAAACAAATATTTACGGTGTCCTAAAAAAGTAATAATTTTATACTCCTATTATATTTATCCCACCCTCGGAAGCCGGTAAACATGACATTTGCCATCCGTTTTTTATTTATTTTTCGCACATTTTTGATGTCTTCGCGAGAGTCGAGAGCGCCATAAACGCTCATCTTGAGGAGAGGTCCTTTATGCGGTCTAATTAAACCAATTCGGCGGGTTTCTCTTCTTTTCCATAAATCTTTTGTACTAAACCCGATAAAATTTGCATAATCTGAGTTTATTCAAGTTTTTGAAGACTCGAAAAGGGGTATTATTGAAGCTGGAAGTATGAGTTGTCTGTTTTACCAAAGACTTCTCGGCTTTTTGAATTTCAAAAAACCACCGATTCCTATGCTAATTTATTCAAATTTATTCCCTTTTTTCTCTGCGCGTCCTTTACTCAGAGTCCTGTTATACCACGACATCTAGAAGCTCCCTTTTCCGTTGTATAACTTGTTTTTGTCCTCAGGGCATCTTTGAACTTTTGTTTTGTCAAAATTTATCTTTTTTCCTGTTTTCAAATTCCGATGGATTCCAATGCCCCCAGGGCTTCAGCATCGTTTGATGGGGGGTTACTTTGTCTTTGGTCTTTCCCGAGTAACATTCGCTTTCGGCCATAATTCACGTTGCAAAGCCCATTTTTCTGGGAAAAAGTTGTTGAAATCTTCAAAGAAATCTTCCCTTCCTTCGTTTGTCCGCTACCTTTTTCTACTTTTGTCTCGCGTATTTGTAATCTTTGTTTACAAAACTTTTGCAACTTGTTTGGCTGCTCGAAAGCCTCTTTACAACCACTTTTTTTTAGTTGCTTTATAGCGTCATTTCTTCATTTTAATTACATTTTCGCCAACTTCAAAAAAAGAAAAAGCCGGTAGAATCTTCTTCGGTATTATCGAATGCTTTTTCTGATGCGAAACCGGTTCCCTCGGGTCATTAGCCGTTCAGTTAATGAAGAGTAGTGGACTTACATTACTGTCATGTATCTTTTCTCTTTAATTTGTTACGTGAGATGAGACCAGTTTAGTTGGAGGGAGTTCGAATTTTTGAAATGATTCTTCATTTTTTGCGGAATTCTGGATTTTTGTTTTATCAATGTTATTATTACGCGAACGCGCGCGAATTTCAGTTACTCCTTTGTTTAAAAATATCTTTGGTAAGGAGACAAAATTTGACGGGGAAAATTGATGACATTGACATAGATCTCTATTTAAATTTTTGATAACATAGGCATTTTTAGGCAGAAAAATGCAGAAAATTCTTTTTTTGCGACTTCGGGTGGAAAACATTACTTTCAATCAGAAAACGTTGAAAATTACATCCTTTGGCGCAATGCCTATAGATCCATTGAAACTATTTTTTGCAAAGTTAGAAAAGATAGGTTTTTCTGTAATTTATTGTCAACTGATTTTATCAATTTTACAGCGATCTCCATACTTTTTCCCATTAATATTCCTGTTAACCTTTTATCAGAGAGCCCGATAAGCCTTTGAATGCCTTCGCTTGGAGAGCTGCGGTTATGGTTTTTTTATTCCCAAATCCTTCCCCATCAAACCCTTTTTGTGGACGCTGTAAAACGATCACTCATCGGGGCGTTTCCTTTGTAAGTAAAGGTTGCACAAACTTTGCTTTTACAAGTAAACCAGTTCCCTTTCAGAGCACTTGCATTTGCTAATAATATTACTTAACTTTACTAGAATTCAAGCACGGAAGTTAATGATAAAATTATATTCCTGTTTATAAATTTGATTACAAATCTGTTTTCTTTAAGTGTTTTATGTAGTAATGTCAACATTAAGGTTGGGATATCCAAGGTTGTAAAGCCAAAACGGCCAAAATACTTTTTATTGTTGTGATAACAGACCTTTTCTCTTTTTTCAGTAGCTCCCATTAATCCCCAAACCCACTAAAACATCCGGGAGTTGCTCCAAACCCCAGCTCCATCATTTTTTGCGAATGACCACCAGGTTTTCGAAAAGACTCATAAATTTACTATTATTTCAAAGAGAGCTTCCTTTTTTAATGTCATGTCCATTGGGAGGGCTGAAAAACCAAGGAGATTTGGTGGAACAGACGCATCCAATACGAGAGTTGGCACCTCTTTTCTGTTATCTAAACATGCCATCAGACTTGTGCAAAAAGTTGGGATTATCGGAAATTATGCGCATTTTTTAATGAAAATTCGAAGTTTTGATATAATTGTCAAAAATAAAGTTAATGTTGACCACCGTAGTGTTTTTTGCTACTTTATACTTTCGGATTATAATAAAAAAACGCTTTTCCCTTTCGCCGCCATTATGTATGACAATGTTGTGCCCCTTCCCTCGCAGATATCCCCAACAATAACGCGCCGAAAAGCTGATTCAATGGACATTCGGAAGACGCAGAAAACAAGATTCCGTGCATAAAATTTGTTAGTTTTTCGTTGAGTCGACACTTCTGATTCAGCGATTGTTCCCGCATTTCGTTTCGGATGCCTCATCGTGCAGGTTCCTTGAGACTCCAAAGATATTGTTTCACTTCACTTTTGTAGAGGTTATCTTTTGTAAATCCCTTCCGTAATTCGACCATTGTCATTTCTTTTGTCATCATTTCTCTTCATGATACGAATCGAAAGTTTTCTTAACAGTTTTTTACGAAGAAGAAATCTTTATTACCTCATACAGCGATTGGAGAAAAGCAATTTATTTTGTTTCCCCTGAGGGCGAAAAAGGAGTTTGTTGGGAAAAAGGATTGGACAAACATGGCCTTGGTCACTTCTCTGGCCACAGGAAGGATTATCCAAAAGAGGTAGAGGGCTGTACTTGGGGGTACCATGGGACGGGAGTACCAGGCTAGACTTGGGGATATTACTTACCGACATAAGTTTGATCATGGAATTACTTATAAGAGTAGACTTTCTGGGTCATATTAAGTTCATAACCAATTCTTGGAACAGGTTCAGCAGATGTCACTGTCATAAATAAGGTCTCCAAATATCCTCTTTTCGCAGACTTTTTTATTTTTGCAATATTACTCTTCATTTTCTCCGAATCCTCTCAGTCCAGACGTGGTTATTCGATGATTCAAATACGAGTGCAAGTATTATTTATCAAATAATTGGCCAACGGAAGGTTTGCGTTAATCTGCCACCTTCTTGGTATGTCTGCTTTTGCAGTAATTGCCAGTTTTCTACTCGAATGCCCGATTAAAGTTCCATCCATCTGCGAGGATATGAAAGAAAGTAAAGGGAGACATCTCTATGAATAAATAAAGTCTCAAGACTCGGTAAAGGACTCGGTTTCCCACGTTCTTTGGCCGTTTTCGTGGCCATTCTGATCCGAAAGTTGACTGGAAGAGAGACTTTTCGATAGGTGAGAGTAGCTTTATCCAGAGATTCCGCTCAGAATGGACCCAAGTTGTAACTAAATTTTCTATGAACTTTTGTCCTAAAAAATACCCTTTTGAATTTCTAGCTTCAATGAGCCAGTCTTGCCTTTTAATTTTCAACGATTTTTTGTACTTTAGAGCAGAGGAGTATTGTGTCCAAATTTGGCAAAATTAATAGCTGGGTTTCCTGGAAAATGGTTCTATGACTAGTAACGTGCTTAGAAGCAGGTATAATCATCTTGCTGAACGCCTTTTTCCCCCGAACTCATCGTTTTCTTGCAGCTAATTGTGTGAAGCCGGGTTCCGTTCTCTTTGGCCGTTTTGTCCACAAAGCCAAAAACGGCCGAAAGGAAAGTTTTCCTTGCTCTTGTCCTTCAAACATTCTGCGGAATGCACGGTGAAAAAGAAAGACTTTTGGGCGCTTAAATATGGAGTTTATCAAAGGGAAAACACGTCCTGCCTTCACTTTTCGTACGCTTTACGTTGCGGATTCACCGTTTGTTTTGATTTCTTTTTTATGGCCAAGGCTTCCTTCGTTGTTTTTATTATACTTTTTTGATTACTTTTCTGGCATCTGCAAAGATATGGTCATGGATTGCTTTAAGTTAGAAAATTGGTTTTCAAAACAAAGTCATCAATTTCTGTCTTTGCACGTACTGCAAAAACTGTACTTTAGTTTTTGGTATCTCCCATCTTCTTGGAATCCCTCACAATCCTTTAATTTACTTGCCAACTACCTCTTTGCAATCATCTCCCCTTCAACTTCATTCGTTCATCAGAATCTTTTTCAATTTCGCACCTTTTCTCAAAGCAAAAAATGGCTGTCCTAAATCTTTTTTCTACGGCCACTGTGTATCTTAACTCGGAAAAAGAATATGCCTCAGGGCATTTGAATGGGAAAACGGAGACGGAACATTTTTTTGCGGCCTGCTTATTTTTTTATATTTTGCGTACTACTTTGAGCAGTGAAATCTCAAAAAGTATTACTTCCGTTGGGATTTTTAGAGATCTTTACGGATCTTTGGAGATTTGCAAGGATGTAAGAGGGATTTCAGCAGATTTCATGCCTTATATAGACAAAAAAAAACAGTTGGATTAATCAACATAATGAGTGCATATTTATTCTACTTCCAAAATCTGGAATTTTTTTCATTTTTTGGACCCATTCCCCGAAAATTTCCTTAATGCAATTAGGGCATTTGCTTTGTACTTTCTTCCAATAGGCCTTTTCATCTTCGGAATTGAGAACCAGTCAGTCATTTTCATGTATATTTTTACATTTTTTTTACAAAGCCCTCCGGAATTTAGTTGCCCGAAGGCATGAATGCAGAGTGGGTGGGATTAAAGATTGTACTCGCAATATTTATGGAAACGACAGATGCAGATTAGAGGGGGTGAGACCACTGCAGACCTTTTTTTACTTCTTTCTTATTACTTTTATACTGCTGTACTACTAATTACTCATATTATAATACAGAGTGGGCCACTCGAAACTCCCAACCTCTTTTCAAGTATTTCTCCGCCAATAATGCACCAATTTCTATAAAATTTATATCAAATTGAAGCTGAGACACCCCATTTCTTGTCTACCAAATATGGCCCGTCTAACTTCACGGAGGCACCCGTACTGACCTTTTACATTTTCATTCCAAATTTTGGAGTCCGAAATCGGTGAAACTTAGAAAATTTTTGCAATGATTTCCAGTTGAGTTTCTCGGAATTGGAAAATGTTCGCGCATTTGGCTAAATAAAACTCATATAAGCAGCAGAAAAAAATGATGGCAGTCAACGGAATAGTCAAAATTATTCTTCAAGGTGTTGATTTTGTGTTCTGGGGCAATAGGCTTAATTATTCGGAATTTTTCAAAATGTGAAAAAATGGACGAAACTGTCTGCATGCATGAGGACATCCACCCCGAAGATGCACAGAAACTTTCCAGGTTTAGATTGCCCGAGAAAACAGCTTTCGTTCTGATTCGCCCAAATTGGTACCTCGCCTGATTGAAATATGGGTTTAACACACTTGGTACGGACGTAAACTTTAATGTTTTTAAAATTTTTCCGCGAATTTGTCGGCTTTTTTCTTGCCGGTAATCCAAAAATTTTCTAAGTCCGAGAAACTCAATTGAAAATCATTCCAAAAAATTTCTAAGTTTCACCGATTTCGGGCTCCAAAATTTGGAATGAAAATGTAAAAGGTCATTGCGGGTACCTCCGTGAAGTTAGACGGGCCATATTTGGTGGACAAGAAATGGGGTGTCTCAGCTTCAATTTGATATAAATTTTATAGAAATTGGTGCATTATTGGCGGAGAAATACTTGAAAAGAGGTTGGGAGTTTCGAGTGGCCCACCCTGTACAATTCGTGTCCTTTTGAAATGCATTCAAACCAAATTCCCCTTTTTTATTTTGGTCCAGATTTATTGTCGACATTATTTTTTTATTGTTCTTTTTCTCTCATTCGCAATCTCTCATTCGTTTTTTTCTCACAATGCCATCGAAATAGCAAGATTAGCATGGCCAGGTCTTATTTTGGCCAGATTTGCGGGTGAATACGTAATTTTCCAACCTCCGTATTCAAAATATCTGAAAGAAATGGAGTCTTCCGGAAATTCCTTTACGAAAAATATGAACATGGCCACATGCTATGGCTATATTTATTCGAAGTAATACTAACTGTAAGAAGTACAGCCCATTCGTGGCAGGCTACAGTTAGCAAATTCAATTTTGTTTTTCCCACTAAAAAGTCTAAATTTTACGGTAAAAAAATATAATGCAATTTTGTACCGTAATCTTCAAGGAATTACTAGTGTTATGACTAATTTATTGGACGTTATCGCCACTGGTTTTCGATATACGATGAAAACATTCGAAACAGGCCACGAGGTCATCTTTTTTTGGAAAGCCCGGATTTGTTGCGTGATTAATCCAAATTTATTTGGAGCGGCTCTTTTTGCGATTACTTTGAGTTCTCAGGCCATTATGTAAATTGGACTTCCATCTTTTGAACCGTATTTAGAAGGGTTTACTTGACTCTTTATTCGTGATAAAGTTTCTAATTTTTTTTATTTAATTTTGGTTATATCTAAATTTTCAGAATTTAAAGGATGACAAGGGTTATACGGCCGGTTGAGACGTAGAAAATAAACACGACACTATGAAGGAGCGATTTCTGCGTCTACTGCCATTCATATTTCTTTTGGCAAAGGGTAATTTAGTCATCATTTTTGGTGCTTTTTCAAATTTCATTGAAACTATTAAGAATATTTTAGGTCAAAACGTCCAGATATCCCCGCCCTCAGGAGCCTTTGTTCTCCGCAGATCTGACGATAAACCGAATCCCTATTTTTCATCGTTACCAAATTCCACAGAAATAACTGAATTGTATCTGCAAAATGGTTGCGCTTTCAACGCTGACCAAACTGTCTCCCAGCGAATGGGAGGAAGATCTTTCTATGAACATTTGTTCCCTGCGGCGCAAAATTTACATTGCACTGTGAATGTGAGATTAGCCAAGGAGGAGATTTACTTGGTGAGCTTAATATTGCCAAAACATTAATTCTTTTCGAAAATGATTACCATGTTTATTTGTAGGACCGGCCATTTGTTGATATCATCGTTCTCCGTGATCCCGTTTGGATCAGTCTCTTCAAGCATCGGTTGTGTGTAACTGTTCAATTGACAAACCAAGCTGGTGCTTCTGTTGCTGGCTCTTGTATCTTCCATGAACGGCATCCAAACAAACATTCATGTTTGATTAGACAAGTTGTTCCGTTCTCTTGGTTTCAAGTCAAATCAACTGCTCAAAAAAAAGAACAGGTAAATTTAGGGATTTCCCAAAACAAAACTATTTTCATATTCCCCTTTAATCTTTTTTTCAGATTGTTTCGGTATCTTACTCCGTCAAACGCCAATGTTCTTCCCCTGAATTTCCTTTACTTGGGCAACGCCTGAAGCTGATGTCAACCGTCGAGAAACTTGGGGCTTTCATGAGCAACAAACAAGATGTTGGGTGAGTATTTCTTTTGCTCTCATATCCCTCGCTTCAGCCATTTAACCGTCCTTTCTCGGCCAAACATCACTTTCATCACGGAGTCCATGTCAGCGATGATTTTTCATTTCAAAAGAAACTCAACGACTAACAATTCAACTGAGCTCGAGAAATTAAACGTCCGATTTTATGTCGATGACAGGTTTGAGGTGGTCTCTGCTTCATCTTTGGATCCGAGAGCATGGAGGCTAAGGGTTGAGACGGTGACCGAACCAAGAAAATTCACAAGTTTCCAGTTGAGTTATAATGGAAGGGAGCCGTTAGATGAAAAGTAAGTCATATAAACGGATCTTTGAACTGCCAAATACTACGGCTGAAGCTAACCACTTTGAATCCATGAAATTTCAGTTTTGAGCAGTACATCTTCGCCGTTCTTCTGAGACTCCGAAATCGAATTGACAGCATTTTACGGCCAAATCAAACCACTCAATCACAAATTCAGCTACAATGGAACGTGGAGTTAGATGAAAGTAATGAAGTTATACCCATGAAATCAACGTCAAAAGCAACACCAGCCACAGAACCAATAAAAGCGACCATGTACAAGGTTGTGAAGAACATAAATATTGGATCTGACAGAGCTTATGCTCTGGTTCCTCTGGCCAAGGTAGGGTCTACGGTTTGAAGCATTCACTTTATTCATCTTAGACCAGTGATCTCATAAACACCGCTGTGTTGACTGGAATTCAAGTGGCTACAACCATGAGAATCTATGTTGTAACTGAAGCCGGTCAACTCCAAGATATCACCGACAAATCGCACTGCCAATCAGTTGAAGCTCGTATAATAAAAGTGTCTCCAACATGCACATCCATCTACGTTGATGGCTCTGAACTCCGAGGGAAATCAGATGTTCAAATAGAAGTGATCTACAAAAATATGACGGCTTCGGCTTCATTTGTGGTATGGTATCCAAAACTGCCAATTACTGTCTGGGCCGCTGATAGGAATTTGAACTCTGTAAATGATTGGAGAATCGCCGGATGGGAGAATTTTGGGACAAGGCGGAGAAAAAGAAAGGCCGCGCAATCTGTTTGTGAAGCCAGATTTCAACAAACTGAGGTAAGCAAAAAATAAATTTTTGAATTACATTTGTCGAGCTGTTCTATCTTAATAATTCATTTTAGATCCGAGTCCTTGCCGCCTTTCATATCGTCGATGAAGAGACCGGCGAAAAATCGTATCTTTCAGGATCTCACGATCTTTTCTTTGATGTCACCCAGATATCTCAACAAAGATTGCACTCCTCAAACCCCGCAATTGTCTCCATCCGTCGAAAAGATGGCCGAGTTTTGGCCATTGGCCATCATCCAGGCCAAGCTCGGCTGGCTATTAAATCAGTCACTGGGAATGATATCGAATATGGGGCAGTCGATCTCGCTGTCTCTAAAGATACCGTATCCGCTGTCCAGTTATTTGTGAGAGTCGTCTCGGATGTCCAATTGGAACTGCAGTCCAAGCCAGGACTGGCCTCTCAATTCGAATTAATAGCCAGAACAAATGGATTATTAGCTCAGAAATATCAGCATGCCACTTTGGAGATCTTCATTTTCTATTCTGATGGACAAAAGGAGTTGTTGTCTGATGTGGAAACTACATTTTATTCGTTGTCTATCTACACAACTGATGAGAATGCGTTGAAAATTGGGCAGCAAAGAGGAAGTTCAAATGTGGAATTGGTCTTATTAGAGGACAAGCCTGATATTAAATTAACTGTGGAAATGAGAGCTCCGAAAGTCTGCGACGACCCCGACACGCCGTCATTGGCTGCGGGAATGACAATATTGGACACTGGGGTGAAGTCAGCGGTGCAGCAGACTCAGCATATTTATGTAGACAGTGCCGAGAAAATACGTAAGAATAAATTTTTATTTTTTTTACTTCACACTTCTAGACATGAATGTGACCAACTCCCAGCCAGAGAACTCTTCTTCCCTCGGCCTTCAACCTCTTTTGGCCATTCTTCTCCTCCTGATCCTCATTGTTGGCCTTTATCACATCCTCAGCGGGCAATTCCGAGGATTTCACAATGGTTATGAGAAGTTGGTAATGCCCTTGCTAGCTCGTTTATCCTCCAATGGAAGCCTTGCCAGTGAAAATGTGTGTGAAGGAGAGAATACTTCCAAGGAATTTGTTTGGCTTCCCAAAAGCCAGATCGATAACATGAGCGTGAACAGTCATTTCTCCCAGAAATCAACTATGAATGCGACAAATGGGACCAGCTCCAGCAATAGTTCATCCTCTTCAAGTGGAAACGGAACCAATAGAAGCGTTTCCGTCTCGTATCGAGGCTCCGAAATCAGTGTTTTCATATCCCCACAGACAAAAGGAGCGGTTTCTGTAAGTTCTTAAAGTAATTAATGTTAGAGTTATGATAATTTAGGTAAACGAAGAGCAACGGCAGTTGCAACAAGCCAGCTGGAGATCAACAAATGGTCGGACAAATCGGGTTCGACGACAAAATGGATACGGATTCCAGATATCCAGGCTAAATGAAGGTGCTGTGAGTGTGCATGATAAATTGAGTGACTCGAACTATGTTGGGAAATATGGAAATGCAACTCATAACTCGCTGAATGGTCGGATAAAGAGGAGAAGTAGCGATCATATGCCTTTTGGGGATGAATTCGGATCGGTGACAAAAAGAGCGCCACTAAAGAGAGATGTAAGTTTAAAATAATGTAATTTTGATGAGATATAAAGAACCATAATATAATGTCTTTTTTAGACATATAATATTGCTCCCACTCGTTTCCATCGGACCAATTCCTCTTCCAATCAGATCTTTGATCATCCTCGACAACAACATATGCCATCGTATCTCCGTCATTCCGCCCATCAGCTCCCTTCTTATAACAAACGAGATCGCCCCAACGGTTTGATGTATGGATCGGCTTCAAGCTACTGTCCTCCCTTGGTCAAAGACAAGTACAGTGAGTATGAGATTGGGATAAATTCTGGAGATTCATCGCCCGAGGAGATGACTCCACCTCCCACAGCGTTGGCCCCTCATTATTTCCAAAGTTGGATGACCGTGGGCTCCATTGAGAAGTTGCCTCGGGCGTCTGTTTCTCCCAGGAAGCCTCCAATCCCATCAAATGGAGATCTTCGAGAGACTGTCGCCTAGATCGTTACATTAGTCATGCTGTATAGCATCCCAAATCCTCACTCAATGACGGTTTTAACAACATTCCAAGCTCTTAAAAGTACTGCTTGCGCTTTTTAAATATGTATACAGAATCTATTTTGATCTCAACAATAATTGTAATTGTAATCGCAAACGCCTCTAATTTGAACGACTGCCATTCTCCAGACCTTTTATTGTATATAAATTATTTATTAAGTCATTCTGCAAATAGTAGAACACTCAATTATTTTACTGTTTATTATGTGTACTTGTGATAACGGGTGATATACCAATAAATCAATATTATTTCTACCTGTGGCGTTTATTGTACATCATGGTTCAATTTCGAGTCAAGACGACTGAACGTGAAGCCACACCAAAACAAAGTTTGAAGGTTTGTGGGTTACAAAGTTCAAGCCAATAAAAAAATGATTGTTAATTCTTTCATTATTCTTTTATTAGAGCTCTGGAAATGTAAACCATTGGAGGATTTATGCAAAGCGCAGTACCGCGTATAAAGAAAACGGCGGTTGTGTTACGAGACAAAGATAGTAAACAAATGAATAAAAGTATTATAAGATGCAATGCTTCAAACAAATAGCTCCTATTCAAATCCGGAATAGAATTTGAATCAAAGAAATTAAAATTAGATTCTCGCCAGTGGACAGAATAATCATGCTCGAGCATGCTCCACAAAAAAGTTTTTTTCTAAGCTATAGTATTACATTGGAAGAGAGTGGTAATCCTAAAAAGTTGAAATCTTTGATGACTATGTATACGTATCATTAAGTTTAGGGTTCAAAAAGTTACAATTTAAATCAATCTGTATTAATACAATCTGTGTTTTTACTCCTTTGCAACACAAGAAACAATAAAAGTTGGAACGTATATACTCGCCCACTAAGTTGCTATTTTAGTTTATTACAACTAACTATCCAATTGAGTAACCGGATGCTTTATTTCAAGTCAATTGTCTTGGTGCGGACTGTGAATAAATTGGATTTTGGAGAGCTCTGAGAGAGCTGTGTTTTTTGAGGGCGTCTCAAAACTTTGTTGATTAAAATACCTTTGATTGTTTGATTAAATGTCAGGTATATTATTGGAGTTATCCCTGAAAAATAATAAAGATTATAGTACTTTTTTCAGGCATCTATTTACCTTGTGAAACAACGTATGTAAAGTTGGCCGCAGCATTAAAAAATCTGGTCGATCCGAAGAATCGAATTGAATTGAAGAAAGCACTCGTCAAAAGTTGGAATAAGTGGATAAATAGCACTTGCAAAAACATCTGTAACATGTTTCGAGTTATAAATTGTGCCAAAAGAATGACAAATAATGTCTGAAACTTACTTGGCGATCGAACACTGCGTTCTTTTCGGCCAGTCGGTTCTTTTTTCGGTGATAAACAATCAAAAATGTTGAGACCGCCACAATACTGACAGCAAAGTCAGTGCAGTTATGAACACTCGCCCAAACAATATGATAAATCCCGTCTGTGTCGGCGTAATATCCAGAATGAGGATTGACAACATAAGTCATCTCTAGCGAGTTAAAAAGAGGTGGTTGGACAAAGAAAAGGACACCAAGATGGTACAGTTCAATCAAGAGTATCCAAATGTAGATGGTCTTGGAATTAAAGAGAATATTGTTCAGATTTGTATTATACATCATAACACATCGATTTACAGTAATCAGGATGTTAGTCGTGCTGCCCGCACACCATGAAGCTGAAAAGTTGCCATTGAAAATATTGTTTTAGTCTCATACCTAAGTCGAAGGCTCCGGAGATGAAAACAAAAGATGGATATGAACAGAAGACGGCTCCACGGATGTAGAAGAACGCCGAGAATATGCCTGTAGTCATCAGACTGCTCAGATGGTACACTCCGAGTGTAAACATTAACTTATAAGTGGGGCGATCTCTTTGATCACTTATTGCGATACAGTAAAGGCAGGTAACATATAAGGCCTGTAATTCGTAATAAGCTCTCTTTTAGACCTTCATTTTCACCTACAATCAGAATTGGGCAAATAAAAAAAGTAATACATCCAAGAAATGGATGCTCCCGTTCACTCAAAGGAATAGAATCCACAGTGTAGAAATTGCAATTAAATCGGCGATTAAAGGTGTCTTCTTGAAATAAAAATTCCTCCATCCTCTTTACAACGCTGCTTACAACAATACCCACAAGGTGCACATTAATGCACCAACCAGACAAACCCGATATCTTCAAGAATACAATTCCTTGTAAATACGCCCCTTAATTTATGCACGTTGGTTTACAGCTGCTCCAAATACTCTAAATCAGAGATAAAAACAAATTCTAGCTTATAATTAGATAGTAAAAATAAACCTAATTGTGACACGACCTGAAAACATAAGAAGGAGGGCAAACATGAGTTAGAATTGTTTTAAGTAGCGACTGCAATATTGTATTCGAATCCACCTAATCCCGCCCGCTCGATGCAAGGAAGTGTAAACTATAACACTCTTCGTTGTAACATATACGGAATACGTATATACAGGGTAGCCGGAAAAAACGCAACCCATATTTATAGCTATATTTTATTTAACAAATAAAATTCAACAAAAGTAACGATCAATAACAGAAACTTAGAACATTGTTAATAACATGTTCAGCCAGTTTCAAAGCGGCTGCCCTTAGCGGCGATATAAAGCTCCAAATGTGACTTTTAATTTTACAAAATTCGGAGAAATCGGGCCCGTTCTTGGCGGAGCGATTACTTAACGACCCTAAACTCTTGTGGCGTATAGTACAGATGCTGGTCTCCAATTAAAAAAATAGTCCAGTAGGGGAGAAATCCTGTTGGGACGTCCAATTTTCACCGCCAAAGTTCTGTTGAGACCACGGAAACACGATGGTCTCCATAGTTCGGTGCTCCTTGACGCACAACAAGCCAAATCTTGTAATTCTGGTGATTTTGGACCTGATCGACATTGAAAAATTTCTCGTCCGTGAAGAGGATCTTCTCCCATTCCTGAACCGTGGCCCGACATATGAATTTTCGACATCGTTACAGCCGTATGCGCTTGTTGTCTTCCGTAAGGAACCGGACTTTTTGAAGGAAAGCGGCTAAGACAGAAAAACACGGAGAAATATTAGTACAAAAGTTATCCTTTTTACTTTCTAGTCAATACCCGCAAAAACGTCGTATTGTTCCGGCCACACTGTACGGTAATATTTGTTTCATTTATTGAAATTTCAGGTCTATCCCGTGTTCTGACACAAAATTTTTTTTTGGCATTCTGCATTATTCGTCCAGAAAGTCCGTCATTATGATAGCAGTTTTTCGTTTTACTTTCATAGATTTCTCGGTAAGTCTCGGTTCTTTTTTATTCTTGTTATGTTATTTTAGGTAACAGATTATGGAAAATTACATCGATCTTGACGACTCTCAGGCGGTATGGTATTCAAAAGACAGTCTTGTCCTTCGAAAAGAGATGGGTTACACGTCTATGGAAGAGAATGAGACTTTAGTCGATCCCATGAAAGAACCAGAAAAGCCTTACATCCTGACACCAAAGATGTTCAAACGAGCTCGCATCAAGTGTCCGACTCCAGAAAAAAAGCATAACAACCTTATTCAACTCCAACCACCGGGTCCATCTCAACTGTTACACGAAAACACGGTTGAAAACGCGACTCCTCAGCCAAGGAAGGTCAAGTTTCGGGGTTTACCGGTCAATAACAATATCAGGTCTCCCTTCTTGCTGAACACTCCACCATTGGCTTTTGCTGTTCGTACTGTACGCGCTGCTATCGCATCCGTACCACCTCCGTCACCCCGTCCGGATTACCGTGAAATGTTTTTTCTGCCTCCTCCACCTCAACCATCATCTCTTCCTCGTCCTCATCCAGTTCAGAATAATTTAGTTCCGCCGCGAAATGTAAGGCTTCTATTTTTTGATGAAGTAGTCTTTCTGATAATTCCAGGCACACCCGTTGCCACCATCTACTGTTATTACTCCGGTCTCATTTTCTCCTTTTAATGTTGGTATCTTCCAATCTATGATACTCCGTCTTCCGAGTGGAGCCAACATTGGAATTGAGGATTTAGTTCGTGGAAGGCTGATTGGTGTTATTTTTGCAGCTGATTTTTGTCCAGCTTCGCAGAATTTCTTTCAGAAACTCCAGGTGAGCCAAGTTTGTTACCTAAACAAGTTTAATTTTAGATTTTTTACGAAAATATTCGAAGTCTAGGAAAGAATTTCGAGGTAATTTGGGTTCCTGGTGGTTTTGATGAGAACGGGCAGAGTAGAATGCAACAAACAGCTCGATGGCCACATTTGGAACCAACCGATATCAGAGTTGCGTAAGTTTTGGGTTAGATCGTGTTTGAAAGTTAGTTGAGAATGTTTGGATTGTCTTATCCTTTTGTTTTAGTCACTTCCTTCAATACTTCAACATCCAGAAAATTCCCAGTTTCCATTTGTGCACTCCTCAGGGTGAGATTTTGTCTTCTACTGGCTATGAAGAAATATTTTTCTCCAATGATCCACCAATCAAGGTCTGGAGGGGATGGAAGAGGCGATACTCTCACAGATTACTGATTATCTGAGCTTGTTTATATTGTTGTTACTTGTTATTAAATGAACTAATCGTTGCCTAAGTTGATTTAGTGTAGTTTCTAATCTCTGTATAAAATATTGATGGTTGTTTTCATTACGTTTCAAAGCCACAACAACTTGATTCCAAAGATTTATGACTTAATCTCAATTCGTAAACCGTTATTTTCGTTTTTAAGATTGTTAATGACCTTAAAATCGGGGTTTCCAGATGTTGTCTCTTTTTTATAAACGCGGGTGAAGAGGCTCGAACCAGCTATTGGAAGGGCCGGTGCCCCCATTCCATTATATTATACAGGCAAGAGGGAGTTGGATCCGTTTATCGCCCATTTATTCGATTTGGCCGCGATCATGTTAGTAATTCTGTAGTCATAACAATAATCCCAGTCTTTTGTTCCTCAGAAAAGTGGCCACTCGCTTTTGACCTGAGGGCATTTTATGGTCTCTTTGTCGGAAACGATTCAAAGACACTTGGCCAATCCATCTCGGAGCGATATCGGATGTCAAAAGAAGAGAAGGTCGATATTTTTTGCAGACAAACCCACCTGAAATAAATATAATTCATCCGGGCAAATTATTTTTTGTTTCAATTTTGGTGGTCATTCTCGGATATTTTGCGGGGATTACTTTGTTTTGAACATAATGCTTTACTCTTTATTCGATGTGGCATTTACAACGGCGTCATCTTTTTCCATTCTAGGCCTCTCAAAAGTTTCGAAAGTCGAGGCGAATAAAAAGTATTCCTTCAAGAGTTTGATTTCAAACCTTCTGTCTTGTAAAGAACTTGGCCACTTGCGCGCATAATTATTTCCGCAGATTTATGCGGCTTTCTTCTTTTTATCCCCAAAATTACATTTTCAAAATCGCCAAACAAGTTCATCTTTGTGGAAAAAGTAGTCGAATTGTGAGGGGTTTACGAGGTTTATATAAAAAATGGCCGGACTTGTGGCCTGTTTCAAGGGGAAATGCAATAGAAATGTTCAAAAGGCCATGTGGCCAATGCTTAACGATTTTTTGCAAAATTCTTTGATCTCAGCGGAATTTACAAGGTTGACAAATATTTTTGTACTTTTAAGATAAGGGCTCTTATATTAAAATCTTTTGATAACATTTATGTATTGAGGGTTCGTTTAGCGTATCCGCTATTACAACTGAATTGTGCCTTTCCCTAATTTATTTTTTTCTATATCCGTTTCTTCTTGTCCATTTCGCGCCCTCTCTTTTCTTCTCTCTTTCTGTCACCGAAGAACCCGCTCTCTTTTCTCTCGTCTCAGAGTGAAACCCATTCCTTTTCCGATCCCCTTTCCTGACCCCTTCCTCCTCTCCACGAATCATAAACTTACCTGGCTGGGAGAGCGGCACGATCAAGAAGGTGTCGCCTCCACGGTGAGGCCCTCCCATTGCACTTTGGGGACGGGTTGACCTGTGTGGCAGCTCCGAGTTGGGGTTGGCCAACAGCTAAATTTTTGCGTTTGGAGTCTACGGACTCTTCATAATCAGAAAAGGCAGCAATTTAACAAGAAGTTTGTGAAGCGTTGAGATAATACAAATTGTGGTGGGCATGTCATTGTCCAGCAGTTTATTGATAAGGTGGTATTTTGTAACCTCTACTGTTTTATTTGTATAGTACATCTAAATACATGGTACAATGGGCTTGGATATAACAAGAGTTTTTTTTGGTTACGCATTTTTATAAACACCATTTTTTGCGGCCTGAACAAACAAAGTCAGCGTTTTTTCTTTTTTATGTCCAATTTAACGTAATATTCAACAGACATCAATGTACATGTTATGACACGTATTCATAAAAATAGTTTCCTTCTCCAAACCCCAGAAGTTTATAGCGTTTTCTCTATCAAAATCAGAAATATATTTTCTGGTCAGCGCAAATCGGGGGATTAAATTACATTCCGCAAGTGGATATTTGATTTTTCTGAAGGCCTGGTCACTATTGCCTGTCCGTGCTTTTATTTATCAACATTATATTAGCATCGGTTAAGTGTCCCCACAATTCGCACCCATCGTTTCCCTTTTCCTTTGCGGAGATCGGGTTAAATCACCCATAAAGACGGTTTATAGCCCTTGATTCTGTTATAACATTTGTGCGCCTCCTCAAGTGGCTGCAGTTTCAGGGTGAATTCATTCCTTTGATTCCATTCTCACGAATTAAATGCGCCGAACTATCAATTACATAGACTTCTTGTTGTTTACTCATCTACAACATTCCAGGCATACTCGCAGTGTAATCAAACGGGCGATTTAATTGTTTAGGGCTGTGTTTTACTGGCTTGGTTAAGTTTATCGTCTACCAGAGTTTAGAATTTAATTTTCATTCACTTACAACTTTATGTTGTAGCAGATATAAAAATCGACTGAAGAAAGCGCTTCGTCGAACTTGCAATTAACTATTTGCATCTCTTAATCCACAGCCAATTTCTTCGTTTTGGCAGATAATCGAAATGGACGGGGAGAGAAAGGGGAAGGTGGATATCTGTCTGCTTGTTTTACAGTTTCTCCCTTTTTACTTGCGGCTAATATTCCTGGATGGGCTCTGATTCCGACCATGTGGGTAAAACAACATAGCGATCGTGGCGAAAGGCGAGGAATCATGCTTTGATGACTTTATAAAAAGTTTTTTTTTTATGTACCATACATTTTATGTTATACTCTCAAATTGATATCAATTTATATAACAATAGTATTTGTTTTTATTTTTTTGGGGTAAAAAGGTTGCGAGCTCACTGGGTGCAATTCGTATTCCAAATTTCCCCAAAATGGCCAAAAGTCAATAGTGACATTTTGTCTTTCCGCTAATTTTCAGTAAATTTTCCGCTTTTTTCAGGAGATTGTTCCGTTTTTCGTTCGTCTCGGCCCTAAACGTTTAGCGTATCTTTTTCTCGCTGGGGATGATGGAATACTCGCAGAGTAGAGGGAGGATCACGCCCAAACTGAGAAATTTGTGTTTTTTATGCCTTTTCTTTCGAACTCGGAGATATTTTGCTTTCATTCCCTTTTGTCTTGACCTTGAACATCGAATTTATTAAAAATTGCAGATTTTAGCGGTGTTCAGGGATTTTAATTAGTTTTCCAGCAGAAATTGGCGTATGATTATATTATTCAGGAAAGAATCGTGCTCTTTTTTTGGCGTCTCGGAGGTTTGTCTCCTCTTACTGATTTAAGTGTTTTCAGGACGATTTCGGGCAGTAAACTTTCGTTTCTGACTCATCTCAGATCATAAAACGAAGAATCCCAGCAACATTCAGTCCACTGCGATCTTGTAGAAGATGGAAGCGATGGCATTACACGACTTCCGAGGGGAAGAAGCGGATGAGTTGAGTTTTACAAGAGGTCAAATCCTCAAAGTTCTCGACAAAGACGAAGACAGACATTGGTTTAAAGCTGAGTTGAATGGCCAAGAAGGATTGATCCCTTCGAATTACATCAGATTAATGGAACACTCTTGGTATCTGGGGAATATCTCCAGGGTGGATTCGGAGAGATTATTGTTGCAAGAAGACAATGCTGACGGAAGCTTTCTGGTGAGGAAAAGTGAAAGTACCCCGGGTGAATTCTCAATATCAGTCAGGTATTTTTTCTTTGTTCTTTTATTTTTAGGTATATTAGAAAACAATTATGTATGGAGTGAACCAATGTCGTTATAGGTTCAACAATGCAGTACAGCACTTCAAAGTCCTCCGGGAGAAGCGATATGGCCTGTATTATGTTTGGTCCAAAAGATTCAACAGTTTGAATGATCTCATTAGTTATCATAGGTAAGATCAGCCTTTTCTTGTTAGAATTTAGTCGTCTATGTGTAAGGATTATAATTTTAGAGCGAATTCGATATCAAAAACGCATACGATTCTCCTCCGATCGATGGAATTGGCGTTCAAACATAACACTTTTGTCCAGGCATTGTTTGATTTTGATCCACAAGAAGCTGGAGAGTTGGGATTCAGAAGAGGAGATATAATTACCGGTAAGCATTTAGGACTTTTGTCAAAACTTTTTTTTCTCTGCAGTAACCAACCGTGAAGACAAAAACTGGTGGATGGGTACCTTAAACAACCAACATGGTGTGTTCCCCGCCACTTATGTTGCTCCATATGACAACAGGCCATAAGCCCAGCCATTTATTTAGATCCTGATTGTACATTTGTTTCTCTCCGAATGTGTCTTTTGGTATAATTGAAGATCACTATGTCTTCTTAATCTTTTTACTGGCCAAGTCAGTCGACGGGTTTATCGTAAGTTGTCTCGTTTTAAAATTCAGCTCAGTTATAACACTACCATTCATAGTTTTAAGTTTTTTCTATTTTAAAGTAGTCTTCCATATAACAGGTTATGTTGTTTTATTTAATTATTTATAAATAAACGTTCATTGTCATTGCTATCACTCTGTTGAATTGAGTTAATTATTGCTGATTATACTGGTCATCATTGAGTTGGTTAATGGTCGATTTAGATCAAATTTGATCCGTGATACTGGGCCAAAATGGTCAAGGGATTGGAAGACCTCTCGGCCAAGCTTTATAACAGGTAAAAAGGGAGTGATATTGCTTTGTTGTATTGTGATAAACTGAAGTGAGAGAACTGTTTTTCCTGTCTCCCCTTATCAATGCGAAAGAAAATTTGCTTGTCGCGTATTTTGTGGACCTTAATCGGCCGTTTTATGAGCGGAATATTTCACTCAATACAATCAGAGAAAAGACTTTGAGCGGGCAATCAGTAAGAGTAGTAAAAAAATTCTGCAAAAAACTTGTTAGAAAGCGTATAAGGGCATAAAATACTTCATAAATTCACTCTTTTGATTCACTGAGCCACGTGACATTCGAGAGTTTTGTAAGTTTGAACTAAAAACAAAACGCCTTTTATTCCGTTTCCTGAAGCCCTTTTACTCTTTTTGGTGTGATTTATCTGTGCCCTCTCCGCGTTTCCCGTTCTGTTTTTTCCACCCGCTCAAAATGGCCGGACGCATGATTCGCAAGGAAAAAAAACGAATTTAAAGGGAAAGGGACCAGTTTTTCTTTACAATGGCGCAATCATATCTCGCTGTTGCACTTAATAGACGGGTATTTCCCTTTGACTAAAGATTATATTTGTTGTGATAAACATTGTAAATCCCGAGAAAGAAGGTCGGCGACGACTTGAGGAGGTGGTCTGACCGGCTTATTTGGGTTTCTTTTACTTTTTAACTGTTTGTTTTGTTAGTGAAGCCATTATGGAGTAAGCAAAACTAAAAAGTTATGTCGAAGTTGCAAGATTATGCCATATTGAAGTTTTTTTTTAGGTTGACTCACTCGAAGGTGTCCCCAGTCCCCTCACACAGCCACACTCTCCTCCAGAATCCCGTTTCCACCGTCGATGCAGACTCTCCGATCTTCTCACCGAACTCTTTTTATGGACGGGTTAGGCACTTTGCCGCCATCACTGATCCAAGATTAGTTTTCACTCCTAATCGGGAACTCTTCAAGGCCAAAGCGTTGTTGGATTCGGTCAGGTAAGACGTTATATATTGGACTATGGAGAGATTGTTGTTTCAAATTTCTCCACAAACTTTACAAATGATGATATAGGCAGGGAAATGAAGTCCAAGCTAGCCCATCCGAACTAAGACGAGCCAAGGTTTTATATGGATCCGCCTTTCATCCAGACAGCGGAGAACTACAGAATGTGATGGGAAGGATGTGCTTCAATGTATATGGGAGCACCCTGATGTGTGGAGGAATGATGGTGTTCTATCGATCCACGGCCGGAGTCTTTTTTTGGCAATGGGCCAACCAGTCGTTCAATGCGTTGGTTAATTATACTAATAGAAACGCTAAGAGTCCATTGACAAAAAAGTGAGTTTCCTGTGATTAGCTACATTGTAATAGTGAATGATGATTAAAATTTTATTTTTTGCAGAGATTTGATCACTGCGTATACTTCAGCTGTAAGTGGAGCACTTGGAGTGGCTTTTGGACTGAAATGGTTCTGCGCCTGGAAGAAGTTGGGAGTAATGTGGCAGAGATTAGTCCCGATTACAGCTGTCTGTGTGGCCAACTTTATTAATATCCCGTTGATGAGGCAAAAGTAAACAATTTGTTTTATTTTAATTTCAAAAAGAATATATTTAGATGTTTACAGTGTTATAAAATTAGACTGTTATTTTAGCGAGCTCAAATATGGAATGTCAGTCTCGGATGCTGATGGAAACGAAGTCGGAAAATCGAAAACAGCGGCATTCAAGGCCATTAGTCAGGTGGCTTTCTCCAGGAATCTAATTGTCATCCCTTCCATGGGTAAGGTATAGATTCACGGGAAATATTAATATTTTATTGGATGTCTAAATTATTATTTTTAGTGCTGACTCCTCTTATTGTTGACGCCACTGCCGTTCGTTGGAAGTGGTTTGCCAAAAATTTGAAGGTCCTAAACCTTCCCGTCCAACTCGGCCTCATCTTTGTCCTGTTTGGAGCAATGGTCCCCGTTGGATGTGGATTATTCCCTCAGAAAAGGTATCCAAAGACGAGTTTATATAAATCATGGAATAATTTTGATTCTTTCAGCTCCATCAAAGTGGATTCCCTCAAAAGATTTGAACCCGAGACATATGAAGAGCTGAAGGCACTCGGGTTAGAGAGGGTTTACTTCAACAAGGGACTGTAAGACTTTCCTTTTTCTTACAATTAGGTTTGCATTTTGACCGTAGATTTGTTTGTTGTTATCTCTTTCATCAAATTATTTTAACTTTTTAATCTTCTTAGCAAATGAATGACGTTATTGAGGCGTAGTCTAATAGATTGTTGTTGATCTTCCTCTATATCAAGTTATTGTCGCATCTTCACTTGAGTTGTTACATCTGTTTTGATAATATATATTGTCTTTTATAACTTGTGTTTTAAAATATGGTCTGATAGCTTGAGTTTCCCTGTGATTCTAAGATTACATTGATCCTGTGAGAATTTGAGATAAAGGAGGAATACATAATGTTTTCGTTTGTTATGACTATGAATGAACTTTATTTTGGATCAGGGGATTACTAACTATACTGGTTAGTCGCTTTAAACCTGAGCATTCGACGATTTGAATCCGTCGCAACTAATCGAAGACTATTATAATTCTAATATTTACACAGAAACCCTGATAATGGCTATAAAATTTTGAGTTTTCTTTGGAAATTCCGCTCGTCTTTAGCACTTTTTTGATAGAAAAGTGGACATCATGGAGGAAGCTGTAAAATTATGATTTAGTAAAAACAACTACTTTAAAGTATTTCCAATGCACTGTTGTTATTCTAACTGAGCAAACAGAACGTTCTCTTCATATTTACTTTTGTTATTACCTTTAAGCCATTTTTGGGTATAGGGTACTCGTATTATTCAAAAAAGTTACAATCGGCTATGGGGGACGGGTGAGAGGGCGTAAGGCGCGGGAAGGGACAGTATTTACTGTGACTTAGTTAGAACTATTGTTAAACTGATTCGAATAAATTTTGGCGTTCTTTTTGGAGGTTTAAATGTGCGACTCATAACTGTTGGTCTGATTTGGCAAAAATTAAAATTAGAAATTTTGTAAATTAGCTTATGAAAAACATTTGGCTCATGCATTGCAAACAAAGGCCACATTTTTTGGACTAAAGGAAGCGAGAAATTAAACCTTTTGCGATGTAATGTTGACTGTGTGAGCCAACCTTTAAGTAAAATTTTTCTATGGGAGCTAATGTATTTCTTTAATGATCGTATTTTACACCGGCACCGCATGTTCTTACGTTCTTTCGATTAAATCTTGTCTCATAACTTTTTCACAAAGACCTCGAAATTTTTCCGACTGATTGATTTGATCATAAGCCCTCGCTCAAATCGAATTCCTGTTGCAATCCCCGTATAAAGAATTTTGATTTTTTAAATTAGCCTTTTTTCATTTCGTGAAAATTCAGATGACGGTATTGCTGCGTTTGCATGTTATCAGAGTCCTTTTTTGACAACCACAAGACTTTATAATCTTGATCATTTTGACGCAATAATTGATAGTTGCAAATCCCGTGGAATGGCTGACGGTTGACGCGATCGGTTAATTAGGAGGGCCTATCCCTTTTTTACCATTGATCTGTATCAATTTTAATGCTACTATCTCCAAAACAAGACGGAGTTATAGCTTTGGGCATCATTTTCAGTATCACCTTACTTCTATGAATGAACGAACACTGATCTCGTAGCTGAAGTCTAATTGGTTTATGTTCTTCTTGTCTGAAACCAATAGAGTCTGAGATTGTCAGCACTTTTTTATTGTTATCAGTCTCTTCCTTTAGAATATTCAAACAAATATTGGCAAAAATTTGAATATTCAAAATGAAAATTATTAAATTTTGAAGACAATTGTGAGAACTAAACAACATGCGGAATTTTTTGGGTAACGTTTAAAAATAACGTCTAGTGATATGTTATCTTTTTGCGATTTTTTCGATTAAAATTATTGTTTTCCCGGTATTTACGACCTTTTTTATAATATTGTATAGTAACAATTGCCTTTTTCTATAGGAAAATAATTTCAGTCAAAGTCCAATTGGCTTCCTGCCTGAGGCATTAATATCAAAGCCGTGACTTTAAGAATTTCATTTTAAAAAATTCAGTTTGTAAATGAATGTTAACTGTAACGATCTTGATTTTTTGATATGGAATTGTCTCCGAACAATGTTTCGAACGTGATTTCCGCTTTTTGTTCGTAGCGAGTACAATACAAACACAATATTATTCATGATGACATTCGATTATTATAATGGGCGCTTTCAAATTCCCAGCTTTGTGACGCCGTTGGGCGTTTCTTCCAAGTTAATTTTACTCGATTCGAAGAAGAAATATTGTTATTATTGTGTTGTTTAAAGTTGTGTTGTAAAAGAAGCTGGTTGTATCTTTTCTTTGTAAATAGTAAATAAAGGTCTGAGTCAAATTTGGAAAAGGGTGCGCAGATACCTATGTTTGTAGATCATGCGCAGTCCTACGTTAAGCATTTTGATATAAAATTTATGTCACTTAAAAGTTCACGATTTCCATGAATCACACTTTAGCTTCATTTTGCTAACTTTAGAGACCCTTTCAAGAGCATGGCTGATCAAAGATTCTGGGGGGATGTTGCCTGGGGGAGGGGGATCAATATATAAAAAATTTGCCCCCCCCCCTGCCCCCGCCCTACCTACGCCCCTGGAGGTTTTTGTTGAAGCCCGTACAAGATTGACAATTAGTGGGAGTCATTGGGTATTCTGTTATCAGTAATTTATCTTGGAACTGCACAATTTTAGGCTCGACTAATTCCTGTCATTATTCAGTTTCTCTTGAGGGTTTTGGTCGCCAAGGGGAGGCAAATGTTTCTGCTTCCCTTTTTACAAAAGTCGAGGGAATCCCGGGAGGGTCATTTATTTTATAAATTTTATAATTTACTTGGAGTAATCTAACAATAAAACATAAAAATTTTAAAGTTTCCAATCATGAATTTGATGAATTGTAAGGGATTTGCAATACAAATTAGCTCTAATTCTTTTCTGTAGGTCATTGAGGTTGTTTCACATGATCTGCATTAATGTGCAAACTCTCCATACTTTCGAGTAGTAAAAAAAGCTTTTAAATCAAAGTTTACAATCCTTTCGAAGGGTTTACAATACTTTTAATCCAATTGTCCCTCGTTTTCGTTGAGTCTGGTCCCTTGATCTTTTTTCGGTTATTCCGAATCATAGAATAATGTTATGACCGCGGTTACTTTAACTTCTAAACTTTGCATTCTTTAAGGCTTCGGAGCCGTTGAGTTGGGTAGCCTGAGGCAAAATGGGCAAATCTCCGGACGACGTGAGTACTTCGCACAGCAACAGCTCAGGTGAGATCTACAAAAATACCTTTAAGTTTGCATAATGTGTGTGTAAACTACAATATTTTAGTTGTGCGAATAAAAGAGCGACCAAAGCCAGCCGAAACTTATGGAGAAATGTTCAGAAGATGGCCAAAGATTACGTTTTGCATTGTTGGAAACGAATTCTGCGAACGATTTTCGTTTTATGGAATGAGAAGTACGTGTCATTACTAATCGAAATGAGTGCTGATTAAGGCCTTAGACTCTAAATGATCACTTTTTTATTGATAAGAATCTGACCCCTATGGGCGACTAAAATACAATATCTGCTTTTTTCAGCGGTGTTAACACTGTATCTTCTGAATGTCCTCAAATTCAACAAAGAAGACGCAACCACTTTCTACAGTTTCTTTACTGCTTTGTGCTACTTTTCGCCAATTTTTGGATCCCTTTTGGCTGATGGATTTATCGGAAAATTTAAGTGAGTTAGAAGTTAAAATGGTGAAAATAATCTTTAAAATTTTTGTAAAATTATGCAATTTCTAGAACAATTTTCATCGTGTCAATTTTCTACACCGCCGGCCAAGTCCTTCTGGCCTATTCGTCGACAAATGACGCTAAATGGGGCCTCCATCCATGGCTGGATTTCCTCGGTCTATTCATCGTCGCTGTAGGTACTGGTGGCATCAAACCCTGTGTATCCCCATTCGGAGGGGATCAGTTTGAGAAATACGAATTGAAGATGATTTCTCTCTTCTTCTCCGTATTTTATTTCTCCATTAATGCGGGATCTATGATTTCAACTTTTGTGGCCCCGATCTTCAGAAGTAAGTGACTCCATCGTGTTTTTCAAAGTGACTTTAGATACTCCGTGCTTGGGTCAGGACAGTTGTTATCCTATGGCGTTCGGTGTCCCCGCTGCTCTGATGGTTGTGGCTACTTGTAAGTTCGTATTACTCCACTGAATGTAATCTCGTCATTATTTCAGTGATCTTTATGTCCGGAAGTTACTGGTATAAAAAACGACCGGTCACGTCCAACGTTCTGGCTGATGTTACCAAGGTTGTCTTTGTAAGTCGTTCAAAAGCCAGTAATATTACAATGAGCGTCTTACACAACAAATTTAAAATTTTCAGAAAGCCATCTTTGGCCGTTTCCGGAGTAATGTAAAGAAAGACCATTGGCTCGATTACTCTCTGTACAACCATTACTGTACAACATCTGCTGAATGTCTGAAGTTGAAAAGAAAGACCAAGAACACAACTGCCTGTGCCCAAGTCAACTTTGTCAACGATGTAAAGACCCTGGTCAGAGTGGTGGTTATGTTCTTGCCATTGCCCGTTTTTTGGTCTCTGTATGATCAACAAGGGTCAGTCTGGATGGTGCAGGTACGTAACTACAGCTGAAACTGTCATTCTGTTGCTTCTTTAAGACGTATTTTCCACAATAATAAAATTTTACAGTCCCTTCAAATGGATTGTCGTCTGTGGGGAGACACTTTACTTTTGCCCGACCAAATGCAAACTTTGAATGCCGTCCTGATCTTGTGCTTCATCCCCATCTTCACAGCCGTCATTTATCCATTGGCCGGTCTCTTCTTCAAGGTCACGTAAGTCACCTTTGACTGAACGTGCTCCCGTTTATGTACCAGTGCTTAAAAAAAATTTCAGGCCATTGAGAAAGATGAGTGTCGGAGGATTGATTGCCGCTGCCGCTTTCGTTGTCTCTGGATTTGTTCAGATGGAAGTTAATGTAAGTGCTACCGTAATCTCTGCAGTCTGCATTGTCATTTTATGTCTTGACTTAATTTACTTTAGAACTCTCTGGCGCCAATCCCGGACAAAGGATTCACTTATGTCTCGGTGATCAATGCCCACCCTGCCTGCACTGTTTCTGTGAAACCCGAGAAATTTGATCCCACAACTTTCGCCCCTTACACTGCTTTGGAGCGACAGAATGGATCGGATTTATATCTAATTCCTCATGGAGAACAGAAGTTCACCTTTACGTATGAACCAGCGGGTTGTGGAGATATTTTGCCTGCGGATGGAACCTTCAGTATTTCTTACAAATACGGTTATCTTCATGTAAGTGAAAATGGAATCTTCTATGCGAATACTTCGTACGAAAAGCCAACTTCCGGCTCTGGAGGCCATGGAATTTCGTGAGTTTCAGTTTTGTTGCAATTTGTTATCATATTTTCGTATAAGAAATAGGATGATAATTTTATTTCAGAGTAATTGTTGCCACAGATAACACCGGCTTCAAAGACGGCGTAGCTCTTTGCCGAGTCCCCAATGACGGAAAAATTGATGAGGCCAAACCATGCGACTTCAAGAGCCCCGAAGATTTTTATTACTACACTCAAGTCGTAAAGGATAAAGAAACGGATCTTCAAGGATTCTATAAATATGTGACAAAAAGTGGAGTCCAAGCAACTGGGCCTACTGTATTCAAAACCAAAGAGGTTAAGCCTGGAAAGTAAGAAGAGCTTTTCAAATTCTAATCATTTGATCTTAGCTGGCGTCTTTACTACCTAACTGGAGATCCAAGAGAATCCAAGGAGAATCTTCAAGTAAAATACACAGGCTACGAATACACCAAGAAAGAACAAGGAGGTCTTTACGTTGCATCATTGACTGGTCCTCACGACACTCCTCACAACATGACAGTCCAATATGTGCCCGACAACCAGATCTCCATCTTGTGGCAAGTCCCTCAAATTGCTGTAATCACGGCAGCCGAGATTTTGGTGTCCATTACGGGTCTAGAGTTCTCTTATAACGAGGCTGCGCCGTCTATGAAGGCTGTTGTTGGTGAGTTAACTGGTTCGGACTTTTTGAAAGCAAAAATTTTGCATCTTTCGTTGCTTTTAACGCAATCCGTTGAAGTCTCGCCTTGTCCTGAAAGTTTAACGGACTTGTAATTTTTCAGGAGCTCTCTTCCTGTTGACCACTGCTACTGGTGACTTGTTGATTGTCGTGATCACCAAGCTCTCTCCATCTAATGATATGGCCATCAATTTCTTCTTCTTCGCCGCCCTCATGGTGGCTGTCATGCTTATCTTTATCTTGTTATCCATCTTTTATTACGAATATGCCAAGTTCTCAGAGGTTACTGATGATGAACAATTACTCGCAAATGATGATTCTGATGAAGAGGAAGAAGAAGAAAAAAGGTCTTTGGGCTACAAATCAACTCAGCCGACAACAATTGGAGTTGATAAATTGAAGGGATTAGATGACGACGCCTGGCAAATCAGGTTGTAAAACCCTTGCATTTGATATTTGGAAAGAGTATTTACTTCATAACTAGTATTTTTGTTTCTTGTTGTAATAAAGAATCGAATGAGTAAGTGATGAAATCAATCTTATATTGTATAATCCGTGATCTTGTAAATTAAATAAACATTAAATCGAAATTAAAAAAAGGAAGTTGACATTGAAACAACAAATGCTTTGTACAAAAAGAGGCGCGGCCCATTCATGTATCAAATAAGCTGACAAAACCCTCTCTTTTCCATGCATTCTCGATGCGGTTAACATGTATAACTCCGTAGATTCCGGAGTAACTCAAACATAGTAAATCGAGAGCGATTGGAGAGCCATTCGCTCAGTGCAATCCAGCTTAATATGACGTAAACACGATGGGGATTTTAGAAATTTTAATTGTTTTTGTGACTTGTATGTACGAAGAACGGAGCTGGGAATAAATTATTCTCATTTTACTCACAAAAAAGCTCATAAAGAAGGTCATCTGGAGAGGCAGAATCCCTCCTTCTTTTGAGTTCTCACAGAATTTGAGCTCTCTTTTTGGCGCCATTCTGGAGGAGATTTGACAGAACGGCTCAAATCTTTTTTCTTTTACATTGTTATAACGGACAGAGTGTTCCAAAATGAATTAGAGCCCGTTCTTTGCGTGTGATCCGTCTTTATAAATAACGGATTAACTGCTTGTTTACAGATTCCCGTACTTTCATTTTTCAAACCTTTTTTTTAATCACGCACTCTTCAGGGTTTTGCAATTGATCTGCAAAAATTAACCCGATTTTATCGCCAACTTTAGGATGATAAGGGAGCTTTCAAAATTCTTGGGCGACATTTTTTAATTTTTATCGAAAAAGTTTATTTGAGTTCATTAAACCCCTGATTAATTGTCTACCCAAGAAATGAAATTGAGCGTGAAAAAAATGCGACGAGCAAAAAGTTGAATTGATAATGTTCAGTTACAAAACCGAATCATCGTTACGTAATTCTTGGGTGCATTTGCAAATCTTTTGGTCGTTGGAATGAAGGGATTTCAGGTTGAACACCTTTTAGGCTGTTTTAATTCTTTTTGAAGCGTATTTAAGCAAGTTTCCCATATGATTAGGCCATTTGATTAGTTAAAAGTCCAACTGATCTTACGTTAGTAATGCATCTATGACTATTTAAAGCAACATTTTCCTGCAATCAAGGTAGAACTTTTGCTTAAAAAGGAGCAAAATGTTGTTTTCATAAAGCTCGCATTACATGAGCCCAAATTCGCAAGACTCGTGTAATAGTTACATGGCCTTTGGAATTTTAATTATTAACTAAAGTTCCAGTACACATAATTGATCATCAAAAGGAGCCGAAAAAAACTAATTTAATTGATCTTTTGGTCGCCCAGTTAGGTACCCTGAAACTTGACTTTTACGGAAAAATAGATTTTTTTCTTTGACTTAGGAAAATGCCTGAGGCCAGACAATCTGTAATCAAAATATACAGTCATTTAATTTTGCTACGAATCAAAAAAGATTTCCATGTTTTTCAATAAAACCGTTCGTTTCATCCGGATTTGCGATGCTTATTTATCCCTTGTTAATCCGGTTACAAACCCAATCCGTTATTATTTTATTTATTTGCTTGTGGCGCAAACAATTACCACTTCTAATGATCATGTAAATTTGTTCCATGCTCCCCGGTTTTCTTGTCTTCAATAGAATTCATTGCTACGGTAAGCGATATTTTCCGAACTTTTATCACAAATACTCGATTTGGGGGTTTCCGATGGTGCTGGTTTCAAATGAGAGAAAATGAATAAGATTTTGGGAGTCAGCAGTATCGGAAGTCCCTAAATCGATTATTTGCGGAAAAAGTTCAGAGAATTGTTGCTTTACAGTACTACTTAAAAAAATGTAACAATTAAGAAAATTAATGTGATTTTTGAAATCAATGCCATCGATTACACTGAGCTCGAAGCTTACACTCAAGAAAAATATTATTTTTCAGTTTCCCAAATTGTCGCTCCCCAACTCACTGATCACCACGAACATACCCTATTATCGTACTAATAAACTTTGTTATTTTAGACGACGATGTTAAGAGTAATCCTTGTATTGTAATTTTATAGTTTGCTTTTTACGGGCCTCTCCCATTTTACATTGTATTATCAGCTCAATTTAGAATTCTGAATTCTCGAAGATTATGCTTTCAGCGGTGATAAGATTGTTCCCAAATTCAATAAAACATCGGTTAGTATGACCTTAAAAGCCATATAAAAAGGCGACATAGGGCATAACTATGCATAGTTACATTTCTTGAACTTTGCTGCTTGTTTTAGGCCTATTGTTATGGAATGGCATTTTAATATTATATGTTAGGGACTTTTTGATTTTTTCCGCTTTTTAGTTCTGCTTTATTACACAAAACATAATATTTCCCGATCCAACGGCTACAAGCCTTTATTATCATCACCTTCTCATTGTCGTTACATTTCCTCTTCTCCTGTTCGTGGCGTTCTTATCAATTCCAAAAACCGATGGTCAAACTGCACAACTTTAAAAAAAAACATTCCAGGATTGCTGCTGCACGAAATTCCCGTGATGTGGTGCTTTTAAATAAGATTCTCAGCTTGTGTTCCGCCTGGAATTTGGATATTTGGAAGAAAGATTTGTGAAACACGACGGGAAAGATGACGATTGCAAAGGATACGATATCAGGCAAGTTTTATATACTTTAGATGTGAATCTTTTTTTGTTTCAAAATACTGCAATATCTTGCACCTTTTTCTTTTGCAACAGTGTTCTCCGTTCAAGTTTAGCAGCCACTTGTATCCTGTACCAAAAAGTTGAATCGGTTTTATTAAGACAATAAATCATAGTCGTACTTCTTCTATCGGATGACGTCTCCCGTCGAATACTTTGATTAAACATTGGCGGAAAACCCGAGAAAATTGGACAAATTACATTCGTTCTGGTGTAAAGTGAAAAATCCCCGAAGAAAAGCGCTTTTGGAACGGTGTGAAATTCTTGGGTTCAGATTGCTTTGTACTTCTGGATTGGGGGAAATTCGAAACATCTCATAGACTTATTTCAGGGGCTTAATATTAACTTTAATATTTCATAAAAGTACGGTTTAATTGCGTAGTATTTCCCTTATTTAACTGTTTGTTGACCTCCCTCGTGTCAGTCACGTGATCAAAATTACTATTTCCTAAACTCGGAGTTCTATAATCCTTTATAATTACTAGTAAAGGTGATGACGGATCCCAGTAATTGTCGCCAAAAAGTTTCGATGAAAAACCCTTTAGGGCGAACTCGGAATTTGTTTTTTTCAAAATGATTTTTTTTTATTAAATACCTGACACTCAAAGGAAAACGGTTGATTCTTGGAAAAAAGGTTGTTGGTGAGAGGATGGGGGATCATCAACTAATCATTAAAGGTAACCTCTGCAATGAGAGAAATGTTTTTATATTTCTTTAGACGTGATTAATCTTAAAATAATTTTGATTTTTTCGTATTTCAGACGAAGCTTCCAGTTCGGGGGACATGACGACGAGATTAGAGAGTACGACCAAGACTGATCGTATTCCCACAACATCTTACCTCCAGATGATTCGACAATGGCCTAAGGCGACGTTTTTAATCGTCTCCAATGAACTCTGCGAACGATTTTCCTACTATGGAATGAGAAGTAAGCGGCCTTGTGCAAAGAACAGGGACTTTATTAATGAGTTTGGGAATTCCCATATGATTTATTTCCTCCATTCTTTTCGCATCATTATGACTTTTTTGGAGAAATTATTTTAATTTTTTGCTACAGTAATCCTTGTTGTTTAGCTGTGTTGACACTGTACTTTCTGAATGTCCTCAAATACAATGAATCCAACTCGACGATGTTGTTCAACTGCTTTACCTCGTTATGTTACTTTTCTCCCTTATTTGGCTCTATCTTGGCTGATGCATTTATTGGGAAGTACAAGTAGGTCCTTGATATGTATTCCTATAGCTCTTTTTCAGAACAATAGTCATCTTATCCATCTTCTACACCATTGGCCAGATTCTTCTGGCCGTTTCTTCCATCCAAGATCCTGCCTCCAAATTTCATCCCTGGGCTGATTTTATTGGGTTGCTGATTATTGCCATAGGCACTGGAGGGATCAAACCTTGCGTTTCCAGTTTTGGAGGAGATCAATTCGACACTCATCAGGTCGTTATGATCGCCTTGTTCTTTTCCGTATTCTATTTTGCCATCAATTGTGGAAGTATGATCGCTACTTTTGTCGCTCCCATCTTCAGAGGTATGGTTTGTAATATAAAATGATTTCCATCAGGCTGATTTTTATCGATTTATTTTAGCCAATCCGTGCCTCGGGCAGGATACTTGTTATCCCTTGGCCTTCGGGGTTCCTGCTCTCTTGATGATCGTATCTACAATCATTTTTGTCGCAGGAAGTTACTGGTATAAGAGACCAAAAGTAAAATCGAATGTAATGAAGGATGTCACCGTCGTTATTGGAGTAAGTTTACATTTCGAACGGTTGTTTCTTACTCTGTTTGATTAAAAATAAATATGCAAATTTATTTTTAGACTGCCCTTCGCAATAAATTCAACACCTCAGAGAAGAAGTCGCACTGGTTGGAACACTCCCTCACATACCATGACTGTAATTTGTCCAACAGATGCCTCAGGCTGAAGAAAAGAAGACGTGATGAGAATGCTTGTGCCGAGGCCAACTTCGTGAACGACGTAAAGACCATGTTCAAAGTGGCCATTATGTTTATCCCCATCCCAATTTATTGGGCTTTATCAGATCAACAGGGATCCACATGGCTGATTCAGGTGAGCGAAGCTTACTCTTGGAGATGAGAATAACCATAAAATAATATTATTTTAGAGTCTTCAAATGGATTGTCGATTGTGGGGAGACTTTATGCTGATCCCGGATCAAATGCAATCCCTCAATTCGATCCTCGTTCTCATATTTATCCCCATTTTCTCCGGAATATTTTATCCATGCATGGACAAATGCTTTAAAATGACGCAAGTTGAATTAATTTCGATCAACTGCCCAGTACAATTTAAAAATTGTAATCAAAAAATTTCAGGTCTCTCCGCAAAATGAGTCTGGCTTTAATTTTGACGACCATGGCCTTTATCTCAGCTGGAGTTGTCCAATGGGAAGTCAATGTGGGTCTAAGATACATTATCCATGACATTAATATTATATAATTTCTAGAAAACCCTCCCCGATCTGCCACAAAAAGGCCGTTCCTTTGTCTCCGTTATCAACACTTTTGATGGCTGTACGATTGTTGTCGGTACTAATGGGACTACAGACGTTTCAGTCCCTCCACATACGGTAAAGTCTTTTATAGATGGTTCAAGGTGTAATATCTAGGCTCTGATCAACTCCCCCGGCCACAGAAATTTACTGGATGTACCCAAAGGAGACGTCAAATTTAACTTCAAATATAACGGAGATTGCCTCAATACTTTGCCTGAAGAAGTGACATTCGATGTGTTTGGAGAAGTCGGATTCTTGAATTTCAACGAGAACGGAGTTGTTTATTCGCCGATATCTCCGGATAAACCGACCGAAGGAACTGGAGAATTCGCCATGGGGTAAGTAGATAAGCGAAAAAGAGCTGCTTTATTCTTTCAATGTTTGCGTTTTCTTTGTTTCTCTGTGTGAAGAACCCTCTCTCTTCTCTCTCGTCTCAGAGCGAGACCCATTCCTTTTCCTATCTCGTTTCGTGACCCCGTCCTCCTTTCCACGAATCATAAACTTACCTGGCTGGGAGAGCGGCACGATCAAGAAGGTGTCGCCTCCACGGTGAGGCCCTCGCATTGCACTTTGGGGACGGGTTGACCTGTGTGGCAGCTCCGAGTTGGGGTTGGCCAACAGCCCAATTTTTGAGTGCGGGGTCTACGGACCTCCGATATCGTTTTAACAAATTAGTTTCTCTCATTTTCTTTTCTAATATATTCCAGATTCATAGTTGCTCTGAAAAATGTCGACAATTACACGGGCAACCTGGCTTTGTGTCGAGAGAACAACGAAACAAACTACCCATGTGATCCCCATCAAAGATCCGACTTTTACTTTTATCAAGTGGACTACGACAATGGAGTCTCCAGTGATCTCGTTGGGAGATTCAAGTACCATAGTAAAAATGGAACTGATGAAACCAAAAGAGCCGTTGTCTTCAAACCAAAGCCCGTCAGACCGGGGAAATGGCGTCTATATTACATGGAAGGGAATGCCAAGTCAATTGGATTCACTGAAGACAAGGAGAATCTGAAACTAAATTATTCAGGGTTTAGTTTCTTCAGGGATACCCAAGGTGGAGTTTATGTGACGAGTTTGAATGGAAAACAGACTGAAGCCAGAACGACTGAGTATCAAGTGGTCCCTCACAATATTGTCTCCATCTTGTGGCAGATACCTCAAATCGTTTTGATCAGTTTTGCCGAGATTATGTTGTCTATCCCTGGCTTGGAGTTCTCCTATCAAGAAGCTGGTAGATCCATGAAATCTTTGATGAGTAAGTTTATTTTCTTCCTTGGGATTCCCGCATTTAAATTTGAGATTATTTTTTACGTTAACCTTTGTATTTGCAGGTGCCTTTTTCCAAGTGACCACTGGTGTCGGTGATCTTCTGATCGTAATTATCACAGCCATGAATCTCTCCAACAACGCAGCCACCATGTTCTTCATCTACGCCTCGCTAATGGCTACGGCCACGGTTGTTTTCATATGCTTGGCCATCTTCTTCTACGAATATGCACCTCTGGATGATTCAGATGACGATGACGACGTGGAAGGTGAAGATGCGGAGTCTGTAAATCCTTTGAGTGACTCGATAAAGAAGAAATCCGTTTACCAAACTTTGGATTCGCCTGATTTGAAGCCGGGAGAATATAACTTGGGCTTCAATGAGAGTCGGAATTCCCTTAGGCTCAGGTTTTAGGAATCTTTTTAGTTGTGTTCTAGTTGGTGTGAGTTTTAAATGCAAACGGGTTTTCTGCTATGCTTTGTAAATATTCATTATTTTACTGCTAAATTGTTTAGAATTCTTATCCCGGTGATTAATAATAATCAATAAACTTTGTTATGAACTTTGAAGACTCCGCGATTACTTTTGACAGGATAAGTAACAGTCCTGCTGTAAAAGAAGAAGAAGGTCAGGATTCCCTGCCCCCATTGGTTTCATTCGCAGATCTTTTCTTTATTTCTCCGTGTGAAGAACCCGCTCTCTTTTCTCTCGTCTCAGAGTGAGACCCATTCCTTTTCCGATCCCCTTTCCTGGCCCCTTCCTCCTCTCCACGAATCATAAACTTACCTGGCTGGGAGAGCGGCACGATCAAGAAGGTGTCGCCTCCACGGTGAGGCCCTCCCATTGCACTTTGGGGACGGGTTGACCTGTGTGGCAGCTCCGAGTTGGGGTTGGCCAACAGCTAAATTTTTGCGTTTGGAGTCTACGGACTCCGCATGTTAGCGTGTACCCTGCAATTTTTGCAAAAAGCGCTGCAGGCGTAAGCATAATGAAATAAGCTTTGATAAGTTTGGCCCTGAGGCACCTTGTTTATCAGCCGGTGGTATTCAAATTCATGAGCAGTTCGTTGAGTGTGAAGAACAGGGCATCTAACTGCTTTCTCTTACATACATTTTGTCTGAACGTGTCCAACAGCAGTGAGCCAATTTTTGTACGAAGTTAGTCATCATGAGCGGTATAAGAACGTCGAAATTCCTGAATTTCTCTAACTGCAATGTATTGTTTCGTTCCCTTCTTCTTTGTCTTCTTTAATTTTTATTCCTCTTCAAGTCCAACTGATATATTGGCCAGGAAATGCGTATCAACTAAATCCCGACACTTTAATGGTTCTTCGTGGAGCGTTGTTCCAGCTAATATTGATTGTATCAACCAGCAGTTTTACATCACAATGGTCACCTGTTTTCCACATACCAATGACACTGCTATCCCACGTACTGAGGGTAACGTGCGTCTTTATAATAAAAATCTTCCAGCTCCATACGCTAATATCAATTCGGCAGAATACAAAGACCGATATTACAATGGCTCGTTGTATAAAGGAAAAGATCCTAAAAAGATGAACTTGACACAGATGTTGCAAGAATGTTGTTGGCCAGGTCAAAGGAACTGTGATTGCATTGACAGAATTGCACATGAGGGTACTGTACTTGACGGGATTTGTCACGGAATTGAGGCTCAAAGGGAGTGCCTCAAATTCCCTGGGCAGCTAGATTGCTGTGATAAGTAATTAATCAAGCAAGTTTTACATAGTTTTCTTTTACATTTTCTGGTTAAGTAAATAAATATTAGCTTTGTTTATTATATTCTTTGATTCCAAAATAAAGGATCGAGATCAATGGGAAATGCGTGACAAAACAGGCAAAATATGACGTTAGATATAGTTGACCCTGAGGGGATTCAGGCTTTAAATGATTGAAGAGTGACGTGATTCAGCATGGAATTGTGAAGCATCTGGAAGGAGGCGTCCGTTCGTTGGATCGCGGCTTTTTTCAGCTTTGCTCGTTTGTTCTGGAAATAAAATGTTTCAGGGTTTATATACCGATAACTAACTCTCTTAAAAACCGCAGTCTTACCTGGAACCAGATCTTGATTTGACTTTCGTTTAGTCCCAATTCATGTGCCAATTCCTGCCTCCTCTTCTCCGTCAGATATCGATTATTCTGGAATTGTTGTTTTAACCTTTCCAATTGTTCTGGAGTGAATGCTGTCCTCGGTCTCTTCTCTTCTTCTGTTAACCCTTTCCTTTTCATTTTCCTGCTTCTAGGCCCAGCACTTGGCCTATCTGAATATCGAGTACAATAAATCCAGGCAGGAAGCTGGTGATCATCATTCTGTTCAATTGGAAGCTTTGGCGAGGCCAATGAGGCCAAGAGATTTAATCCAAAAGATGACGGGCTGATGGGGAAGAGAGGGGGAGGAGATGTGGGGTCTGCAGAGCCAAATAATCGATCACATTTCTGAAAAGATTACATTACAGTACCTTATTTCGAACTGAGAGTCATTACTGTTTTCTTATTTTCCTCATTATTACAACACTTTTTCGACTCTTCCCCCAACTCAAGCATTCGCTGCCCTCATTGTTTATACAAGCTTACTGTAGATGTCAATTAATCAATCACTGTCTAAAGTCCCCTCTCTCTTTGCGCTTGTTTGGAGCTCATTAAGAGGCGGTAATCGGGCTGTGTAAAGAGTGTCAACGAGCCTCTTTAACCTTGTCCATTTTTATCATTTAAGCTAATCAAATTATGAAAAGATGGAGGGCCGCGCAAACAAGCGGTGATTTGTCTTGTAATTCATAGCAAAAATTACATAAGAAACCTCACATTTGAGTAAAAAAATTTCCATCATGTTAAGAATCATTCGACCTTTTTCTTAATGATAGGCACTCTTTAGACATTTTATAAATAATAAATTTCCATTTTCCCACAGTAACCTACGAGTTTAAAATCGTAAACATACTATTCCAAAGTCCGGCCTCAGAATATTGTAAATGGAAAATTTTAAGGAAGAAACGGAGGCCGTATCATTCAGATCGGGCGATGAAACCCCAGCACTGGCACAGTCACTGTAAGAGGCCTCTGATGACATCTGAAATAACAAAGTATGTATATTAGTAATTTTCAAAGATTGAATTAGTAACGCGAAAGTTCAGTCAGCTTAATGGAATCAAATAAAATTTGTTCAGTGCCAAACTATACATAAGTACATGTCAAAAAGGAGTAAATGGGTTAAGCCCTAAGCCAGTATCCAACCGGTCGACGTTACAATGTAAAAACTACGGTATTTACCATGCCTTTAATTTTAATTAGAATTAAAAGCGTAAAACTGTAGCAACTCTTGCATTTACATACACTTGTAAATAGTAGATTTGCTTACATTAGAGCAATAATAAGCCTGTATAAGATGAGGCAGGTGAAAGGCGAAACAAATTCGGGTGAAACTGAGGGCGGAGTCAAATGATACGCATTCCAAGCGACTGTCTAAACCCGAGGTTAATTAGGCACCTAATTACAATAATAGAACAAAAAAACTCCCTTATAGATACAGTAATCTTGATGACTTATAGGGAAGACACAGTAAGACTTAAGGAAGAAAAGGCCCTCTCGATTACCCAACTTGTAATACATAATGGCCAAATGAATTAAAATTAACTTAATTAAAGTCAGAATAAACAAATGGAGAAGAGAGGCACCGTGAAGCCAATAAAGGACAAAATTTATTGAGAAAAGATGGGCCGGGCTGGGGTAATTGGCAATAAAGGAGGAAAGGAGAAGAAAAAGAGATACGGTAGGGCGTCGAGGGAAGATGGGAGCTGTAATTGTTGCAATCTAATCGGTGGGGAGAGAGGATACGACCTTAAGAACTTTATACTTGTATACAACTCATGGATACCTTGAAAATGAAGAAGATTGGAACAGAACTCAACGCCAAACTCTTTCCAAAACAGGACCCAGCTTTCTGTTTAACCCCCTCTTTTTCTGAAAACCTTAGGAAATTCGAAGGTAATTTACCCAAGGAAAGCACAATCCAACCTTATTCAACAACATTTATCCTCGAGAACCCTAAAATAATGCAATCTGCTCCCAAAAACAATGTAAATGAGAGGTCATCAACAGATTACTCAACCAAGTTGGTGGCCGTATTCTCTAAAGAAATCGATGTAACTGTTACATTTCAGTTGCATATAGACGATGAACAGCGAAAGCTTCGAATTGGCTGTGCTGTAACAGGAGGGAATATCATCTTTTTCTACCATTCCCGGACAAAAGTATTCATGATTTCCGCGAGCCAAGTTATCTATGATTACGTAACCATTATCCATGGCTTTCGAATAAAAGAAGTTATTTTTTGAAATTGATACGATTACGTATGCAGATGAGGGAGCAATTATCTTCACCCTCAAGTAATCCAGGGAAGAGATTGGTCGAAAATGGTCATCAAGATTACCGCAGACATTTAAAACCAAAGCAATAATAGAGTACAGAATAGGTTAAAAAATTTAATGGTAACAGGTAAATTGTAAGATTATACAGCCCTCGACATAAGAGTGTAATGTCATTTGGTGAAAGGAAAATGAAATTTATAACCGCAGAAATTAGAATTATTGCCCTGGGTAATGTAATATACCACAAATCAAAGGGGTGGCTTCTGTAAAGGGGTGGTTGTAAGTGAGTTATCGTATTGAAACCAGATTGGAACGACTTACTCAACTAACAGTGTGACTTGAGAGGGCGATGCTTAATAAAATATATTTTATGGCTAGCATAATTGGCTTAAAATATAAATAAAGTGAACCTAAGGTCGCTTAAGATACTTATATCGCTTTGACATTACTTCAAAGATTTGTTTGCCACACTTATTAGAGTTTAGATACCCTGAAGTCACTCTTCAGATCACTTTAAAATCCTGAATATTCTAATAAAGCCGAGCTTTCTAACCTCCCCAACTCGGCCATTTAAGTCTTGCTGAGAGTGTTGCCCGAGGGGAAATCGAATAAAAATAGCGGCGACTATTAGAGGGCAATTTGAGCGTTAATAGTCACACAATATTGCGGCAAATTAAATAATTCTCTTTTGGAGATTGACACCTCCGACCAAATTAAAGCGCTTAATGACCTCAGAATGTCATTTAAAATACTTTGCGCAACGGATGTGGCCAAATGGGGAGGACTGGGCACAAAGGATGTTGCATTAGACACTACAGGGCTACTGTAATTTCGATTAAAAAAATAATGTTACAGTAGGAAAGGGCTTGAATAAATACGGATGTTTTCGTGGAATTCGATTAGTCTGAATCGAGTCCAAAAATATTTTCTGTCCCTGGACCACCCATCTCCACATATTTCACTTCCTTTTACCACACTAATAAATTTGGATCGAAATTCGGGGATATTTTATGAACTCCGATCCGAAATTTGGACAGTGACATCTGAAATGGGGACAAAAAGGCGAGGACAAAGGAAATAGGGGAATCAAGGACTCAAATGGAGGATAGACAACCATGCTTATATTGTAGTAAGCAAACACATTTATATTGCACTAGGTGCTGAATTCGGAAAAATCAAAAAAAGTGTTGGCTTTCCCATAATTAGCAATAATAATTTTGAGCAGTAATTTAACCTTGTATTTTTAAGAATAACATAAAATCAACCTTCATTTTCACCATCTGAACACTCCAGATAACGATCGGCGTTTGACTCGACCGAAACGGAGGAAGCAGTAAAAAGTCAGCCGACAAATATTCCTCTTAAACATCAACATATCAGGTCATGACACCAGTTACCGTGTGTAAAGCCAACAAATTTATTTACAACTTTTATTGTCAGATTAAGTGAAGATTATGATCAAACACTCGAGGTGTCGCTACTCCCTTTCAATTAGACTGAACTCATTTCAAAAATAATCAGCAAGGCCATTCAGCGCCAGTAATGAGGCGCTGATTCTGGCAGTAAAACTAATTAGAGACCTCACCGGGACTCGCCAACGCTTTCGGGCGTGATGACAAGGTCATTTATCGGCGAGAGGCAACGCCGAGACATGCTGATATATCTTCATGAACATGGAAATTACACGGCTTTCAATAGACTGCAAAAGAAACGGTAATTGGGGGCTTCTTCAAAGGATGTTGCACTGAAGAAAGTGTGATGTTGGAAACAATTCTAGTGATGCGAAACGTACCACCATCGTGTTTTAAAAAGTCTTGGTTAATATTTCACATCGCAAGTTAGAACATTATCCGCCGATAAAGCAGTCCTCTCAAGATGAGAATAAAATTTCACTGCAGCCTGCACAAGGTTCGGGCGCAGCTGGCGGGGAAGGATATTTTATTCAAAAAATTGAAAAAAAAAGATTTTGGAAAATTTCCGCAAATTTGTACTATCATGATCAAGGCTTGATCAAGGGTCTGCTTGTTGAATGCCCTCTCACATATTTGGCTTTCCGTTTTCTCCTTATGATGGACAGCAAAGACTTGCCCAGTCCATTTTTGATGCCTGTCAGAACGGAAAAACAGCGATACTAGAGTCTCCAACAGGATCTGGGAAGTCAATGGCGGTTATCTGTTCTGTTATGAGTTATCTGGAGGAGTTGAAGGAAGCGGATCGGATGAATGAGAAGGAGGTTCGACGACTGAAAAAGGAATATGAAGGTGAATAGGCATTATCGTGGTGTTGGTGGTCTTGAACTTACTTATTTTCCTTATGAGCAGATCTGTGGTGTTTCAGAAGTCTCCAAGATGGATATTCCGGTCTCCGAAATCTTCAAACAGCAATATGAATTAAATAATAGGATAGATGATCTAGTTGAATCAACAGATATTCAGAGAAAGACCGACATCTTCCTCAAAGAAGCCAAAAAGGCTGATATTGACTTTCCAAAGGTAAGAAGATCTTATTGTTTGTTTTTGATTATTGAAACATGGCCTAAGTGCTTTCAGGATTCCAAGTTCAAGTATCCTCCAGAATCACGCGAAGATTCAGAAGCTCTAAAAGAATTGTCGTCAGGTGTCAGAAAGGTCATTTATGTTAGTAGAACCCACTCCCAGCTCGCTCAATTTGCCCAGGAATTTGGGAAGACATCCTTTTCTCCGCGACCCAGCCATCTTGGATCTCGAGCCGCCTTTTGTTTGAATGATGAGATCAAAAGTTTACCTGGGCCAATGATCAATTGTGAATGTCAACGATTAACCAAGAATGGAGATGATATTGAAGATATGGAAGAGGATTCAGAGGTATGAAGTCTTGATGACAATATCTTTTGATTTAGCCAACAAAGAAGCGATCCAAACGGGAAGGATGCCATTTCTATAACAAATCAAGGATAACTCGAATGAGAGATCAGATTTGGAATGGAAAACTCATCTCGAATCAGATGAATGAGCTGGGAACATCAACTCAGGCTTGTCCATACTTTGCTGCGAAGGCGTCTCTTCCGTTGTCGGATGTAATTCTGATGCCGTATTCTATATTATTCGACAAAGAGACAAGAGAATCTTATGGAATTGACCTGAAGGATAATATAATCATCGTGGATGAGGCTCACAACTTCTTGGAGACTATCTGTGCCACTTCTTCATTCTTCCTCAGCTTTGATGAAATGAAAATGTTATTGGATTCGTTGACTTATTACAAGAGTGTAACTTCTTCCAGGAATCAGACAAAGTTGTGGGGGGTCCTTCAATGTGTGGAAATCTTGAATCGACTGGTCGACTTTGTGGAGAAAAAAGGCGTGTCTTTGCTGGAACAACAACTCTCACCTGGATTTTTACGAAAAGAAGTAAGGAGTTATAATATGATTTGTTTTTATTATTTTAGTTGAATCTCACATCGGATTTCCTTCGAATTGCCCGGTCAATTGAATCGGATGGCCTCTTGATGGAGAGTCGAGGGATTGTCCAGCGGTTTTGGAAGCATAAATACAACAAGAAGGAGTCGAAAGTGCTGGCTTTGATCAATAGAAAGAAGGAAACGGTGGCTGAAGATACACCCAAACTGGAGATGGACGGATTAAGTCTGATATCTAGATTTATCAAGCTTCTGAAGGCCTTGGCTCATACCGATGAAGATGTTATTGTATTTGAAAAGATTCGAATTGAAGAAAAGGCTAAAAATTCTTCCGTAAATCATCTGAGATTACGGTATTTCAAGCTATCAATTGGATCTGATTTGAAGAAAGTAATCAATGAAAGTAGAGCTTTTGTGATGGTTGGAGGCACAATGAGGCCGATCGGATATCTGGCAAGGACACTGAAGAGCTGTTGTGGGATTAATGAGGTGATTGAGAAGCAATTCCCTCATGTCATTGATGATTCCAATGTTCTCCCTGTTATTATTGGTGGGCATTTAACATAAGAACCGATTTTTAATCCATCGTTTACATTTTTTGCCCTTTCCAGACAAAGCACCGTCAAATCGCACCCTTTCTTTGAAGGTTGGCCAGTTGAACGATCAAGTAATCGATGATTACGTCAACACCGTAGCTGTTATAATGGAGAATGTCCCCAGTGGATGCATTGTTTTCCTTCCCAATTATAAACTGGTTGAAACCTTCAAGAACAAGCTCACCGGCAAGATCAAAAAGAAGTTATTTGCCGAATCCAAACAGCAGAACCCTTCTAATCTCCTCTCCGAATACGAAAAAGAATCCAAATTCTTTCCCGGAGCCCTTCTGATCGCTTCCGCCGGAGGAAAACTGAGTGAAGGAATTAATTTTGCTGATGGAATGTGCCGTTGTGTGGCTGTTTGTGGCCTTCCTTATCCAAATATGGGAGACATTGAAGTTAAATTGAGGGCTAAGGTACGATTGTGTTACACTAGATGATAAATCTCATTTTAGCACGCAGTGAAAGAGGGATTGTGCTCCTCAGAGAACGATTACCTTCTGAATCAGACGCTCCGAGTCGTGAGTCAATGCGTTGGGCGGGCGATCCGCCACAAAAATGATTACTCGGCCATGTTTTTCTTGGACTCGAGGTATAATGGACAACCCAAGGAAATTCTACCTGATTGGATTAGGAAAAACTTGAAGAGATGTGAATTATCGGAGGTCAAGGAGCAGATGAGAGATTTTTATGTGGAAAACAAAATCAAAAGCGGGAAGAATTCATAAAATATTGTAGAAATTTTAAATTTCTTATCTAAATTTCCATATTTCTTTATAAAATAACGTTGCACCAGTTTTATCCCTCGAGCGGAGCCGACTTTTCCGGTTCGATCCAGTTACAAAAAGTGCCTCCAGGTTTTGAATTCTTAATACAGATCCGCAGAATTCTGGGTCCAATCCAATCTTCGCGGGAAAAACACTGACAAACTCTGCATAAAAAGTTATTATTGTTTATTTGTTTCACTATTCTACGCAGATTATTACACAAAATGAGATTTTCCTGAGATTCAGACCAAGTTTGATTACCAGATGCCTAGTTTAATGCCCAAAAATCACTGTTCCTTCTTGTCCTGCTTCTTTACCTTCTTCTCCTTACATTCCTTAAAAAGTTCGTTCAATTCGAACTCTCTAATGCAACTTTCTTCAGTGAATTTGAATGGTATTGCCCTTTTATTTTCCCCGATCACAGGTCTTCTGATGACTTGTTGGCCATTTTTAATTACAGAGATTGATGGGAGTTGCTTGCTGAGGGCATGGGTGTTGATTCTGAACCTTTCTCCTTCCTTTGTATATCTTCCTACGTCTAATTTTGCGAAACGGAGATTAGGCAGCGCATACCTGACATTTAATCGTATTATAATAATTAAATTAGTAATGTCTTACCTGTCAGCCAGTGAAGAGAACACTGGGGTAAGATATTTGCATTCAGTCGACCAGGCGCTGTAGAACTGGACAACCCAGACTACACTTAGATCTGCATTTATGGCGTCCTTAACAGAACATAAAATAATCAAAAAATCTTTAGATTGCTTACATGAAGTTGCGCGCCTATAAAGTTTTTCACATTGGCTGATTCCACCATCATTGGCTCGCCCATGAAGAACCATTGCACTGAAAATAAAAAAATATTTTGTTAGCTTGGAGAATATAAGACGGCAAGTAATAGGGCTTAATTTGACAGATTTTTCCAAAATGACGTCAAATTGCGTTAAATTTCCGTCATTTTGGCTAAATTGAAAGAAAAAGCCTTCACACGCGAGTTTAACATAGATTCTGATGAATACCGCTAATATTAATTTCATCCCTTTGACAACGTGACTGACGCGTCAGTCAACGGCTTAACAACCCTAGCAAGTAATAAAAACTTACAAATAACAATAACTGAGTATACAATAGCTACAAGAGGATTCTCCCGGTAGAATAAATAGGAATTGGTGAGCTTAGAAAATGTGAATACTGTATTCAAATAGTGCATCCAATTGGTGGCCTTCCTGTTTTTCCACACAACAATCACTCCCAAGAACATCAAGATCTCTGTTGAACGCTAAACGATTTAGTATATGAAAACCAATGCTTACGTGATCCAGTTCACCTTGCGCCTTGCCAAAGATCAATTCATTAATTCCAGGCAAAGACTTGGCCAGAATAAAGGCCAAACTCAACAATACATTGGATAAATAGTATGGTTTCAGGAAGTGATATACCGCCGTTTTTATTGAGACCATCTGCAAGATAAAATCACTGAAAAACTGGTTTAAATAAGTACTGGTTACATTACCTATTAAAAACATCAAATCGTTATTTCATTTTATTTATTTCTCCATAGACAAATAACAAAACAACTGAAATATGAAGTACTACTCGGTTTTATCCTCACTCTATCCATAGAATAACGAGCCAACAGTGATGGGGACTTGTTCTCCAGTTGGCAAGATGGCTGGTTTACGAGATCCTACAAAATTTTTTTGTAATATACGTGGACATAGAGAAAAAAATGATTAAATAAGGGGCAATTTACCTAGATAAACGACGAAAGGAACGAATCCCCATTGAATGAAAAGCCGGAAGCCTTCAGCAGAGAATCTGCAGACACTGTTGAAGGTATCCCTCCACGAAGCTCGATCAGACATTACTTTACCTAAAAGAAGTCGTAAAACTAAAACCTCAGAGGTTTCCAAAATAATTGTTTTGGCTAAAAACCAATTAAACAATAGAGAACGTATCCAAAGATAATTTTATTAAAGAATTTTACAGTTTTGTACAGAATGAGACCATAGATAAAAGGGTTGTTAACTGGATGTAAATTAAATTCATAAATTTAGCGACAGAAATCTACAATTGCTTTTGGAAACCCATCAATAAAAGTGTCCAAATCAATTTAACATGACTAAAATAAGGCCAATTTGTCAACGTGACCCGTCAAATTGACGGCTTAACAACCCTAGTAAATACTCTAAGTATATCTGATTGCTTCTTATGTGTTGGGAACGACTTCCGAGATGATTCCATCAATCATATTGGGTATTGGGACCGAATTCTCTCCTGATGGTTCTTGTTCCATCTCTTCTTCTTCCTGATCATCATCAAAAGCGGCTCCCAATTCGGCTACGAGATCACTGCTGACCTTTAATTTCTTTTCCTCTTCCTTTTTCTGTTTGTCTTCTTCTTCAGCTTGTCGTTTTCTCCTCTCCAACCTAACTTTCCTTTCAAGATCTTCCAAAATATTTATAATCTTCGTTTTATCGAAGGAATAAGCGTCCATGTGCCCCATTGAGATCAGGCCATCGACAGCTCCGGTGAGAACATTGGCCTCTTCTGACTTCTCATTCTTGAATTCTTTCCCCGCTTTCTTTGCTGCCCAACGAAGTTTTCGCTCCTCTGCTGCTGTTAAATCTAAAATAAAAAAAAGCTATATTGTATATGATACATAGCAGACATAAAATTACAGAAACAAACCCCACTTTTCTCCGAGTTAATCTTCTTAAGCACCTGATCCACCGTGCTCTCCTCCTGCTCCAAATACTCCAGGATCTTTTCGCAAGCAGCGATTCCATCGATATTCGGAGCTTCTCCGTCTTCATCATCATCCTAAAAAACAATTATCCCAAAACATAACACAACCGACCATCTGTTGCCATTGTTTCCCAGCTTTCTGCTTTACTCCATCCCAATCCACACTGTCCAACCATTCATCGTGGATCTCTTCCTTATCCTTCTTATAAACAAACGCTCCTTCTTCATCAATATAACCTTCTTCGAGATCATCTTTCATATTAAACGGCATGATCTTGATTTCTCCATCGTATTCAACTGTCGCATCTTCTTGACCTTCGAACTGAAATTACGAAAATGCTATTTACAAAAGCAGTTTGATACCTAAATTGTAGATACTATAAAAATAACTTACTTTTCGCATATCCAATTTTTTTACTTCAGTATCATTGTCCTCTTCATCACTATCTAATGTGTGTTTCTTATTGTCGATCCTCTGCTCTTCTTCTTCCTCTTCTAACCTTCGCCTCTTGGCCAATTCATTAATCTCTTCGGTCGAAAACCGAACTCTTTTCTTCGTTTTATCTTCTTGCTCCATGACAAATAGAATATTCGAATCTTGTACAAAAAATTTTTCTCGAAAAATAAAATTCTCGATTTACAAAATGTCCCTGTGCGGAGTGCCAATATTGATTGGATATGACTTAATTTGATATTTTAAAGGATTTCCCATGTGAAGGCGGTGTAAGTCCGCGGAAGTAATGCCAAGACCTCTAGTCTGTATTTGTGAAAATTGTACAGCGAATTAATGCAGTGTAGGTTCGTTTATGCAGCTATAGGCGCTATCTCCTTGTTATGGATGCTATTTTTCGAGTCCTGCCACGAAAGCATTTTGCGCCACAAAACTTCTCGCAGTGAGGAGAGACAAGAAGAAGAGAGCGTTGTGGTGCTGACGTGTATGCTTTCTCCCCGGGATCTCTCGCTGAATTCGCGGTGCGGCCTTGTTTTAGAAGGGGGGTTTCGTGTATTCAGTTGGGCGCTGAAGGGGAATGTCTAGCCGCGGTTTTCCTGTTGGCAGTGCCCGAGCTGTAGTATGCACCCATTTTTGGGGTTCTGTTTGCATTTTTCGGGAATGAGGGGAATTGTGGGTCAGGACGATCTCAGGTTAGGTAAATTTTTGACGTTTTTGCCGACATATTCAATTTGTCTCCGTTTATTTCCCTTGAGTTTAGAATACCAACACTTCCGTTTTTAGGACAACTAGTCTCTAGTTGTTTTTCAATTTCAAAATGAGGTTAAACACGTCCTTTCTGCCGTTATTGCATATTTAGTGGTCATCTCACCTTTTTAAACCCATGACTGGTCTTTACTGTTTTGCTGACCCAAAGATGGTGCGTCTCGCGTTCTTCCTCTCTAGTGAACTCTTGACCGTTATATTGCGACAAGAATTGCACATGATCAGGTAGATTTTTGTATGTCAATCATTGGGTTTAACATCTTTTTCTAGGTCGGAAATGACAGATGAACGCCCAAAAAGCCGCAATTGACGCGGAATCGCATATCCAAAACTATCTGGATTTTTCGTCTGAATCCGGGTTTCGGAGATTCAAATCAAATCCCGAAATCTCAAGTATAATACTTTAGTTTGAGGGGTTGAGGGTTGGGTAATATCGATTGTTGGTGGATAATATTCATAATTGTTTTATAATCGGGCTTTTATTTTTATTTGGCCAATTTCGGTTTCTGATATTAATGTAAACTGCTTCAGGGTATCTTTTTGTATAGTCTGGATACAAAAAGAAAACCAAGATGGGACTTTCCTTTTCCAATTTATTCAAGGGCCTCTTCGGCAAACGTGAGATGCGAATCCTGATGGTCGGGCTCGATGCTGCTGGTAAAACAACTATCCTTTACAAACTCAAGCTTGGAGAGATTGTAACGACGATCCCTACCATTGGTGAGTGTTTACGTTGTTTTTGACATTTAGGTTATCAGCCGTCTATTAACAATATGATTTGTTTCATCGTTTAGGCTTCAACGTCGAAACTGTGGAATACAAAAACATTTCATTCACCGTTTGGGATGTCGGAGGACAAGACAAAATCAGACCATTATGGAGACATTACTTCCAGAATACTCAAGGTCTCATCTTCGTAGTGGACAGTAACGACAGAGAGCGTGTGGGAGAGGCCAGAGAAGAGTTGATGAGAATGTTAGCTGAGGATGAGCTTCGTGATGCGGTGCTGTTGGTATTCGCCAACAAACAGGTATGTTTTGAGCATCTTACGCGCGACTTTTGTCGATGTTGTCTGATATTATACATGATGTTACGTTTCTTTCTACAGGATCTTCCTAATGCCATGAATGCGGCTGAAGTTACCGATAAGCTCGGTCTTCACACTCTTCGCAACCGCAACTGGTATATTCAAGCCACGTGTGCCACTTCGGGTGACGGTCTATACGAAGGTCTGGATTGGTTATCCAATCAGCTGAAGAATCGCAGTTAAGATCGAAGAATAAAAAGTCGGATATCAGAAAAGGCTTATCTATTCTTATTTGTTCGTACAGACCATCCTATTATAATATTCTGGATAATTATTGGTGAGCCGCTCGTGTGGAGTTGTTGATAATTTATTATTTTCCTCCGTTGGGCGTCTTTTTCTTTACATTCATCTAGCCAATATTTATTTTCTCTTCTTCTTCTCTGTGTTTTTTCTAATTTCGTATATGGATTGTGTGGAAAGTAAATGTTCATAACTGTTTATTGGCATGTTTCATGTAACCGTTTAATGTGAAAATAAGTTATAAAAGGTATTTGGAGTGTTGTCCGCAGCATGCTTCTCCTTGAAAGTAGAGATTACAGACAACGGAATGATGGATTTGGTTTTTCTCGATTCGGTAATGCTGGAAGTCAGGTTGTAATTCGATTGGTTTCACTTGGACGGTCTTATCTGAGAGTAGATTGGACAGGATCGCTGATTTGTAACAGAAAACATTTCTCCGATTGGACTGAAAATAATAAATACAACAGTGAAAGGGTTCATACTCACGTCAAGATATCTGTTGTATGTCGTTTGGACATAAACTCCTAGTCCTCGAAGCTGTTGAATCAGAGGAGTTGATGCCAAAATTTCTGCCGTATCCTCGTTTTGCGTAACAAAATAATTTGTTTGATATTCCACCACATTGACCTTTAATAATTGTACTGTAGGGAATGCGTGTCGAATGTAGATTGCGAGATCAGAATTCGTTAGCAAAAGATCCTTGTGAACTTCGACATTCAATACCAATGGACTTGTAATTGTTACAGTGTCCAGATTATGCATCATTGTTTGAGTGATGGGATTGTGAACGTGAATGGACTTAATGTTATGCGGCCTATCCGAGAAGAGGCCTTGCAATTGGTTGGGGCTACCGATATGGAGCGACGAGAGGGTTAAAGTGTTGAGATCAGGATGGGAAAGCAAGGAGGGTTGGATTGTGAGGTCAAGGAGACGATGAAATTGGTTTATCATTCGAATTGAAAGGTCATCACAGACATTCGGATAGATGTGGAGATCGGATACACACCCTTAATTTTTATGTTAATTCGTATTGATCAAGAAGGCTAAATTATGCATAATGGACCTACTTCCAAAATGGTATGCTATTTCATCCACATCTTGCGCACTGTTTAGATCTCTGATGACCAGTTTATGCGGCTGAATAGGTAAGATGTCCAACTTCTTGGCCATGTTTATATCCACTGACAAGATTAGACTTCCATTATGAACAAATTTAATGTTGTTTTTCATTACATGAGCTTCCATTCCCGAGATTCCGTCGCTCTGCCATTTGGCTGTTCGCCGGTTTATACTTACAAATCTAAAACAATGATTAATCTCTGTGACAGTTTCTGTTGCACTTACCGCAGATCCGGCTTCTGTGGGTTGGCGTAAGCACATTTAGAGGAGAAATTGAAGAAATGATGTGCAAAAGTTAAAGCCGCATCACCGAAAAGTTTTGGCTTAAAAGTTGTGTAGTATTCGACCTTCTTATGTCCTGAAGGCGGAATTATCAGCGTATCCAGCTGCACCATAACGTCTGGAAATTACGAGGTCAATGAAAAAATATATCCTACACATCACGCGTGAGGAGCTGTAAAAGCAATATCATACATAGACGATGAACGAACAAGACGATATACACCCAAAATAGATGTCAAAATGAGACGAAAAAGTTGCTAATTAAAGACAAAGTCCTCCTGATTTACAATAAGATTAAATCGTGCGATGACCAACACAAAATATAAAATAAATCATCGCAGCAAAGTCGTGTTCAAATGTCCCTTGCTGATTTTAACCCTCAGGCACATTCTTCTCTAAATGCCGCCTCTTTTTTATCTTAATATTAACTACTGACAGAACCTGTCGACGAAGACCGCAGACGAAAAAAAGTGAAAGAATTTTTGATAGATATGACTAGGGAAACGCATGTGAACTTTAAAGTTCTCAGCTCGGGGAAAGTGAACGTTGGAGTTCAATAATTACTGCTATTTGATTTACTTGCAAAAAATGAGAGTAATTTGTAGGGCAACAACATCACAAAGCACTTCCAAAGCCCATCAATATGATGAGAAAGAAAACTTTTAGCACTTTCTCTGACCTTGTCCACTATTTTCTGTAATTTTTACAGTTTTTATCAACTTTTACTGCTATCCTCGGCTGACTTTATTTAATTTCACATCCTCTCAAGGTCATTTTGCACTTAATACAACCCTTCTTTTGTCAGAAGATTATGTCTACTCCCGTTCGCCGCCTTTCAGATGACATTGTCCATCATTACACACTTATATCAAATTTCATTGAAACATTATCGTGGTATTCTTGCGCAACAAATAAATCTCATCAATTATTTTAACTACTTACTAGCAGGAGAAACTTTACAATCAAATTTGAGTTGATTTAATATCTGCAAAAGTTGAATTAAGGCTTCAAAGAATGTCATCATGCACCCAAAGAAATGTTTGGAACATCCGAAACGAGATTATTTGCAAATGGTTCAGCTGAAATGTGATTATTTCCTCAGGTCATGTTCCAAATATAGGCGGATAAGACGGATGAAAGGAAGTAAAATTAGAATAACCAGCCCATTCTCTGAACTTGTTTTCGTTGGGGAGTTGTACTGAGCGATCTGGGGCCAAGCCTTGGGCACCCATTTGAGGACAGGCTTTCTGAGCTTGTTGTTTCATTAGGGATGGTCCCTAAAGGAGGGTCTGCACTTAAAAGTCTTGTTTTCTGATGAGAACAATGTGCGGTTCTTCTCTTTGTGATCAATGAGCATTCATTACCTTTCACTGGAGTAGAAGCGTCTGTGGCGTTTATTTGAATTTGTCATAAACCTATGTTGGAATAACTCAACATGAATTCCACATTTACATTGCCCTGTAGTCACCTTGTTAGTTACTTTGCCTTAGATTTCAACCTTTTTTACTTTATGGAAAAGTCCTTTCAAACACCCCAGCATTCCAAGGCTGATTACGATTTTTAAGTACTGTAATTAATGTAAATATATAATTACTCATTCTGAAACCGATAAACAATCCTTACAAAAGCAAAAGTCATGACTTCTTATTGTCACTTGGTTTTATAATCTAATTTATCTTCAATTTCTGAATTTTTTCTTATAAAAAGTTCACTTTATAAAGTAGTTTCAATTAGGACCACTCACTGCTTTTTGGACTTGTAATTGAATGACGGCAAGTTTATTAATGGTTGCAATTCCAACCAAGTGATTGCCTACAGATGCCGGACAATAAGGAAGTAATGCGAGGATGACCTTTTCAATTGACTCTGTTGTATGTACATAATACACATACATATATATCCCTATGTATCCACAATATCCGATCCCAAAGCCCCCTCTTCCGGCCCTTTATACCTTATTCATCGAGCACCAGAAGTCTGCAGATCGTTCTGAAAACATTTTCCTTCCCACGGACACTGTCCCGACTTCGGGCGATATATTTTAGGCCACATACGACAGCGGGATAATCCCGCACAGAAAACGGTTTTTTGCCCCTTATCTTGTCGATCCACCGAGCGAATTAGATGGTCATAATAATCACTGAAATCCCTGACATTTACTGTGCGGATTAACAGGATAAAGGGCGGAGTTTCGGGGTCACAAATGTCGAGAAACGCAGAAGTCTCAAGATACGGCGATGTCATGGAACATTTAGTGGGATACCGGGGCTCGATTTAAATATTTTAATATACTTTCTGAGAATATCGATGGCTTCATAAAAATGTTCTTTCAAAAATATGGGTGTTTAAACCTCTTACTCGCATTTTACAACATGTACATTTACAAAATTAAATGTTAATCATAATTCTAAACTTTTTATGCTCCTTGGATAACATCCCGTCGGGAAAATAACTGCCGGTAGTCGCAGCGAAATGTTTCGCGTCGTCGAAAAAAGGGTGCAGTCGCGCACCAAATTTCCAACTGCGGCTAGCCGTCGCAAAGCGATGATGGGCGATTCCCCAAAGCGCGCTGCTCTTTTCCTGACAAACTGATATCAGTTTTAAGCTTTTATAAACCCTCAAAATACATACTAGTATAACATTCCCTTTATTTTGAGATATTTTGTCTTGAATTCGTGGGAATGTGATGTTCGTTCTGGCAGGATTTTATAGTAAATTTTGGAGTGGAACGCAATCTAAATGAACTCACGAACTCGCTATTTCCTTGTAAGTAGAGGTCAATAATTTGAGGGAAACTTTACAACATTCTTGGAAGGATCTTTACCTTTTGTACCGACTCCACCCACATCTCCTGTTTACTATAATAGTTATGGACGGCCCTTAATTCAAAATTTGTGAGTTCCCTTCAAGGCCAATTCAATTAATTTTAGAACTTAAATTAGCTGATTCTACTCGCATTTCACGCTCTCAGATTCCATTTACAATTTCATCGCTTATTAGTACCCCTATATCAAATTGTTTTGAGGGCGACAGCTGCAGTGATTATACACAAGGTACTGCTTAAGAACGTTTCTTTCCGTATACTTCTTTAAGTGATTGGTGAAGTCATGTCAACTGCCATGACCTGAGGGGCTTAGGGGGAGATTTTCTCCCAAAATAGTAGCCAAGTCTGTAATCCTTTAGCGTCATGTGCATAAGAGATGTCTCCTTTTTATTGATCAGCCTTATGGATGAAACATCATATTGCACGGCCCAGGGAATTTAAATACTTTGGTCCTTTTATGTTGTCATCCATATGTAAATAGTGAGTAACTTGGAATTTGGATTACTTTTTTAAACCCTTACTAAGTACATTATTGCAAACCAGTTATTTACATCCTACGAGGAAGTAATTAATTACTCTGCAAACTTTTGAATTTCAAATTCAGTTACGATATGAAAAAAGTAGTACCCTTCGTGATGCACAAATAAAAATGGTACACTATGATTGTTGACGTTGTTTATAATTTCTCAATTTGAGCAGCTGTTTTACTAACCATTTTAACAGAGCTGGGACTATCAATTAGAACATTCTTTCCTATGAAAGTGTCGGACGTTTTCAGGCCAACGATGACGAGGGTTACGACAATTGTAACTCTCTAATCTGACCCGATTAGAGATCCCTTTTGTGGGTTTTACGTCCTGCTTTTATATGGACGTCCTAACTTCGTCATTCAGCCGCTTCAGGTCCGAGTAAGGAAGTATTATTTAACTGTTATATTATGGTAATTAAATTCGTAACCTTTTGGGGAGTTCGGTTCTCTGGTGTTACTTGTTATCGAGTCACTTAAGGGGTTTTTGAGCCTAATTTTGACGCAATTATGCGCGATGCATCTCCTTTTCTTCATGAAATTCTGCCCAGAGGTTGGTTTGAACTGTGCGTTTTGTAGGTATGGTATTGGCTTTGTGCAATATTATGCTAGAAAATTTGTTTTTTCAAAATTTCTTCCTCGATATCGATTTTTTGTTGTAAACTTTATTCCAAAATACTGGAATTGTCCTACAAAAAGTATTGGCTACATTTCTTCAAACATTTTCAAAGATCTAAAGAAGTAAATATATCAGTCATGGTATGCCCATAATTAATACTATTTATATTTATGCTTGTCTGTACCCAATTCCGGTCTTGGGATGTTCTTCCGGCAATTTAATTAATTTATTTTTCGTATTTTTATGTTTATTTGAGTACGTGATATTTGAATGATATACGAAGTTTACACAAACGGTTAATTTTTAAAAGTACGGTGTTTTTTTGCAATAATTTTACAATTTTTTAAAAGTTTTTGTAATCTTTTAAATATTTTTGTACGTTTTTCTGCAAGCCTTCCCGGGGTCGTAAATGAATTACACAAGGATCAAGGTCTTGGCTGTAAATGTAATTCACAAGAGTAATCAAATTATCATCCCTCAACGGCCATGCAAATTTATTTTTACCCTCGTTTATTTTTACTCGCGTGATTATTTTTTTAAATTTGAAATTTAAAGTGTAAATACACTCCTAATGAGACAACTTTTCAGGTGTCCATTCTGAATACTTTACAAGTCTGTTACTTGTTATTTCCAAAAGACTTTTTGTTACAGTATGGCATCCAAATGTGCGCAGAAAGAGAGTCTTTATTATGCAGTTTTGGAATTTATATTCAAATATCTGCCAGGTCTGTTGCTGGGATTGTGTTCACTTGCGGTTTTTGGTATGTTTCATCCTTATTCCACTAGTACAATTTTGTATGTGAGCACTTTTCAATCAATTATTTTTCAGTAAATTTATTTCTCCTTCTAATAACAACTATTGGGATTCGAAGGAAAAAAGTTCCGGCCAAGCGATTACTGTTTGTGGCCAACAGATCAGTTGTTGACGCCATAGCTGCGGCTGTTTCTCTGGTATATTTATATAAAGTAGAGATTCAATGTGATGTTGTGGAATGCAAAACTGTTGCATTCGTTCCGGATATTGCTATGCAGGTAAGTATTGGGAAATATACAAAGTGGGCGTTACAGTAAGGTAATTATGATTACTTAACACTTGAATGCAAACACTACCTTTTATGAAAACAATGGTAATGTCATCGGATTTGCGGTTCTTTAATTAATCCGAAGCTAAGTGAGATGGAACATGAATGTTTAATTGAAAGACCTGACCGCGATTAGAGTACGTAGATAAGCGAGTTTTGTACGAAAATCTTTGGAATTAATGCCATCAAGAGAATACGTCAGACATACGTAGTAGTCGGGCTCGAAAAAAAAATTATAATGTATTCCTAAGGATTCTAGACAAATAAGGCCTTCGTATAACAAAAAAATATATATATACGTTTTTGCTTTTGTACTTTTAAAAAGAAATAATTTTTAGCTGATAGTGACGTTCAACTATTGGATGCTGGCTGGAAGTTACTTCGGCATTGGAATGCTCACCTTTTATGCAGTCCGCACTCCGTTACAGTACAAACTCTCTCTAAATGTAGCCAGAGTTGCAAAGTTTATCGCCCTCGGCTGGGTCGTCATGATTGGTCTTCTTTGTCTCGTCGTATTCGCTACAGAACAACAGACAATGTTTGATTCGAATGGGATGATGTATATGATGAGAAATCAATATTATGGCCTTCTGGGGGAGTGGATGGTCGCTTTATGTGAAAAAGTAATCGACAAATCAATGATGGAGACCGGGGCGATCTCCCTGATCTTACCCATCTGCAGCTATGTGACGACTCTACTCAGCTATGGATTTGTAAGTTTGAGATTAAATTTTGGACCAAAAAAACTCAAAGATTACTCAGAGCCGTTCCGACTTTTTTTTCTAAATTTAAAAGAAGATGTAATGACTTAATCCCTTGCTTCCTAATCCTGACATAGTATTTGATTCCTCGGGTTTCTGGTTGCACAGCATGTTCCGAGAAGGAGGGCATGAATTTGTGGAGTGTTTTATGTCTGTTTATAATTAACGGAAATGTCAGCGGAAGAGACCAGTAATCTCTTTGTTAACAGACACTAGAGTTTACAGAAATTGAATGTTATTTTAAGGTAGCTCTGGTTCTATTCCGTCGCCGGCAAGATCGTCGAAATGTTTCGTCACTCAACAGAGATCACACAGCCATCTGGAGACTTGGAGTTCATCTGGGAGTATTCACATTCAGCTTTTGTTTAATGGCCGTCGCTTATGCCGCCACCTTCCCAATGGCCGAAAGTTGCTTTAATTGGTCAGAACTGTTGATGGAGAACCATCAAGCTACAATTGACGGTCATAACGTGGATGATGACAATTGTTCCCTCGAGCATTTGTATGCCTTCACAAGATATGCCGTACTCACGTCTTTGGCCAGCATTGGATGGTTTTTGAGGATGTCTTTGGACCCTCTGATTGACACTGTAAGTTCAATATCCAAGAATATGTGATAGCTCAGAGTTTATGGATTATATGCATGAATTTCTGAACTCTAAAAGATTAGCCGCAGTTATTGTGGGAAGTCTAGAAATGTCATTTTCTCCGTAGTTATCCTGCAAGCTATAAATAAGAGGGACCAGTGCCGAGATCTCCGTATTACTCACACAATGGTATTACTAACCCTTATCCATTGTTTGAAACGCATATCATCCCCCAGAAATCCCGCTAAAACGTCGTAACACTTATTTCACAAGGCCATGTAAAAGATAAGTAGCAGGTAGCCTGGGAAGGGGGGGGGGGGAAGGCCTGAGACAGCAAAGAGTGATCTCCAAACTCAACAGATTTGAATAAAAACACAAAGATTACTATTTACAGGTTTTGGACACCCACATCCGGAGATTAGTGATTGCTCCGAGGCCTTTGGAACGGGCCTCGACTACCATGTTGTTGGAGAACCGTCTTTCTAATGACACAGGGAAGGCGTGACTAGTACACTCGGTCATCCACACAGCACATGCCTTCGTTTTGAGTAGGCGTGGATCGGCCGAGAGTACCAAAATGAAGCGGCATCCTACGACCAGTAGTGCTGAGGTTAAACCTGCACGAAGAAGAGCTCCCATAAAAAAGCAGATCAGTATCAGTTCTGCGGTTTAAAAATATTATCCTGTAAATACATATATCGATTTAGGACCTCGTAATAATAGATACTCCATAGGACCTTTGAGCTCTGTATTTATAATAGATCTGTGAATTTGTATGCATAGTAAATTACGCAATCTTTTATATTGTATTCAAGTTGCGTAACAATGTTTTTTTAAAAGTAATCTAATCGTATATCATTGCTCAACTCCCAAATCTCCTGCAAATCATCAACATCCCGACAATGGATATTAACCTTTGTCTTTTGTTTTGATTCAACGCCAATATAATCTGAATAACCTTCCAAATTTATGTAATTACTTTATCTGTTATGTCCTTTGTCCCGACTTTAGTATTTATAATCGAAATGGGTCTTCGAACTACGGTAATTATAAAAGAGTTAAGCATATTCAAATCATGTTTCATTATTTATTGATTGCCAAAAGTATTCGTACAATAAACGAATGGCGATATTTGAGAGCACCGTATATTGATGTAATTGAAAAGATATAAGGCTTGTGCGCTATTTCTTCGCGCGACTTTGCGCAACGTTACATAATAATGCGTCAAAATTCGGCACCTTTTTACAAGTGGTCGCGCAAATTAGTAACGCACACGCCCTATACTTATATCACAAAGGAGATATCTATTCTAGTAACTACATTGCTGGGGAGGGTATTGCAATGTCATCATTTTGCATCTAATCTTACTCTTTTGGTTTTCCCATTCCGAGAAAAATCACCCAGTACCAAAGATTGAAGATGAAGAAACACAAAGGGAACATGCACATCGAGAACTTGTCGATCTTCGTTGCGGTCCATTCAGGACAACGGACGCACAGCCAGGAACAATTACAGCTATAAATAACGATTTGAATAATTTTCAAGAAATGTCCTTCACCACATTGCACTTTGCTCGCAAGACAAAGATCTATTGTCTAATTCTAGAGGAATAATACTTGTAATTGAAGACCAGCGAGATTAATATCGTTACTTACACAATACTTTCGGCCTTCTCTTTCCTTGTTAAATATCCAACAACTGCCAGTTCCATCAACGACAAGAAAATAAAGGCCATGGAAAAAAGAATCATCACATCGATTGCTTTGACATCGCTGGTCTTGGGAAGGTTATTTACAACAGAACCAAACTGATATGTAAGGGAGAGGAGCTGAAACAACGTTTTTGGTGTGAAACGTAATCTTTATAATAAGAAAGGTCTTCAAAAATTTGCTTTACCGCGTTTACACCGATGGTTGTGCGTGATGGAGTGTTCTTAGGCCCCAAGTAAAAGGAAATCCATGACATAAACACAGAAATGTAAGCCGGCACGTAAACCTGAAGCAACAAAAAAATTAAAGTAAGATCTAGACTCAAGTTCAATTGAGCAATTGTAACACAAATGCCACTTACCTGTAAAATATAAAACCCGTAGAGCCTTTGGAAAGTAAAGGTCGCAATGAGCTCATTCCATTTCCCCGGAGGGTATAACCTCATAATCGAAGAGGCATGGAAATCTTTGAGGACATAATCCGGCAGTGAGATTGTCTCCTTCAAAATCAGTATTGGAGTTGCCGTCCAATTCATTTGAACTTCGGCATAATTATGATTATAAGACTCATAATACAACATGCATCTCTGTTGATCGATGGGAAATGTCCTCAGGGTAGAGACACAAGGACCAGTTAACTTGATCCGGTAGTTATGCCACACACTTCCATTTGAATAGAGTTGGAGAAAGATGTTTTTGAAAGGGGATTGATGAACAGAGGCTGCCTTTGAGTTGACAAAACAGGCAAGGGGGGTCCATATTTGGGAAAGAATTTTGGGGCCATCAACCGAAATATTACTGAGAAAATTGAGAAAAAAGATGCAATGACTTACTGTTTACATGGATTCATGTGCAAAAAGGCCAATGATGGATCGGTCCACATTTCTGTCACATATAAATCCAATTCAAACTCACTGGTAATCTCAATAATCTTCGAAACTTCTTGGACCCACAGCTAAAATAAGAAAATAAAACTTCTTGGACACCACAGTTAAAATAAGAAAAAATTCAGCGCACTACTTCAGCGTACTCTACTTGGATATTTGTTTATCCAATATTCGGTATGCAACACCTACCTCCACATCCACCTTGACTTTCCCTCCACCCGGGATCTTGTGTTTATCATATCCCACCAGAAGAGAATCCAGAATGACAGCATCATCGGTGCATCCAAGGTCTTTCTCCACCGGTCTTCGCCTCTCGATACTCCGTTTATCTAGATTATGGAAGACCTCGGTCTCCGTTGAATTATATGGCACTCCATATTTGGAGACAAAACCCGCTTCAATATCTGGAGGTAGAATTATCACAATAATGAAGGTAGTTATTGCAGATATCTGGAGGAAAGGCATTTTTGAAAAGGAAAACGGTTGACTGAAGAGTTTTGAGGCAGCAGATCAGGTCATGGTTGAGGCAGCGGGCATGTATCTGTTCTGTAAAAGACCGCAATTGTCATTACCTGCAAAGAATTTGAGTTTGAAGAATAGGAAAGTGCAAAAAAGTAACGTTGCATAAACGAATCCATGCTCAAACAAAAACAGCCAATATTCTAGCACTCTGAACCAAACGGAAGACCTATGACAATCTGAAAACATCAGATGCACACCCCCGTATCCAATCTCTTCTTTCTTGCCCCGCGGCCACGGCCATTGTTTTAGATTCGATTCGGGCGAAAACGGGCACCGAATCGACGCCATTGGGAGTTTCCCTTTCACCGAAAAGAATGGGCATTATTCCACGGTCAAACTTCGACGCCCGGAGGCATTGTTGTCGTTATTCATAAATTTTCTGCTTCTCCGATTTGTGACGGCCCAAATGAGGCGAAGAATCCGGCAGAAAGGATCTCCGAACTTGGTGAGAAATGGCCTCTTTTGTGTCAATGGCTGGGTTCGGTTGGGAAGGGAGTTTAGACAATGTAAAAAGGGAAAGCTATCCTTAGAATGAAGAAAACCTTGTAGCAATAAAAATAAACAACTTCAACCTTTTAAACGACCTTGAAATCTTACCCTTTATGGCCAAAAAAGTTTCTATAAGCAAGACCAAAAGAGGCCATGGCTCCCGAACGTCTCTTAATTTACTCGTGCCCATTCTGAAGACAAATTTGCTTAAAAGAAAACCCGAAAGATTGGTTCTTTGACAGACCCGAGAAGCCAAGGCGCAAGTCCGAATCCAGAAGGCCCCAAAAAAAGTCTCGGCTCTCCTTTCCGAAAGCCAAACGAAGCGCCGCTGGCTTCCGTTTCTATCGCGCATGCCCACGGGTCATGCATAACATTAGCCAATGTAAAGAAGTTCAATGTAATATTGTCGATTTTGCGTTGTTCAAAGATCGAATAGAGGAGCGAGCAGGACTCCAGGGAAACCTAATTTTACGTTTGTTTTTTAATTTCTCTGCATATTTTTTAGAATATTTTTGTTTGCTTACATTTATTGAGCTAATTTATGCAGAATTTGTACTTGGAATTGTTTATTCCTTCAAAAAGATCCTATATTTTCGGATTAAATAATTGAAAAAATCAAAAAAAAATTTTTTTTGGCATTTTTCAAACAATCAAAAAATCATGGTCAATGTAAGCTTTTATTGGTTAAATCGACTGACAAATATTGTCGACATGGAAGTAGACCCAGCACAAATTCTGACGTTCCGCCCAAGGAAAACTTTCAAAAAATATCTCCGATACGGTTTGATAAAGAAAATGAGCATGGAACAATTAAAGGGAGCGTGCGAAAGGTAAAACAAAACAGCCAGGACATTGCTTTTAGGAGAACTTTGATAGCCCAGGGTTGGTAGAGCAAATACAAATAGGCCTGGTATTACAACAAAGAATAAAGTGCAGAGAATTTGGGCTGACAACGACTTGAACAACATCATTTGGAGGCGGAAAGTTGATGGGGTTACCGTCTTCTGACTTCTTTTTACATAGTAAAATATCAAAGCCAGTAAAAGAAAAGCAGCGATTGGACAGCAAAGAAGCATGATTACAGATAACAAAAGCACTTGTTGGATGTCTAAACTATCAGAAAAACAAAATGTAAATGGGTATTGATCGAAAACCAGATTTATTTTAGGATCAACTCCAACAAGATAGCGATGAAAATCAGCCTGATTCGGAAGATGGAGCAAAAATGGAGCCTAAATAAATAGTTAAAAAACTGCTCTCAACTTACAAGGCAGACAATCAGAACTATTAAACTAATCCCGCAGATTGTGGACAGCTGTGGCAACGTTGAGAACTCAGTGAAATTGAAATATCGAAGCCAAGAATCGGGAGGCAGGGCTTTGCAAAAGCGGTAGAAGATTAGAAAAGCTGTCGACAAAACTCTAGCCAATAAACATACGGCGAGAACTGCTGCGTAAGATAATTGTATGTTAAATCCGCCATATTGTAAAAAGGAAGTCGAATAGTAACAGGGAATGGGCATCAAGGAGACAGCGCCTGAGAAATTGGCAATGCAATCAAAGGTTCCGGAGGTCCCAAGATCCGCTAAGAGGTACCATTTATACGTGGAGATGGCTCGAGTGGATGCTGTAATTATTTACAGAGTTTTTTTTGTAATACCACGAATATATAACTACCTTTTATGACGACAAAAAAAGTGATTAAAATAGAAGTTACAGTAAGAACACTCGAGGAATGCCTGTAGATTGAGTAAAAATGCAGAAAATCATTTGATAACAACGGAGATTCATCGGAAAGTAACATTTGGTGGAAATAAACCTAATTTGAACCTTGACGAGCATCTAATACAGCAGATTTCTGGACTTTGCTTTTTGTTGCAGCCGAGGGGCAATTGCAGGTGTAACCACAATCTAATTTCACATTCTATTTATTGCATGATTAATTTTTCAAAACATTGCAACTTTTCATTTCTTTGTTTGATTTCGTTTTATGTACAGAGTGGGCCACTCGGATCCAACTTTGTTTCAGGTACTGTATTATTTCATACCAATTTCTTTAAAATTTATATCAAATAGAAGCTGACACACCATTTGTTGTTCAATGATGGGTCCATGTTGACGGAGGACTTTGACATTTCTATTTCAAATCTTGGAGCCCGAGATCGGAGAGACTCAGAATCTTTTCAATTTATGCAGTTTCTGGAAAATTTTTGGATTTCTGGCCAAAAGAAAGCCGCCAAATTCGTTGAAAAAATAAAAAACTTTAATACTTTAGCTTGCACTTTTGTTTTAATCATTTCGTTCTAACTTTTTTAACGGCTTTCTGTCTGATGTCGCCTGCAGACGACTCTGATGTCAAGAGGTCAAGTCCAAGGTCGAGTCTGTTTTTTGTACTGACAGCCGTGTTTTGTTTCAGGTAGTTTGATGCCTTTCACGGGGATTTTAGTCTAGTTCAGTCTCAAATGACAAAATGTCAAAGTCTTGATTAAGGAGAGGACAGTTGTCCACAAAATACGGCCTACTGAATACCAAAAACTAAATACAACAGGTGAAAGTTTTAACGCACAATCACATTTGCGCCATTTGGAACCATTCTTTTTCCGGCAGTTTGCGAATAGTAATGTTTGAGCTACGAAAAATAATTTATGGATGTGTTGAAAACAAACGTAAAATTTATATTAAATGTGCCTTTTAGTTATCCTATTTATTCTTGGCTGGCGCTGTTTGACTGGTTTTGATGTGGCTAAAGATAGTCCTTTCAAGGTATACTAAGATTCAAACTTTTTTGTTATTTTTCAAAGTAATCGAAGGTTATATTCTACAACAAAAATGTCAATTCCAGAAATTTTCACCATGGTCAAAAAGTAAAACGATGAGGTTTTGTTCCTTTACCCCTTGGGGTTTTTACTCACCAGCCCAACCCTTCCAAAAATTATACCTCTGTAACCCCAGTATACGGTAATTTTCTAAACTAAAAATTTGGGCTGATGCTCAGCTATTCTAGAGCAATATCTAAGCAAAATTTCAAAACTTCTGGGATGATCTTTTTTGAAAATGTCCTGCCCATATAATGAGAGGTTTTGTAAAATACGATTTTTTAAAGCCCGTGAAATCCCGTTTGCTTTTCCAATCACACTTTTTTGCCCTTAGGCGTTCGCTCTGCAAAAAATAAAAGGTTCAGTGACAGGTGGTGACAGAAGAGGCGGAGCGCCGTCTGGTCACAAGAAAACAGAAAATATTACGATGGATGAGCCTCATTCAATTACCTTTGGCTCGGATTCACTAGCACTTTTATTGCTATTTTAACCTTCTTTCATTCACACGCAAAATGCTACCAGTGTTGCCTGACGATCTTCTCCTCCGTTTGTTATCTTTCTGTGAGCCAGATGATGTCAATAATTTCTGTTTATTGGATAAAAGATCCAACGAATTTGTGCAGAATTTTCGATGGCATTTGCCCAGACAAGACTCCAATTGCATTGTTCGAATTGATGCCAATGACAATGTTTATATAAAAATGTCGCCGGCCACCGTCTTCTCCATCAACCAGCGATGCAAAAAGTTTGTGTTGTAAGTCCCCGTTCAAATGAAAATTATTTTATTTTAGTTCTCCGCGATCAAAGCCTTTGGATGACTCGGTTTTTTCGGCTTATAATATCCATAACCTGGCTATTATTGGGACTCATTCAAAAGTGTGCAAAGTCACTCCTTCACTCACTGACTGGATTCAACTTCAATTGAATAACAAAAACATACCTCAACTCCAACATATATCCCTCAAATATCTCGATTTCTCATCACTTTCATACACGGATTTCTCGAAATTATTTGAAATCATCGGAATCAATGGGAAAGTCAGTATTAAAAACTGTATTTTCCCAGTTATTTCAATGATTTATGATGTTTTCCTTCAAGTCGGGAAGTTTGAATATGTTGTGGAAAATGGCAATACGATCAAAGAGCTGGACTACAACGTGGAGGAGATGGTCAGGTTGACAGAAAATGTTTTGGATACTGTAATTTCGGGGTGTTCTACTAAGCTGGATCTGTCTAGTCTGGTGGTGCCCTCGGTTGGAGTTATCGTCAAGTTCATTCAAGTATGAGATCATTTGTATAACTCAGCAACGAGTAATTTTATTTTAGAAATGGCGAATGACTCGAGAGCCCAATGATTTCTCCCAACTTTCTTTCCAATTTCTTCCAAATAAGGGAGATCTAACCCATTCTTTACTTCAAATCCCCAATGCCAAGACAGTTGCAGGCACAAATGTCGTCAGTATTAACAATAATCATGATCCCACGTTGGTTATTTTTATTCATATTCAACAGCTTTATATTCACTTGGGTGTCAAGTCGATCATTTTTTAAAATTGCACATGTAGAGTAATTCAACAAAATTTTTATGACTTTAATCTTGGTAAGCTCATTGCAGGAGCTCTGGTGCACTTATAATATAAACCTCCACTTATATTTGTCAACAATTTTGCTTACAGTAGTCATTGTAACTACTGTATAATTATTTGCATTTCTCTTTGTTTTCTCAGACTCTCGAGTCTGCAAGTCAGGCCACAACTTTTCTCGTATCATTTTCTGAATAAATTAAATATTTGAAATAAAAACAGACTTTTTCCCTGAGGCAATTTTCCTCTTTCTTTTAACTTGTTGATTTCCGCAAATCCACGACGGAAATTTGAAAGGTCCGAAGAAGAGCGGGAACTCACAAAACATCAACTTTTTGGTTAGGCATTGTGTGGGAGGATATCAAACTTTGTTATACTTGACATCAAGTATTTTTATTCAAATTTTGTAATTTTGATGACATTGCGGTACACATCTTTGACATGTAATTACTATTTATTACAGATAACCTCCATTTTTACATTTTGGTGACCCTAAAAAGCTTTAAATTAGCCTTGAAAAGTCTTATTTAAATTCGAAAACAGTGCCTTTTTCTTTGTTTACCTGAGCCTTGGAATGTTTACTTCCTTCCAAACCCATATAAATCTATATTTGGACCGGAAACCTTGGCCATTAATTCGGCCAAATGAGAAAACCGGGCCGAAAATTTGAGGAAAACACTTCAAAATCCATTTTACCCAAAAAATGCGCGTAAAATAACATTTTTCCTTTAATTGTTGTGCCATTCTGCTCTTGCTCTTCACCCGAATGCTTATAAAATGGTCTCTAAAATATAATAATACGGGTTTTATTTACCAACTTCCCCTCCGTTCGGCTCCTCCTGAGCTCCACTTTTGGCCCTTTTTTGTTCGAATACTTACAAATAATAGGCCCATTTGAAGGGCTTTTGTCTGTTCGTTTAACAATTTTGTTTTGCAAAACTTTTTCTTTTCTCTGTAAATATAAACTTAGCTTGTTATTCTAACAATTACATTATTTTTATTTAATTTTCCGTTAACGCGGTATATGACCCCAATTAACGCGGTTGGCCGGATTTCACGTTTGGCCGCCTTTTCCTTGAGGAAAAATGGCCAGGACACCTTAAACGGGCATTTGTAGGGACTATTTCTTGGCCAAATCGATGTAAAACCCTCGAAATATTGATGAAAAGACTCGGTTCTGATGATACGGCCGCTTCTTTTCTGCGCCTTTTTCGCCGTGAATCAAATTTGGATTCCATTTTTGGCTCAATGAAGTTTTATTCAAAACTTGGCCATCTTATTTTCGAAGTGCCTCAGGGCCGGACAAATGTCTTTTAGGGCATTTTTTGGACACGTTCTTGCGCCTTCGGGTGTTTTATGATTCGGTGTTACCATTCGATGCCAATAGAATCATTTTTTGATAAAAATAATGGTTTCTTTGCAGTTCAAGATGCTATAAATTGTCCATATCCATCATTATGTCGTCCTCTTCTTCCTCGACAGCCCCAGCTTCAGTCAAAGACTACTTCCAAGACCTGGAGATTCAGTTGGAATCCGAATTAATAATCACGAAAAAGAGTCCCTCGATGACTTTTGATAATAATTCCAGAGAATTATTACACCATCCCTCTCTCGACGACATCACTGATGCCCATTTGGATGATATTTGTGAGCCCTTGGACCCCATCGAACCCAAGATCTTCGATAATCTTGATCTGACCCGAGAATTGGCAGGGATTCCAGGCTTTTCTGCTGGGATCCCGGACCTCTCCTCGAACGGAAGCCATGTTTTCTATGAAAGCAGTGCCCCATCTTGTTCATCGACCAATGGAAGAGACTCGAAACAAAGCGATGAAAAGGACGAAAATACAGCGACGACCTCGGATCATGAGGAAGACGAGAGCTACACCAAGTTTACGGGGTTCACAATAACTCCGCCGATGGCCAATCCTGTGGACATGACTGCTTTTAAGGACATGATTGCGGTCGCTGATTATGATAACGGAGTCCACTTCTTCGAACAGAAGGGGTACCACCGGAAGCACTTCAAAGTTCCCCCTTATCGGTGAGAAAACCAACATTTTCCAAAACAAATCCCCATACTGTGCTGAAGAATGGTGATTTTATTATATTTCAGGATTTGTGGAGTCAAATTCTACCACGACCCGGCTGAAAACGCGACTCATGTTGCCCTCTTGGCCTACCATGAACAACAATGGACCGTTAATATGTACTCCTGGCCTGGCCTCAAGCAAGAATGCATTTTTAATTGCCCTCCAGAACCAAATGTCCCATCCTGGGCGCGACGGAAGATCGTAATCATCGACGATCTTCTTTATTTGATGGGAACGGCCGAGTCCTGCTCGGCGATCTGGACTCTGGATCTGAACACAACTCAATGGTCAGCAAGAGATTACTAAAAAGTTTTACCTTTTCTTTTTTCACATGTAATTTTCGTATTTTAGGAAAACCCTGATTGTCGAAAAAGGTCGTCCCGCCCCCGCCTCAGGCATTTCTTTAACTTTCGCCAACAATCTTTTGAATGGAGGGGCCCAGAAAGCGAGTGTCTACTCTGATTTTGATGTCCACAAGTTCTCCAAGACTGAGAGTAGAATCATTTTATGCGAGGCTCAGAAAAGCCGATTGGATGTGCTGATCTTGGGAGAGAAAAATGAAATTATTGACACTCAGACAGTGAAGGTAAAGAGGAGGAAGAACCAGAAATGGATCGTTCAGGGACCCAAATTGGCCGTGTGGGACACTGAGCAGGTAAAGATACCTCTAATACCACTTTATCGCAGTTAATTAATTAATCAAATTAACCAACTTCTCCCCGCAATTTTTGAAAGCGTCCGACAAAACCACAAAAATGGAAAACTGCATCGTGCAGCACTTTTGCGCAAGCTTGTCGCTGTTTTCATTTCAAGTCTTGCGTTGTGTTTTTTGTGATCGATCGGGAGTCGCACTTTCGCTGGAATCTTGCACAATGCAAATCGTTGATTGCGCGACAGACATCATGCGGTTGCGAGGCTGGAAGGGCGCAATTTTTTTGTTGGCCTTTTCTCTGTCACGAAGATTCCCGTTGCAGTTCTTCTTTTTTCGTTGAATTCACATGCGGCCAATTTCTTGAGTTAAAACCCCCCTCGTGAACCGTGCAAAGATTGTACCATTCGCACTGTTCATTTTTTCTCGAACCGCACGGTGCAGTTGAAGTAAAAATGATTACAATAAGGAGATTTAGAGACTTTTTGATAAAAAAAGTGTGCATTATCATCGCGATATGTAAGTCAATGCTATTTTTCAGGATATAATTGTATACGACGGCAGTGGGAAGATTTTCTGGTTCGACGGCTCCAATTATCGCATCCAGAAGATCGTTGGCGACATCGGACGGAGTGAAGTGTGCTCGATGGAGGCCAAGAATGGATGGTGTTACGTTTTATGTCGCCATCAGCTCAAGATCCATGCCTTTTACTACAGATAACTCAGAAAAATAATAAATTATCCGATCTTGCTCATCTAAAATAACTAGAAGATTCTAATCCCTCAGGGTGGGTAGACAACTCTCGAGGAATCGCGCGATATTTTTGGGCGATAAAATCTCGAAAGTCGCCCCATGCCTGTCTAAAATAAAGTCTTTTATCACAATCGCTTACAAGAAGAGACTCACAACTTCGTATTTTTATCTTTTTTGGAGGAAATTCGAATGTTTTTTGATCAAAGACCGTTCGGGCAAGTCAATGGAGACATGGGGAATGCTTTCATTTCACTTTACACTACTCGAACATCCCTTTTTTACAGCGAAAATGGCTCTCGAGATAAAAAAGATCAGGTATTCGTTTTTTGGCTCTTGTTGGTCAAGGAACTGGGGAAATGAACTTGTTTGAGTTTATTTTAACTTTTTTTCACTCACAATCGGAAGATAAACGGGTGAAACCAAGTATAACAACATTTTTATGAGCTTTTTGTGTAAAAACTTGACCTTTGGTTTAAAGATCGTTAGGTTATCGCAAAATGTAAACCAACCTCAAATTTTTTCCCTCAAATTTTATTTTCTTTTACGAATCTCAGAGTTTCCCGCGTTTTCGGCACAAAAATATTTTCTTTGGCGTTTCGCACTTGGCCAGAAATATTTTTTGCCTGAGAAATTTGGAACGTTGATAATGCTGTTTTCTTATTTTTACGGTTAGAAATTAGCTTCATGCCGCCGAATTCCTTTCCTTCCAATGGATTTCGGATCGAGGAAGCTGGCAAATATTATGAGCCCCCGGAGGATGCGGACAATGCCGAGATTCGACTCAAAAATGTGATCTCGAACAAGTATAAGGTCCAATTCGGTGGGTAATTAACAGTTTCTGGTCGAATTTTAGGTGTTTCATTGAAATACAGAGATTTTCTGTAGTTTAGATCAATAGTTTAGTTCCTGTGTAACCTTCAAAAGGTATCTAAAATGGATGTGGTTTTCAGATACCTACGAAGATTGGTTCACCTGGACCCACCAAAACTACCCTCAGTTCTGGGAGACAGTTCTCGAAGAATGCGATGTAAAATTACATAACAAATACACAAAAGTGGTGGAAGCAGACGTCCCGATGCCCAAAGTTCCCAAATGGTTCCCCGGGGCTACTCTAAATTATGCGGAGAACTGTTTAAAGAATGGGAAAAACGATAAGATCGCCTTTATAGAGTATGGTAAGTCATATATTGTTTTATGTTACACTAGATGTTTTTAGAAATAAATGGAAATCAGAAGACCTATACTTACTCTGTTCTTCGACAAGACGTCGCGGCTTTAGCCACAGCTCTAAGGGACAAGTTCAATGTCCAAAAGGGCGATCATATCTGTGGATATCTTCCCAACGTTTACGAGACAGCCGTGGCCATGTTGGCGACCACGGCCCTGGGTGGAACTTGGTCCTCTTGTTCCACTGATTTTGGTCCCACCGGAGTCCTTGATAGATTTGCACAGGTACTTTGATTTCATTACGTTTAGTAATTTAGACTTTACGGTGGTCAATATATTTGCGTGGCTTTTTTTATAGCGCCTTAGGGGGTGAAGTATTTGGGATTATATACGAAACAGCCTAATATCTCGACTTATAGATACTCATTAGAGCTTTTATTTTTAATGGTCTCAATATTTGATATAATGTGTGATATATGTAGATCAACCCCAAAGTTCTATTTGTTGTGGACAAAACATCTTACAAAGGAAAGCATCACAGTCTTGTGAATAATGTCAACGAGATCGTTGATGGCCTGGGAGATGATTTAAAAGTAATTGTAATCCCTCAATTGGATAAACCGATCGAATTGGATGTCTTTGATCAAAGATCACAGTATTTTTGTTATAATGAATTGAAAAAAGAGGTCGGGGATACTGCAGCGATCGAGTATACACCAGTTCCTTTCCATCATCCCTTATTTGTCATGTTTTCAAGCGGAACAACTGGAATTCCAAAGGGAATTGTGCATACTGTAGGAGTAAGTGGCTGAAAAGATGTAATAATCGTGTATAGGGAGTACTGCTAAAACATGTGGAAGAGCATATAATCCAGACAAATATCTCCGAGCAAGACACAATCTTATTTTACACGACCTGTGGATGGATGATGTGGAATTGGCTGATGACGGTTCTTTTTACGGGCGCCACAATTGTTCTGTATAATGAAAGTCCTCTCGAACCTCAGGATATTCTTCTAAAGATTGTTAGTGAGACAAAGGCCACGGTATTGGGGATGGGAGCAAAGATTTACGATGAATATGCAAAGTCAGACATCGATTACAGTAAGTGGAATATAATATTTATATGTTTGGTGAATGAATCTATTTTAGAGAAGATCCATTCCCTCTCTCAACTCCGCCTTATCCTATCGACCGCTTCTCCCCTCAAGGCATCCACATTTGCATATTTAAATGGGAAAATTCGGCCTCAAGTTGTGATCGGATCGATTTCCGGAGGCACGGATATCGTGGGATGTTTTATGGGCGCGACTCTCAATCGACCAGTCGTTCCCGGAGAATGCCAACACTTCTATTTGGGCCTGGATATGTGCACTTTCAATGAGAATGGAGAGCAAGTTGAGGATGAAAGGGCGGAATTGGTGTGCAGGAATCCATTTCCATCGATGCCTCTCGAATTTATCAATGATTCTGATGGGAGAAGATATTTCAACGCGTATTTCAACAAATTCCCGGGGGTCTGGACCCACGGAGACTTTGTTTTAATCGACTCTCAAACCAAAGGAAGTGTAATATTTGGGCGAAGTGATACTACTTTGAACAGAGGAGGGGTCAGGATTGGGACGGCTGAGATCTATGCCGTCGTGGAAAAGTTTGAAGAGATCGCAGACTCATTGGTCATCGGGACAGTGGAGTAAGAGTATTCTTTGGCTTAAGTTTGCTTGTTTTGCCTTCAAAATACGCAGGATATTACGCATATATTATACTACATGGATTGCATTTTTTTATAGCCCCCAAGACGACACTAATGAGAACGTGCTACTCTTTGTAAAACTTGCCCCCGGCCATAAACTGACTCTCGAGTTAATGAAGAATATTAAGATCAAATTACGCAATCGAATGTCCCCAAGGCACGTTCCCAATGAAGTCCATCCAATCGATGATATCCCTTATACAAATTCAGGGAAAAAAGTTGAATTGGCGGTGAAACAAGTGCTCCAAAAAGAGGTTGTAAGTGATCTTTGAGCTACTACAACAGGTCTCTCGAAGTGGCCAAGTTTTAGTTTGGTTAAAATATAGTCGCCCATCGAAACAAAGATGAATTTTTTAACCTGTCTGCCATGGGCTAAGTTATTTCATTTAAAAAGGCCACACTTTAAAACAAAAATAATTTAATGAAAACTAAAGAAACTATCAGTTAAAATGATTTCCAGGTGAAAAACATTAATTCATTGCGGAACCCCGAATCCCTCAAGTTATTTGAACCCTTTGCCAGCACTTAACATATCAATCTACATATTATATTACATATATATTGTTGTTTCGAAGTATAAACTGTGTTTTCTTTAATGGATTTGTGACGTTTGAGTGATCAAATGGAAGTTTTACAGCTATATTTGCGTAATTGAGTGACTTGTGGTCGTTACACATGTAACAACTCATGTTATACGCTTTGTATTTGCTAGTTTCAGACATTTCTGAGACCCTAGGGACTTCAACGGTCATAATATTCGGGTGTGAAGGAGTAACACAGCGGGAAGTTGTAATTGGATGGGGGGACAGACGACCTTCCAATTAGAATATTTCCCACTTTTGCAGTCCTTTGGTTTACTTGGAATACTATATAATCAGTAATTGGACCATTACCGCTATTTTGGTTGTATTATATTTTTGCATCCTGAAAGCCTCCACCTGCAGTAAGGGCAGGTAGTCACGGTAATTGCAATGAATTATTTGGAGATTTATCAGTATTCCGACCTCATTGCATCTATTCTGGGCCTAGTTCTTAATGTGGTCCTGCTGATCGGGTTGTTTAAGACCAATAAAAATGGATTCCATGCGTATTCTTACCTCCTCCTGGTCCCTTGTGCCAATGACATCTTCTTTTCCACCTATCAGCTGCTGGTTCAGCATGTAAGTAGCGTAAAATGCGTCCCTCTTACCTTTGATGACATTCCCAAAATATGGTTTTAGTTGATCAAAGTGGACGGCGGTATAATTTACATCTTCCCTCTTGGCTTCGAGAAATATGTCCCTCAGAAGTACCTCTGCATCACAGCATTCCTTCATCTCTTCTCTATCACAAATACGTTTACAACTCAGCCAGCCATCTATCATTATCGTTATGTAATTGTCTCCAAAATCGGGTAGGCATTATGATCATCAGATCATGAAGTACAACATAATAATTGTGTAATGTAAATTTTTAGTTCCGGACCTACAGTAAGCGTCCTCGTCCGTAACCTTATAATTTCTGTGATCGCTGCCTTAGCCGTTGGCATGGCTTTTGGAGCCTCGATCCATCAAACAATTTATTGGGGCAGAGATTATTACATACAGAAGTTATCTCCTTTGTGGTTTGATGAAAATGGACAGACAGCGTTCATGTACGCGGCTAATTGGGTAAGAATCTTATTCTACATCTGTAAACATAACTTTTTACTATTATACTACTTCCTTTGTATCTTTACATACTTCCTGGAAAAAATAAATGTTTTTAGGCTGACAAAAGTACAAAGGCTTACTTTGTGATTGTAATCATCGTATTCTCAGCAGCCAATATGTTGAGTATGTATTTTATCTGGATATCAGTAAAGAGTGTGCATGCCGAGACTTCATCTGTCAGTGAGACCACCAAGCAATTGAGAGCACAGTTTACGAAAACTTTGATAAGTCAGGTAATCGTCGTGTAACTAGGGGATCGGAATCCCATAAGTCAGAAAAAAAAACGCAAAAAGACATCCACTTGCCGGCAAAAGGATCAAAAGACTGAATTTTGGACCTTACGAGGGAAGAATCTGAACTTCCCCCAGCGTTTGGGAAAATGACTAGTACAGGTGGATAGAGCAGGTCAACTTTGGTAAAAAAAGCCATTTTCCAGCAGCTCGTTAGGCGCAAGCCCTTGCCTCTGTATAAAAGACAGACAAGGCTTTCGCCCCTCGAGGCCCTAGGATAAACAGGAAAGTCTCTTGGGAACTTTCCAATACTTTGGTGACAGGGCCCTGTATCGCAAATGGTTTAGGCGATGTGCAGTAATAACCCTAAACTTCAGACGATCGTGCTCACTTTCTTCGCCCTGATCCCCTGCACCATATACATGATGGCTTTGATGTTCCAAACTGGCGGAGAATTCCTTGGGATCATTGTTCTTGGCCCTGTCTCCTGGTTTTCTTGTCTTAATGGTCTCCTTCCAATGTATTTTGTCCGGGCAATTCGAGTATTTGTTTTGGGTTTATTGGGGATCAAAACTCGAGGTCCAAAATCCATTCAATCGACGGTCGAGAAGAGCAATGTCACTTCTTCCAACCTGGATGTTGCATAAACTACAATAAAAACTTATCAAATTTAAATTATTGCAACAATCAAAATTGTATTTCTTTTACAAAATATACGATAAATTGAATGCTGAGGTGTAATCAGAGCTACGAATGAGAACGGCAATGGCCTGACTGGAAACTCAGGGCGCTTAAGAAGGATTATGTTTTTTTAATAATCCCTTCTTGGAGGAGATCTGTTGTAAAAACGGTTTTTGGGACCCATTTTCTACTTTCGGAAAGGGCCAACGGCTTCTGAGTCATGAAGCCCTAGTTTGGTTCGGACAGAGGAACTTTTAGAGGTTGAGTTTTTTGGCATAGAATGTTCAATAAAAGAGCTAATTTTCCCCCGGAAGGCATAAATTTGCATACTTTTGTGTTTGAACATCTGCAGCTTCCAAGTGCCAGATGGAAGTTTTTGGAGAGCTGAAATAATAAAAAAGGTTTTTTGCATTGATGAAATTATTTTGGCACAATGAAGTCTGGTCGAGTAATGTGGTAAAATTTACCGCTTGATTTTTGGAAAGGTCTAATTTTAAGGTAAAAAAATTTGAAACCGACCCCGTTACCGTAATCCTAAGGTGTAGCTCTGAAAAAACAGGTTTCCCAATTGCCCTTCCACGTCAATCCAGCGCATTTCCTGAACCGTTTCGAAACTTCGTACCGTTTTCATTGGTTTAAAAGAGAGACGAAATGTCGCGAAATTATCGGCACTTTTTCTCGCCCGAAATAATTGTTGTTTTCTCCAGGGGTGGCAAACGGGCCTCTTTTTCCAAATTTCAGGCCCGGGGCCCGGCCCGGCAAAATCCCAGGCCCGGCCCGGCCCGGTTCAAAATTTTGCAGGCCCGGCCCGGCCCGGCCCGGTAGAAATCAGGCCCGGCCCCCCCAAAAGCCCGGTTAGGGCGCGAGCTGGAAATTTTCCTTTGATCTTACCGCCTCTGTAGTGTGCTAAAATCTGCTAAGAACTATCCTATATGTATTATATGTTCTAATTTGGACCTTATATTATAACATATATGCAAAAAAGTACTATAAAGTAATAAACTATTGTAGAACTTGAGATACTAAAAATACAAACCTATCCAAAAATTTTTCCGGCGCGAAAACATTGAATGCCAAACGCTTGGCATTTCGACAAAACCGGGCCGGGCCTGAAAATGGCTCAGGCCCGCGGCCCGGCCCGGTAAAAAGCAGGCCCGGCCCGGCCCGTTTCAAAATTTGTCAGGCCGGGCCCGTTTAGGCCCGATCGGGCCGGGCTTCGCCGGGCCGGGCCGGCCCGGCCCGGTGGCCACCCCTGGTTTTCTCGAAAAGAAAGAAGAAAGATAAGAAAATGCGTTTTATCGGATTTTGAACGAATCACCAAAAAAGGGGCGGGAAATTTTTTCTTCTATTTTGGATTGACGTGCCTTCCCGCAACTTCTTTGCGACTTTTGATCCACCCGCAGAGCTCATATGCACCTCAGTCCAGCGCCTTTCTTGACCCTTTTAGACGTTTTGTGGACTCGCTATTGAATGACGAAAGGGTTTTGGACATCAAAGTTCTTTCTCAAGAATTTATGGTGGACGAAATCGGTCTCAATAAACCAAAAAAATTCTAAAACATTAGCTTTGTCAGCTTCTAACAGACAGAAAGGGTTTTGTAGCCAAGAGAAAAACGGCCAAGGATTTCCCTCCAAAGTTTTATTTCTGACAAAAGGCCCAAAAATCGGCTTTTAAAGCTAATAGAAATCATTACTCCATTGCCTAACATATTACTCTCTCCTTAACAGTTTTGCGTTTTTTTTGAATTAAGATAGTAAAAATAAGCACCCAGACAATAACTGAGTAATTGGCCGAACTTTGGGCCATCTTTTAGTCTCCCTAAACTCGAGAATACCTTTAAATAAAACGTATTTTTGTAGCAGAATTGAATTGGAAGACATTTGCGTGACTATTAAAATTCTAAGGTGAAGTCATTGCCATATAAAAGCAATCTTTCAAATCTGCGGAGTTACACTTACAATTTGCATTTGTTGTTTTGTAATGTAAAACGTGGTAAGTATTCTTTGTAGAGAATGTTTCTTCGAATTCTTTGCTAAATCTAGTCTTGAAACTGCGGACTTTTTAAGGCTTACTATACATAACTATCAGTTTCATTGCAATAACCAACTGCGTTAGCCATATATGGTGTTCAAACCTCAGACATTGATTAAGGTTCTGTGTGGCCTTTATGAGATCTTTATTGTGCGCGTTAGAGAAGCTTCTGACGGTATAAACTGCTACTTCTAACAAAGTATTTGAAGATAGATTCTTGGGAGTATAACACGTTTGCACAAGCGCCCACTTCGCTCTTGTACCATCAAAGTCCGCAGGGAAAGTAAAAATGTTAGTCCCAATCTTTTTGGCGCACCCTGTATATGGGAGGTGCTTTATAAATTAAAGCGCGCTAGTCCACCCCAACCCCGCGGATTTAGTCCAAAGTTAAAAGTTCACGAAAAAGGGGGAGGGGAGGAGGAGCCGACAGAGAAAGGCAGAAATTTTTACAAAGAGAGAAATTGCGCAACGTTATGTAAGATTGCGCAACTTTTAACTTTGGACTAAATCCGCAGGGTTCGGACGGACTAGCGCGCTGAAATTTATAAAGCACCTCCCATATATGACAAGCGAAGTTGTGTTTGGACAGAATTATTTATTTGTCCGTTTTGCTGTGCACTTGCAATACTTCGTGCACCTAACGATAATTCTCGCAAAATTTGTATGTACATATTTTCTAATAAAAGCAGTACAAAAACTTATAAAGCGCAGTATCGCTTACATCAATTTTTTTGTAACTACGATTCGTTTCAATTTTGTTCCTTCGAAAAGTTGACTTAAGTGGAAAGCTTGATTCTTGTAGCCTAACTCTTTCTTCGAAATAAAACACTATTGTGTATGTACTGCTAATCTGAATCTCCAGCATGTTTTTGTTGTTCATTCTCATCATTATTTATTAGACCTATTTGAATTAAATTTGAGTGTAAATTTGAGGCACTACTCTTTGCTTTTTGGACTAATAGATTGATTACACTCTTTAATTGAAGCTTATGGTTATGTAAATACGATCTATTGTCAGATGCGGATCTTGTTCAGTATTACTATTTTTGGCCCATCTTGTATCTGAATTATAGTAATTTCTTAAATGCAAGGGCACTTTTAATTGGTCAGAGGGTAGTCACGAAAAAAGAAGCCATATCTTAAATTTGTATTAGAATTCTGGAAGTATTCTAGTCAAGTCACAAATGGGTTTTTATCCAGGAAACGTGGGGTAGACTCATTTCGAGAAAACCCCCGTCTTCTCCCGAAGGAGCGCTGTTTTGAACATGTATTGGAGTTGTACTGCACATAAATTATGAGATTTAAAATTTTTTGCGCGAATTATGAGGACAAGAGTTGTGTAATAGTTACAATTGGAGCTAAAAAAGGTACATTCCCTCAGCAATCTTACTGCCATTGTCGTAGTTTATCTGTTTTTAGGAACCAACAGCATTTATCTTCTTAAATCATTCGTGTTGCTGTTCTTAAGACGTTGATTGCCCCATCTGAACCTAAAATACGATGATAAATTGAGTATTAATTATTATCTCCGTTTTTCGCTTTTTTAAGTCTCTTTTCCTCAATAATTAGTTTTAAATTCGAAGAGAAATGTCTGAGGATTTATAAGAAGGGATTACTTTCATCTTCTCGAAGATTATAGGCCCGTGCTGAGGACATTATTTTCAACTTAAAATTTCTGTCAGTCCGTAATGCTTGTCCCATTCAACCTTGACTTGCTCTTCATTCATCAAACTTATGCACTTTTTGAATTTATTCTGCATTTTACATTCAAGAACCGAGATTACAACAAAATTATATGTGTGTTTCCCAATTTAAATGTACTTTACAATACTATTTTGCAGGCCATTTGGTATGTTTTATAACTACACACACGAACCGGAGAAGTTTGTGGATCTGAATAACAACAAAATGTGCTTTATCTTCATCGCATGTGTCCATTTAATGTTCATGGTTGTCCTTGTTCTGTCTTATGGAAAGGATTTTATAAGAGCTTGCAAATTCAGTATCATACTTTTCTCTTTTGTCAGCATTGGAGAGAAGGTTGTGTCGATTGCCTTCTATTTTCATTATGAATATTTGACCTGGAAAGAAGAAGGTAAGTGTTTATTTGAAACTTGTGCGCGAGCAAGGTCTTTTTTGAAGCCAAGATATCACGGAATTTAATGTTTGGTCTAGATAAAGTCCACGGGCAGTATTTAGAAAATCACAACTTATTTTTTAATGGAATATTACAGCAAAGTCTTCAACAAATAACAGAATTTTCATTTTCAGCCTCTGAACTCAACACTTCTTTATTTGCCGTCCTAGTCCGGGTAACTTGCCACACGGCGTTGGCCATAATGATGGTTGGAGAACTGGCCACATCCAAGGGTAAAAAAGTGGCTTCTCTCCCATTTTGTGTCATCATTTTTGTGGCCCAATTTCTCTCTATTTCATGGTTCTTTAATACGGAAGTTAAAGGTGGGTAAAGCCTTACAAAATCATTGTTATTGGTCTTTTTAGAAGAAATCCACGACAAAGAAGCCTTTCTTTTATTGACCACCACCTCCGTGTTCAACATGACGTTGCTCACCGTGTTCTGTCTGTATCTTGGATTCCCGTCGGAAAAGACCAAGAGGGTAAGTAGGACTCTGAATCTTTTTGGATGGTAGTTTTTTTGATCTTTAGCATCCATCTTGTGTAAACATAACCTTGTTCTTTCTTCAGGTGAATAAGATTGTTGGCTTCCATGCAATAATTGATATCCTCCACAACTTTCTAATACAGTGCCTTCTGGCTACGAACAATCCAGTCCATCCGAGTGCCTTGATTTTGGTTAACTATGCCAAAGATCTCTTCTTCATGTTCATTTATGTTGTCCGGGTAATGAATGCGTCCATTGTGGAGGTCTCTGACGCTGATAGCATCTCCTCCGTATCTCATGAGGACCTCGACATAACAATAGTCGATACTCCGAGGTCGGAAGTCGAGATGGTCAAGTATTAATCTTTAAAATAATGTCCCAACTACCTTCAATTCGATGCTTTCAAAGGTCTTCGATTATAAATATCACTTGCTTTATTATTCTTTACTTTGTTTACATTGTTGAATAAATATTAAAAGTTACATACATATTATGTTAGAACATTTTATGTCATCGTTTTCCACTTCCAAGACAATATTGGCCAGCAACACAAATCTGGAAAGGAGGACAGCCGCAGGGGTTAAAGATGATGGAGCGGGGGAAGGGTTTACAGCCACAGACAGGGTTGATCTCAAACTGACGACGTTGGCGGGAAAGTGAGGCTAAACATAAAAGCATAATTTTGATGCAATCTCAAAATAAATTTTGAAAAGTTTGTCTGAAACATTTCCCTTTCAGCGATCAATGGAAATACAGTCGCCAACATAAAACGCAGTGTTTCTTACGGCATCTGAAACCTTGGACTCACCTCCGTTTGCACTCCGTACGAGAACGCCAACTACTATAAATAACTTTACAACAAAGCCCACAACTTTCATCTTGCAGAAGTTACTTTTGAGCCAAATATATGTAATAGTGGCTGCGTTTAAAGCAAGGTCAAGTCTTTCGGCTCTTTTAAAATGTTTATTATAAAAATCAACGAAAAACAGACTAGAGATTACGAAAGGAAAGATTACATGTTTGTGGGTCCAATAAAGTGACGTCATATTTATGCAAATTTATGTAATTTAAGCAAACTTGCATAATGTCGGTATAAATTGTACAAAATAAAAGTAGATACTGATTTATCAAAAAATAACCAAAAGTTTGCATAAAACTGCGTTATAATTCAAATTTATGCTTAAAAAGTATTGTAAAGATTCGTGCGCAAAACGTATAAATAATCCCGTACAACCAGATGCTTACAAAATAGTGAGTAATTATACTTAACGTATATACTTAATGAAATAAGTGCAGCCTATTACGGACAAATAAATAGTCGTATTTTATATAGACATGAGTGAGGACTGGAAATTGCGACAGAATCGGGCGATCTGCTTGAAGAAAGTCTGAACTTTGGTTGAAAAATCTGGGAATTCAGGTGAAAGAGCCGAGGATTCTCCAAAGAACTCAAGAGTTCGGGCGAGATTGTCCTGAAAATTTTAATATTCATCAGATTATGTCAAAGTAACAAAATGGTAAATTAAATTTGACTTACAGTCAATTGAGTCATCTTCTCCTTGAAATTGATGACTTCACTCTCAACTTTTAACGCAAATTCGGTCAAATTATCGGTCTGAGTGCCGACTTTAAGCTCCGTCTCCACCAAAGCTCTCCCCCGTTCAAGAATCTTCATCAGTTTCTCCAGACCGGACACTTCAATATTCGCAGCGCCATCAATTAGGTCATTTCCATTGGCAAAGTTTCTAATCTCAGGAACATTCTTATTTACCATATAAACCAATGATTCCATTAAACTCTGACCATTTGAGAGTTTCTGATTACACATTTCAGGGAGTTTGGAAGTCCGGAATCCATGGATCAGATCAAGACTTTGGTTGCCATTAGCCACATTCAGAATGGCCAGGATTAATTGGAGAAGGAGACGGAATTCGGAGGAGTTCACAAGGAATTGAGAGGCATTTTGGAGGTCCGAGATTCGCTATAAATAAAGATTATTATCTTGTAATAAGAGTAAAGTGGTAAACTTTACTTAAAGTGGGTAACTTTCATTGTCAACTTACCTGATTTAATTTCTTTAGTAGGCTTTCAAATCCTCCAATAAACTGCATCAGCGTCAATCTTTCCCTGAGTCTCTCCACCCTCGATAATTGAAATACAAAGTCTTCTTCTTCACTTAAATTCCGCTGATTCTTCTGTTCAAAGGCTGAGAATCTCTTGGAATCGACCTCAGTAGGAGCAATTGATAAGACCAGATTAACTTTGGATAGGGGAAGGACATCAAGATCTAGACGATGAATTGCAAAAAGAACTTCGAATGCTTGAAGCTGAAGATTTAGACGGACTTCGGAGATTCGCTGTGATTGCTCCGGAGTCAGGAGAACGTGGGATTCCAGATTGGATAGAGAAGCGACGTCTACTTGCTAAAAATTTATATTATACTAGGTCGACTTAGTCATGGTTTTTATTAATCTATCTCACTTACTTCAAGAATGTCGCCGTTCTCTTGGATATTTGCAAAGACTGTTGACTTTGTTTGATGTTTCGTCAAAGTCGCAATTTTAAGCAAATTAGAGAGATATTTTGGGGTCTCATGAGTTCCTTGCACGACTACAGTATCCATAGAATCTTCTTTCGAATCAGGTGGAACTGCCGATGATGAAGAGGAAGTTGTTGATGAATTCTCAATAAAACTCTTTTGATTTTCATTTTGCGGGATAAAAGTGCTGAATTCTTGCAGCAATTGTTCCATGGTAATTTGCTCATTCTTCGGTTGAGATACTTCAGATTCCTTTTTCTGTTCGAATGGATTAAAACGATTTAAATATGGAGTTTGGCCCATCATCTGGTTGAAATATCCGAGGCTTTGAAAATACGCCAGAGGGTTCATTTGAGGTAGGCAACTGGAAGAATTAAATTATTTCCAAATACAGCGGTCATTGATTACTGTAGCATATCGTGAGTGATCAACTTACTTATTCTTCTCGACCGTTCCTTTATTGCCCTGAAGCATTTGAATACACATTTCGTTGATCTTATTATTCCCCATGCCAATTCCATTTATAGGTGATGGTTTATGTCTTTGTTGTCTTCCGGTTTGTCTCACCGGCCCCCCATTTAAATGCATCTTCTGATTCTGAAGCGCTGCTTGTGCCGCCATACTCGCTTGCTGTGCTGGGTTATTTCTGGGGGACGTTCGATCATGCACTGGACGTCCTCGACCCCTCACATTGGGGAAACACTTTTTCATGTACTCCTCAACTTGACCTGCATATTGGTCCATGTAGGATATGGGTTCTCCCTGAAATGGTACTTGGAATTAAGAGCCATCAATTTTGCAATAACAATCAATCCTCTTTCTAGAGACCTCCACAAGATGTCCAACGTCATACCGATTACTGCTACTTCCACTAATCGGTCAATAAACCTGTTCTATTCCTAATCTCTAGCCCACTTATTTCCGAGATTTCTGAAATCACCCGTTATTCCTGGACCTTATTGTTCCACGTCATCTAACATTTACTCATTCCTCGTCAATAAAACACCCACCGCTAATCCGTGAAGTGAAACCATATGAGATTTGACGTTGTTCTTGGAGTAGGTCGAGGTGAAGTCACAGGAAGGACATTGGAACATCGGCTTGCTCACATGACATTGACGGATGTGACAGGGCAACTTGGAACTGTGCACATTTTTATTGCATAGAACGCAGAACTGGAAGGTATATGGGTAGGACTGAAAACAAGGCGTGTTACGATAAAAAGGTCAATTACTAGAGTTACTACGGCCAAAGAAAACTTCAGAATAATCTAAGTTTTTAGAATCTTACCCTTTTCTTATCATCGGCGCCATTCTTGCTTCCAATATTCCGATTATTCTGTTGTCTCTTCTGATCCAATCCATTGAAATTAAAAATATTCTCCGCTGAAGATACTGGCTGATTCTGTTGTCCCAGTAATTGGCCCAATTGGAATAAAGCGTTCGTTTCAACGCCTCCAAAAGATGCTGGAGATCCAGCCAGTCCTAGCGAAGAGCTGGAGAACGAACAAGGGGAGAAATCGGAAGAATTGCTCATTGTAATCCCCAGTTGCTGACTTAACTGCTCAAGGGGAGAAGCGGACTTTTCATTGTTGTTGTTGAACATCGAGTTGATGTCGAAACTGCAACGTTGTTCACTCTGCAAGAGTAATGTTGCAGGCAAGCATACTTAAGGAATCCCTGTGTGAATCCGCTTATATCTTTAGCTTAAGACTTCAACATCCATGCTTTAAAATTACACCCCTCAAAAGAAAAGCTGCTCTGTATCGGTTATTGTCCAACGCTTTGAAAGAGATGTAAATCGCTGACTGAAAGCCGGCTTACAGTGGTTTTTGTTATTCGCTTAAGGAAATTAATCAGGCGCCCAAAAGACAGTACGTTACGAACTCTGACCGCGGTGGAGTCAAATTTCAACATCTCTAATATCCGAATAAATGACCCTATTTATAAAAACACAACAGTATTCAATTTTATTAAAATTCTTACTTTAGGGCTCTCGTCATTTCCTTGTTCCGCCGAATTATTGGATGATGATCCCATTGACGAACTTTCTGCGTTACTCAATCCCTGGGAATTTGTCCTTCTCATATCACTCTGTTCGGGCGAATTGCTTTCTTGAACGTAATCTATATCTGCTGATTTGGGTGACATTCCTTCCTGTTGAGTCTTCGGACTGTCCAAATCATCCGCTTTAATTTCTTCGAATTGGGCCAGCTGAGCTGTAGAGGCCAGCATATTTCGTGAGATGGCGTGGCCAATGTGTAAATGTTCAAGTATTGTGCTGCAAAGGAACTGGTAAGATTTGCATGGATTATGGGTTGGCATTTAACGAAGCGTCCATATGCGGAATTTAAACAAAAATAAATGAGGAAGCCATGAGCGCTAATCGGCAATTATGTTCATAAAACGTTGGCCAGGCGTTCGTCAAAAGGCTTCTTTTTTTGGCCAATGTAATCAAAAAAAGAAATGAAACAATTGGGAAATTTATAACAGTACTCTGAGAACAACACATGTATCAGAAAGAATACAACAAGAAACTTTGGCGCCAAGGATTGGCAAGGGATTTCGTGAAGCAATTAGAAAGTTACAGTACTTCACGACTTCCTCTCGGCTTGGGAATATAGATGGCCAATATATTTGGCCAAGACATCGCATGATAATCCGCTTGAGGAGCGTGCCTGTCGAAAGGAAGAGGCCGGATTCTGGTCAGACTTCGTTCGTCGGCATTTAAAATAACTTACAGGAAAGTACCCCGGGTGCGACGCTCAGATTTTGATAAAACTTGGCTCAAATTTAGATGTTTCTTCTAGGAAATATGCGAGACTCTTAGCTCGCTCTTTACAGAGACGACCAGACTTTTTTAGGTCACAAGATGAAAAAATTGGCATGAAAAGTTTCATGCCTATTTCTAACGTAGAGGGTACTCTTTCCACCAAAAATCGATCTTTTCTGCACAAAATTGCTGGATATCTGGGCCGTCCATCAAAAGCGCGGGCTAAAACTTTTAGGAATTGATATGTGGCCTATGCCCGGCGGGTGTGCAAAAGTTAAAGAAAATCTGAGCTCATACTTGGGATAGTTCCCTTGTTAGATAAGCAGTCTAACAGACTATTGCCATAACAGAAAGTAGTCATGCTCAAAAGAATTAATTGCAATACGGCCTCTTAAGGAAGCTGGTCATTTCCATACCTCACAGTTAAACCCCTTAGGGCTTCTTAATTTTGGAAAGGGAGCCTAATTTCCGTCAAATCTTTTCGTCATTAATTATGACATATAAACCCGCACGCTTAATGAATGAGCCGACCAAAGCGCATTAACACCACACTCCGATCTATTCTTAATATGACCCAACTTTGTGGCCAACTTTTTTGATCGGTCTTAGAGAAGAAGCCACCCCTTCTGCCCACAGTGCCGTGTAATCAAGCGCTTAAGAAGTCGGCCGGTAGATGGCCATAGACGGGCACAAAGCGGCGGCCCTGAGGGGATGAGAAGTCATGCAGCGAATAAGCGTTAAATAATAAGCCGCCTATTTTTTAGAATTGCTCTCGATTTCCTCGGCCCCGCCCCCTCTCGCTTCGCCGACGTAGCCCGGCTCTAAATTAATGCTGAGAGATGGTAAAAGGCGCGAAATGAGTGGGTCGGATGAGATAAATAGGCGGTATGTCCGGAAAGAGACAAGCGGCGGATTATGGTATTAGGAACGATCTGTAATCGACATGACGGGAAACAAGAATGAGATCTGTGGGTAGCAGACATTGGCGCAGATAACGGCCGAAATATTCTGCAACAAAGCTGATGATTACTTGAAGGCATACAAGCGTCAATCAAAAATGTTAAAGGCAATAAAATCTCTGAAAAATTGGGTTGTTCCCACCCAGACAAACCCACACCTTTAACAAGTAATAAGTTTAAGTTGTTAGAGCCTCTTACAACCCAATCTCGCTAATTCCTGTCAAGTAGGCTGTTACGCAGCCCTTATTATCAGATTTAAGTTGTCCGTAAACGGATTGGGAAAGGAAATGTTTTCAAAAGAAATAATCGACCAGTTTCGCAACCTAAATTACAATCAAGATTGTGTGGAAAAGAAGGGAAACCTTACAGGGGCTTATTGTCAAGTTATTTCACTGCCGAGAGGTCATACGATTTTGCAATCAAGTGCGCCTGGAATACGTGCCAATTTTCTGTTATCGTCGCTGATACAGGGAAAACTCAAAAGTCTTAGCAGCGCCATATAAGTCCAACAAAGTAGCTAGAACTCGAGTGTATGCCTCAAGCCAGTCCATCAAAACTTTTTCTGAGCCATAGCCACTTTCCACCTCAAACACATGCCCGGGTCGTAAAGTTACTGTCCCTCAAAATGGATCCCAAAAGAAGCCCTAATCCCTCGCAGGTTATAACATTTACTGGCCATGGTTACCTGTCCAAGGCTGCTCGAAACGAAGGGATTTAAGGCGCTGAGGATTAATATCAGGATCTTGAGTACCACCTCTTTGTAATTAAGCATGCAGCGATTACGCGGCCAGTAAATATATTCAAATATCGGTCAGTAATTGCGACAAATCCGCGCAAGAAAATGAGGATACGGTGCTGTCAAAGTTTTTGTACATTACAGAAAAACTTCATTTCCTCGGTCAATTACATTATTGGACTACGTTGAAATCAGAGATTGTTAAATAAAGAACATGCATCCCATTTACTAATTCAACTTTCGTAAAACGACAATTACTATAAGAGCTGCATCTTATCTTCTGATAAGCACTTGCAAAGCCGCTTTGTCAGCGTTCCTATTATTTTTAATTAAAATCAAAATTTTCCGGATTTTAGATCCGAAGAAATGCCTCAAGAAATAAATTAAATAAATTGAAAGTATTGTAAATAAATGTAAGTAGCCGTTTTACAGAGATTGGATAGCGAAAAGACAACAAAAATTTTTGTGAGCAAGGATGTATACATACACAGCAATGTAAGGATAGTTACAAAAGAGTTTAGAATAGTGTCAGTAAGGCTGTTATAGATTGCGTCAATTTGAGTCATCTAATATCTCAAATTCTTTTCACTTGTCCTAATGTTCGCAGCAAGGGTAATGTCCCATTTTTGAACCTGTGGACAATTAAATGGCCAAATTTGCGTACCCTCTGAAGCACATAATTACTCGAAATTGACTCCTTTTTGTCGCCAAACAAATGCGGCACGGGAAAAGGTGAGAAAATTGAGCTTAATAAATAAATCTAGCTGTCAAATCCGCTCATAAATGCGAGGAGAGACGATTTAAGTATTCAAAGTACCTGGTGTTCAAGAAGTATACGCAAAAAATGTGCAATGAGAGAAATTATCACCAGCTTTTCGTGCTGGCGAAACTTTGTAGTCTCTCCAGTGTTGTTCGCCAGAATCAAGTTGTCTGCCCATAGAGAGATATTACACAATATTTTCTTGAACTTTTCATACGCCAATCTCCAGGGTTCGAATTGTGAAATCTGAGCATTTGGATATTACTATTTATATCATCAAACTGAACATAACTCAGCCAAACAAAACCTGGGATCGTTAATTTCTTTGTAGTCTTTTGATTACAGTATCTCCAATTATACTGTAATAATTAAAATTGTTGGTTCAACTCCCATCTACTTGTCTTTTCTTTCGTCATTCAGTAACCAATGGCCATAAAAAAGTTCGTCATTTCATAAAGATTTGGCATTTGGATGACATTTTATTTCCGTCCAACTTGCTGCTTAGATACTATTTAATGCCCCAAACTAATTTACCTACAAAAATCACCCCTCCTCCAAAGCCCTGAGGCATTGGAGGGAATCCGGGTTCAACCCGCACCCCGAGAGAAACGCCATTTCTTTTCCAGCTCAAACAAAATCTCCTGCCTCACACGCACAATTGTAATAATGGAAACTTGGCCGGCCAACTTTTCAAAACATTTACTACTTTGTTTGGCGTGTCATGATGTCATCTGCAAATTGAGAAAGTAATCAAGATTTGGAATTTGAAATGACTATAGTTATTGTAAAATTAAGCAACTCGAAACCCGGCTCGGGAATGTCAACAACCCAGATTTGCGGGTTGTAAGTTTTAATAAATGGCTGTAGAAAGTGACGACCTCCGTAGGATATCAGTGATTATTGGCAACACAGATATGGTCATCACATCTTTTTCATGACAAAAATGCACATATGATGAAAGAGATACAAACAGAAAACAAAGTTTTGTCGCCTTCAACTTGTCATTTATGATGACATCGGGACTTGGCAATTTTTTCTATTACTCATAAGAAGTCTGCAAACACCCTCCGGCAATAAACTCAGAAGCCCCAAAGAATTCTTGCTCGGCCTTAATTTATTTTGACAACCTCAAGGCGCATTTTAACATAAAAATGCGAGAAATGTGGTAAAATGCAGCGCCATTTAAGCCGGGATTAGGCCAAATTTGTTGGGTTGGGCGTGAATTTGCAGCTCGATTAAAACTTGGAATGGAAATTTTACTTTGGAAGGGTTCTTGGGACCGGGGAAATTCCCTGTCCTTTACCAGAAATATTCGAACTCTATACTTTGCAAACTCGTAAAAGAAAAATAGAACAACATCGCGGTAACTATTTTTGTTGCGCAATCTTCTCTTTGGCCTCCTCTGCTCTCTCTGATCATACAGGGACCCCATCAAATGCCAAAGGCCATATTTTGGAGTGGTTTAGAAATAACGTTTCGATAACATGTTATAACCTCATCAATGAAGCCTGGCCGACCTCCGTTTACTGCTGGTTGGAAACTTTTACCAATTGGGTGTAGACACTGGTAGACCAAAAATGTTAACTGGCGGGCCTAATATTTATTTTTTTGTGCTAATGCTATTCGAACCTTATGCCAAATCTTTGTAAACTTTTTTGTTCTGTACGATTTACTTACTCGGGGTGGTTAATAGCACAACATTTTATATAAAAAAAGTCCAATATCCCCCATGACCTTTCATCAAAATTCAATTAAAATAAATAATAAAATTAAGAAAAGATCGGCTTTCAGACCCCAGATATCCGAGAAATGTTACGTGGAAAACTATAGAGCTCTTTAGATGATTGGCCGGGTCTCTCATACATAAATGTCCACAAAGTTTTGGGGTATAAGGCCCGCTATTCCACGATGCTTATGAATGCTCGCTTAATCTGTAAATGGAAGCGGTTTAACTCGGCTAAACATCTTGTTCTTTCTCAAATAGCATGACCATAAACATTGCAATTT